TTTAATGAACACATTTTTTATTTAAATATAACAAGAACTTTATAAATGAAAATTAGCCACAAGAGATTATTTACCGACATCTCTTTTTTACCTAATTTTTAATAGTGTTGATTTTTTTTTAGTGTTATATTATTTAATTTAAAATAAATAATTTTAAAATTTCTTGATACTATCGTAGTTGCTAGGCTGAAAACAAAAATATAGAATAAATCAAAAAACAATGTAATAGCGTTGTTGTAATAATAAAATTGATTAAAACCGAGTATTAACATTATTGTCAATTATTTAAACACATAAATTAATTTTATGAACTAATCTCAAAGAATGTATCTAATTAGCTGTGTGTTAATTAATTTATATTAAATTTTTAAAATACATTAATGAAAAACATCATATACCATCAATAGAATGTCTTATTGAAAGTCAATTAGACTCCTTGGAAAATAATATGTATCATTTTATAATAAATTATTATTTCCTCTGTTACCTTTGACTTCCACTTAATTATAATTATATTTATATCGTAAACATAACACTTAACACTCTATTACAAATGTTAATTTAAATAAATACTGATATAAGTATCAATTTAAAATGAATAAAATAATAACAATAATTGTCCGCAATGGATATAATATTCGCTAACTACTGCAAAAAGACCGAAAGTTTATAAAATAATTTGATAAACACTGGACCCTGTTTTAATAAATCTTCTCTTCAAAATATATTTAATTATTATTTGGTTATTTTTTCTAGATTATTATTGAGATGTATGCACCACGATATAGGTCGTGAGAAACTATACGAGGGCTATTTTACGGCTTAGCTTGTTACGTCAAATTCAGGATTACAAAGTGGCCACAATCAGTGAAATCTGTAGATTTGTACCACAATATTAGTCTTACTAGTAAGTTTTGGTTATCAGATCTATGATGACATCCCCTCAAAGTTCCTGTTATCTACGAATAGCCGTAGCAGTTACAAGTGTAGGAGTATTATAATATTATTATGTACCTCTACCTAGGTTCTATAAAATAATTCAAAACTACGAAAGGCCAATATTTCCATTTAAGTATGTAACATACTTATTATTATTATGCGATAATTCGCACGGTAATTGAACTCATTTATAAAATATAACATGTATATACATCAATTATAAATCAATAATCGACGAGTTATTTGTATTATAATAATTAAAAATAAATTCGTTTTACTATTAAATCGCGTGAATATTATTATTATTGGTTTTACACTTGACCAATGAACAATACGAGCGCATAATAACGCGCAATATTATTTGTTATTAACAAACCTCGAAACCTATAAAAATCTCGAGCGATTATTTTGATTTAAATAAATATAGGTACCTATTGGGTGATTATCGGATTATAATATTACAGTATTAGACCTAATATCTCATATTATAAATGTGATGCTTCTATAATTGTTTATGCAATTATCTAAATAATTGCACGATAGCATTATTTAAACCTTTGATATATTTATAGATCGTAAACAATTATACAAAACAATAAACAAATACTATACCTATATTCGCATAACATTCATAAAAATACGAGTTTGTTAGTTGTTTCAATACAGGAATTCGAAATAATTAACGAGTAAATAATAATAATATAATTATATTCAAATATTAGAATCCGTATTGGACAACGTCCGATAACAATAATAAACACACATGATATTAAAATTATTTATCAGGATCTGCAAATTTATGAAAAAAAATAGCGCTTTTATCTAAATAGCTATTAATTACAACTAATAACTATTATTTAAATGTAATATCGATGTGCCTATAAATAATTAACTACTATTAAAGCAGTAAATGTAAATTCAAAATGTTTGATACGACGTAATAATTATTTCGACATTTTAACCAACACCCATAACGGAACTAATATTGATTACCGTTTTTGATAATATCAAAAAAATTAAAATATTTGTGATTCATAAATAAACTTGTCGAGACCAGTGGCGTATCTTGGAACTTTTAATGAGAGGAAATTTTGCAAACGATTATCATTATTCATAAATAATTCGTAGAATCTCGTTTTGTAATACACTTTTACCCAACTCGATTATGGGAATTTAAAGCCGGATCCAAAAAAGTTATTTCGTATTCAATAAATCAAGCTTATTTTTTCTTGTAAATTGGCTAAAATATAATATTTCAGGATAAAATTATTAAATAGATACTCATTATGTTGTATTTTTAAGCCAATAGTAGGGATACCATTGGCTTAAAGGGGAGAGAGGTATAACTCTTCCATTCTAATTACTTACGCCAGTATTTGTGAAAGATGTTCATTTTTTATATACAAAAATGCTACTTTTGAAATTCGGAACAAGATTTCTTGTAAAAACAAAAAATGAACAAATTAAAAATAATATAATCGTTAACATCAAGCGCGTAGGTTCATAAATATTTGTCCATAAAAAAATGACGAAAACTTTTTTGTTGAATTGTAAACCTAATTGGCGCATTGACAAAGTTATTTTTTGATTTTCCAAGGGTTTTTCATAATAATTGAGAAGACCCAGAAAAAATGTTGAGGAAAACAGATTAATATGTACAGTGTTATGCAAGCGCGTCCCTGAGGGGGGAGGGAGCGATTGCATTCGGGAGGAAAAGTAAGAAAAACCGGAAATTTACAAAAATAATACTTTTTATTATTTTCAATTATATTATTTGTTGCAATTCAGTTGAAAATATTCGTAGACTTGAAATTTGGGCAGAAAACTTATATTTGTCTATTTTTACGCGGTAAACCAATAAAAGAATATTAGCCATATTTAGAACTATTTCTAAACTTTAATTTTGTTAGTAATTTTAGATTCTGAGTGACCTTATGGTTTTACAAAGACGTTAGTTAATTTTTTTTTTTTTGTGGACAACTTTTCTACCAGCAATTTCACTCCGATTTACAATAATAGCACTTTTTCTAAAAGGAAATCTGACTGGAATGGTATTTTAGGGAGATCATTTTTTGATTTTTTTGTGTGTTTTCTCAATATATTGAAAAAAACGAGAGAACAGGGGAAAAGGTACAATATCAGACAAAATAAATATTATTAAAAAAAATGTTTAATGCATGTGTAAGCATATTACCATAATATGACATATATATTGTTGACAAAGCAGCACTATCAACTGAACTCCACTCAGAATCGTTTTTCGTCAGCAATGGTTTATCGTTACTTACTGATATAAATTAAATTCCCATCTGTATCCTACCTTCCCAACTTCCCACCTACAATAGTGGCTGCACTTAAGTGCGAAGTATATCCGTTTTTTTATTTGGTAGGTACTCTATGGATAAAATGACTAGCCAAATAGAAATGTTTGAAAATTGAACAAGAGATTATGTATAAGTTATACTTTGTAGCCAAGACATAAACAATTTAAATTAATGTAATATATTTTTAATAAAAATTTTAATATCACATTTTAATGGAAATTGTTCTAGTAAAAAATTATAAGGAACGAATCTAGTTACTGATCCCTACAAATTGTTTCAATAATATTTATTTTACTGTTACATGCCATACATATTGTTGAAAAAGCAATACTTTTAATCGAGCTCCGCTCAGAATCGTTTTTCATTAGCAATGATTAACTTTTTCTTACAGATATACATTAAACTTCCCTCTATACCCTCTATCCTACCTTCCCAACTACTTCTAACTTCTCACTTACAACAGTAGTCCACCCATCGTGTGAAGTATGTCTGTCTTTTTTCTTATCAATCATTAATATAAAAGGTAATTATTCCCCCCCCCCCATAGTCAATATCTGAAGACGTCCCTGGTATTACGATTTCATTATTCAAGACAATTTTGTATTTAATTGAGCATAAAAGTCTATATATTTTGTAAAATAAACAAATAAATTTGGCAAAATTGGAGTAAAATTTAGGAAAAACGAGAAAGTTTACGAAAATAACGTTTACATTACACAATGATTTTTATTTAGTAATTCAGTTAAAAATATTCGTAAAGATCTGGAACTCTCACAAAATACTTATATTATCTTTTCTAGATGGGGTAAAATGATTAAAAAATTCTGGTGATTTTTAAGTTATTTGTAGGCATTTGATCTTTTTGAGTTTTTTTTTTTTATATTTTTTATATGGTAGGTATGGATAAAATGGTTTGACCAAACAGTAATGTTTGAACATTTAACATAATAGGTTCATTATAAGTTATACTTAAAGTAACCAAAAGAAAAAAAAATTAAACGTATATAATGTAGTAATTTTTTTTTTATACAATCAAATTTTAACTGTTTGTAAAAATTATGAGATTTCAAAACATATATTTCTAAACTTCGCTCAGAACCGTTTTTCATTAGCAATCTTTTATCGTTGCGTGAAGATGTAAATTAAATAACTTATAATGTATCCTACCTTCTCAACTTTATCAGCTATTTTTTTTGTTCATCGGTGAACAACTTTTTTTTTTTACCAGAAATCTTGTTTCGATGTATCAAACGTGTAAGAGTATCATCTTTTCTAAAAGCAAGTTTTGACTTCGTTTAAGAGATTATTTTTCAATTTACCTTATGTATTGGTCTTAATAATTGTGAGAAATGTTGGTGTTCAATTTTTTTTTTATACTTCATTACCACGCCCGATGTGCGTAATATAATATAGGTATCTACCTACCTGTCTTAACAATAACCTAACATTATAAGCTACATACACGACGCTATGAGGCCGTTTATTTCAATTAAATAATTTAAAAAACGAAAGTATCAACACAAAAAAAAAAAAAGCTCGTTACTCTTGTATATTATATATTATTATGTTCTAATAATAGTTTTAATATTACGCGTGCACAATTGCGGTATACGAATACGCGAATATATCGTGCACACAATATAATAATATAACGAGCGCGTGCAGAACAGCACATTGTAATAGTAATAATAATAATAATAATGGGATAAAATTGTTATAGAGGGTGATACGGAGAGCAGACAGAAAGCCGACCACGGCCGGTCATGTGCAACAGTCAGTCAGTTAGTTAATGGCTCAGGACCGGTAGACATCTACACAGCCGACCGCGTTGTCCGATACCTCGGCGATTCTAGATCTCGACTAGAATATTTACCCTCGAATTACAGGTAAAAATAAATTAATTTTAATTTTAGTTATTATAATAAAATATTTTTTAATATAACGTATACAGTATATTATGATAGGTTTCATTAATGAAAAAAAATGTATATATTCAAAGGTATATTATAGGGATATTATTCGGTATTTATTAATATACCAACCTTCAAAGGATTATCGTATTATATCGTAATTGATACGCTGTTACATTAATTTTTTTCTATATTATCCAAACGACAGTTTGACGGTTGATTTTATTTCTATTGTACGTTTTTTTAAAAGTTTACTATTATACAATGGCTTATTTTATTTGTTTTATAAATTTCACCGAAAACGAAAATATTATTAATGTTTTAAGAACAAAAAAAGTAGTTTACGGTATATCCACGGAAAAACTAAACAGATATTAACTTTATGATTCAGGTTTCTCTAATTTAAAATGATTTTATAATTTTTTATAATTTTTTTTTTTTTTTTGTCACTCAATTCGTTTAAGTATTAGGTATCGTGTTAATGTAGTATCACTAAAAACACGACATTTTAATGAATTATTTTTTGTTTTTTTTAATTTTTGAGTCGAGTATACTGCAAAAAAACATCATTGCTCATATAACAAAATTGATATTACTATATAAAATACTCGTATGTTATATGCATATAAAAGCCATGATCCGTGTGTAACTCTTTTTTGATTTACTATGGCAACCAAATTCATACAAAAACCATTATAACCAATTTTATGACAGGCATACAACTAGCGTATTATTATAATGTTCTATGCTTTTTTTTGGTTCGAGTAAAGACAACATTCTAAATCGCTTCGACTAAATCGTGTATACTACTGTAGTTAACTTCATTGTTGTGATTTACTCTTAAATTCAGAAACCTATAAATTATTACTCGAGTACTGAAGAACTTATGGTTAGGATAAAGTAATTTTTCGTTATTGTTCAATTTTTTTTTTTTCTATAAATCATAAGAACAACAAAAAAAAGTTTATAAAATAAAATAGGCGCCCGTGTTCGTAACCGGACAATACATTTTATGAATTATTACAAATACGTCTGCCCTGTGTTTACAAATATCCATCATTTGTATGTTTTTCATAAAATTTTGATGTAAGAAGGTCAGTTTTTGATTAATATAATATTGTTTTATATATTGGAATTTAGAGTCAGTAATTATAATATTATTTTTAGACATTTATAATTTCCAGCGATTATTCATTTTAATGTTCTTTATCTTTATAATGTTATTTTCAAAAAATTTTGACCGCTTTCAAGACTTTGACATTTAGCGAATTTATTTTTTTTCAATTTTTCATTCTATGTATATGTGCCTATTAACAATTTGAAATTGCATTTTTCAATTAATGTACCTATAACAAGCATTAGTTTGGCAATATCTAATCTATCTGAATTTCAAAAATTTCATTAGATATTTATGAATATTTTTCAAATAGAAATTATATTTTCAATTATATAACAATTCATTTTATTAAATTTTAAATTTTAAATTTATTTTAATTTAATTTAAGTTCTGAAAAGATTCTACTCAATCACTGTTAAATTTACAAGAGAATATAACGAGAGTATCTGTTTTATTATGATTTGTGCTTTTTATTATTTAGTTGTGCGCATCTGCACAACTTTTCTACCAGAAATTTATAATTTAAAAGTTGTAATTCAGTTAGAAGTAATCGTAGAAACCCGAAAAATCCACAGAATATTAATATTAGCCCTTTGTAAACATGGTAAAAATGTCAAACCATATTTGAATTATTTATAACTATTTGAAATGTTTGAGGTTTTTTAGTATGTATTTATTTGGTTTAATTTGAATAAATTGTTTCCTGCCAAGCAAGTCAATAGTTTGAATATTTAACATGAGGTTCATCATAAATTGAAAGGTACAAGGAAAAAACCAAAACAGTCACTTTTTTTCAGTCTAAGAAAACCATGTTTTAAATTTCAAAACGTAACAATTAAAAAAAAAAAAAGGTAACCACAACACAATCATCTCATATTATATTACTAACCACGGCTATAGTCGTGTATAAACCCAAAACTTGTTTGTTTATCAGTTGACTTACTTGTTTTTTTTCCTATAGTAGACCTAAACTTCTGGTACTCATTACTTTCGACTTATCTGGTTTTTTCGCTGTTTCGATCGCACAAAAGATACAGTACATCAATATAAATTGTTTGATACCATTATCATAATTTTGGAAGAAAGTAACTTTTCTGTTTTTTTTCCTTATACCCTTCAATTGTGCTTAATGGTAAACTAAATAACAATGTAATGTTCTACCTTTCCAACTTCCCATACACAACACTGTCACACCAGTCAACAATACCTGCTCATTTGTATAAGACTTTAAAATATTAATAATAGACGTGTTTTATAATCAACCAAAATAATTTTTATTTTTAACACAATCATTTTAATAATATAAAATTGCATCATTTTTAAGATTATAATAATATAATTTAGATACACATCAGGTAACATCAGCTTACATCTGAAATCTTACCCAAAAGTACGTAGTGTAGTATTATACAGGTACGATTTTTTTTTATTTTTAAACAATAATAAGAATTATCTATAGATCTTTTTAAATCTTTAAAATATTGTTATTATAATGAATATTTAGTTTCGTTTAACTAGATAAGTAGTTCTAGTTTGACTTTAGACTTGACCCAACTACACGTTTATACGGAACACTATGCAACCACTTATATATTATAATACGTGTGCGGTGTATGTGTACATTTATATAATATAATAAATTATTTTGTGGCCTTCATATTTCTTATTTTTGCGTGTAATGAAGCGTTTATTGGCGCATTCTTCAGACTAAAAAAATTACCAACTCGCTGTCTGTAAAGTGTACATACATGCGTATACAGGGTGCCTGCATACGACTAATTGTTATAACGTCCAAAGTTTTATTATTAGGTAATATTATGTATTATATAAGCCTACTTACCTATATTTTGTGTAATATTTTTATACAAATTACTATTAAGTTAGAGTTTATAGTTAGTAATTTTCATAACATTTTTGTGATAAATGAATAACTAATTACGAGTACAGCCATAATAATATTTATAAAGATTTATTAATCTAAACTAAAGACACATTATATCACTATCCTCGTCACTAGACAAAAGAGGTCAATAACACGGTACCTGATACCATAATATTAGCCAACTCATTGAAGAAGTAACACATTTTTAAGAAAAGATTTTAGTGTAATATAAATACGAAAAACGTTAATCGCTCTTTTTTAAAAGTATAGATGGAAACAATCTCTAAAAATACATAGGGCTTGAGCTCCATAGGTTTAAAATCTAATATTAAATAATAAATTAATTAAAATACTATTAGGGAGAGCTTGGTATAGCTCAGCTCCCAGTAGCCCTCCGGCTAAGCCCTTCTAATCCCCCCTATTTACGTCTGTACTCAAAATAAATAATCGTACAACCTGTTAGTATTATTTAACGGGTAACGAGAAATGGGCACCAAAACATTTATAGGATCTGTTAAGTCGAAAGATTCTTTTCAAGCGTTTCAGTAATATTATTATTACTATTTATATTCATGTTATTATGACTTTGTAATATTTTCTAGTTTTATATGTTCAGTTAAGTTTTTGTATGTTCACATTTGTGTTTATATGAGAAATTTTATTTTATTTTTTTGAAATTTAAATAACCATACAATTGTATACATATTAAACAAAAATAAAAAGATTTCTTTCGGATGTGCCACTGCCCAACTGTTGTATACACTGTTTTGAAAAGCCATAATATTAACGATTTGAAAATAATATACATTTTTTACATTTGCCCATTTTCCCTATGTTTTTTCCATTTATTAAAAAAACCTCTGATAAAATCAAAAGATGGCCTCCTTAAAGTATCACGAAAATAAAATTTCCTTTTAGAAAGGATACTACATATACACTTGAAAATCGGAGCATTATTTTTAGTAAAAACGTTGTTCACAGCAAAAAAAAAAAAAATAATCATCATTGTAAAACCAATTTATTCCTCGTTCTGCTCGGAATATAAAACAAAATTGATAGTACCCGTTATTGCGTAAATGCTCCCATTTTTCCTACGGTCTTTCTATTAAGATATAAATACAAAAATTGATTTTAGAAAAAATGTTACACTTAATGATCAAATCAAGATTACTGTTATATAAGTAGTTTTCAGACAGAAAAAAAAACGTACATATAATAGTAAAACATGATACGCGTGGAATCTAAAAAGAAGAATAATTATTATTAAATAATTTGCACTATATAGTTTATCAAACAAAATTATAAAATAATCATTAAATAAAGGATTTAAAAAAAAAAAATCTTAGGTATGACTAAATATTACATAGATTTAGTTAATATAGGGAAAATTAATAATTAATCTACGTACAACATATGTAATTTAATATTAAGGTGAATCGCATGATTTAATTGCGTATTTTGTTTAGATTTGATTTGGCATGATGTAATATAAAATAATTCATTACAAATAGTAAACCAATATAGAATATCTTAAACTAATTATTGTGCGAAATCCAATTATTATTAAAATATTATTTCATGTTTTATTTATGTATAAAATATATGTACAATTCTATGCACAAAACTCAACTATACATACACGATATATTGCTTAACCTTTAGATATAACACTCCACATGAGTTCAAATTTGAAATAATATTAATAGACATAAATTTGAGAGTTTGAGAACTTAAATTTCGTTAAAAATATGTTGTACAAGGATCATAATCCTACAAAACAAATTTTCTCTTATATTCGTCTAAAATACCATAAATGATTAAAAATTATATACACCATGAAAAATGTATTGCTCATCTTTTTCTTTTTTTTTTGTTTACTTTTAAATCTTATCGTTTATAGACGCTATAATCTATAATACAATTAATTTAGCGGTTTTCAATTATTTTCCAATTCGTGTAAATTAAACACTTATAAGGTTATAGGTTTAAACAAATAAATAATACGATTTTCAATTAAATATAAAACGATAGTAATGCACCTACTAAGATTTAGTTAACTCGAGGAAAATTAATATAGGTATACCACCTGCCTATAACAACAATTAAGATGAACCTTATGACTTATTTAGGTATTTAATTAGGTTCAGTTAAAAATGTTATTTTATTTAGTTATTGGAATGAGTATGAATGTTATTTTTATATATTAAAATAGATATTATCATTGATTAATAACAATGGTATTATAAAACGAATTATATACACATTTGACATTTAATATCAGTATAAGTTCGTCTATACAAAATAAAAGGATTATACACTGTGATAAATAATAATAGTAGTAGGTATTATTTTAATAAATTGCTTTGTAATTCAGGATGTAATGACTTTGAAAAACAAGTAAATAGGTAGGTAGCTATATTACCTATTTGATCAAATCAGTTCAATTAGGTAATTATAATTTAATTTACCTACATCAAATAAACATGATTTACTATTTAAACAAAATTTCAATTAAAAAACGAAATTAATAAGAAATGATTTCGTTTTTGTTTATGTTTTTTTTTTATTCAATAAATAGGTTATAATGTCCCAAGTATGCATTATATTTCTGATTTTGTTATACTAATTTATTCTATTTTTAACATAAGTACTAAAGTATAAACAAGTTTAAATTTATTAAAACTATAATATAATACCATGCGTTCAAAAATGGATTATGTGTTATTGAAAATACAATAATAATTTGACAAAAAATTTGTCATTTAAACGTCGGTCAAGGCCAGTACAAATATAAAGTGTTAAGAATTTATTATTATAATTAGTATTTCCTGTTATTCTTAACTATGTACTAAAAAAAGAAAGGTAAGATAATGGGGACGGATGCAGCTACTGATATAGATGGGAAATTAGGAAGGTAGGATATAGACGGGAATTTAATGTATATCTGTAAGCAAGTACCGATAAACCATTGCTTACGAAAAAACAATTCTAAACGGAGTTCAGTTGATAGTGATGCTTTGTCTACAATATATGTCGTTGTATAGTTAAAAAAATAATTAAATAGGCTTTATATATTTTCTTTAATAAAATTTGTTTAATGTTGTACCGATTTTCCCAATTTTCCTACGTTTTTCCCGGTTTTTCAAATTTGATGAGAAAACTCCTGAGAAAATCGAAAAATGACTATAAATGCAAATTAAAAAAAATGCAATTAATACTAATAATGCATTAATACTACTAGCGTTTAACTGAACAATTATTCAACTGAACTAATCTAATTGTCTTTTGATTTATTGACGTTTTATTTAGGATGAAAACCTCATTTGAGAAATAAAATAGCCGTTAAAATTAAAAATCATACGTTTAAGTGTTACAATTGAATTGTATCAAGTAAACTTTTAACTACATTACATCTAGTATTTATTAAGACTAAGACATTGTATAGAAAATAAAATCCAATATCCAAAATAAAAAATAATCTTAATAGAATAATCGTCTTCGTTTCAAATTAAGTTTTTTTTTTTTTTTTTTAGTTTTGATAATACTATATTTTATCGCGATTGCTGATTAATATATTATAATACTACTGTACACGTCTCGTCTCATATTTCCAGTTTTGGTATTGACTCATTCAAAATTACCCATTTCATATAAAATCTCTGATCAATTGATAAAACTTAAACAATTTTGTTGACACCGTAGCACATTTAACAATATAATTTACAAATGCAAAATGTTGAATGCAATTTTTAGATTTTAAGAAATGGTCTTTCTTTATTAGATTTTATTCGATATGCACATTGCACATATAAAGAGACATACACATATATATTAAGTAATCGTTAAACAGTAATTAGTAATAACTAGTATATATATATATACGAAAATTATATTATTGAGAACACAAATCAATTATTTTAGGCTTACCAGTCCATGATCATTTTACAATTATTGTTATTCGTATGCGTCTCACATCGTATACATAATTTCAACACTCATTTTTCATTTTTCTCTCTATAATATATTACACATATAACATATATGTGTTGTTATTAACATTTCGAAGGATAGCAAAAACAAAATACTCATTTTACGTGTATTCTTGTGGAGTATAATACTCAGTTTTTATGTGCTTTAAAAAACTTACCTAAGTCAACGGTCCCCAAATTTTATGCCAAGATGTTTTTGTAAAACGCCACGTCACTAATGTATACATAATATGCATAATATGTATAGAATAACGCTCCAAATTGTTCGAACTGTATCTTAAAAAGTACAGACTTCATGCGTTGTCGAAGCCAAGAGCAGATAAATTAACCACCGACGAGAATATTAGACTACAAGCCACGCTTTCCGCTTGACCGGGCTTAAGTATTTCCGTGGCATCACCAGTAACGTTGTAAAATTTATCGGTTGGCCGACTTCCACCTTTAACAGGGTCTATGTTATAACAAGCTAATTGAAAAGCTAAACGGGATCCTCAGATTGAGACGTTAGTTTGTCCCCATTCATGTTGCCTTCAATCACCAAAGCATTTCCAACTGTTAAAACTTATGACAAATAGGTTGTAACGCGGGTACTACATAATATGTGGGTGACCACGGAACCTACCTCCATGGTTAGAAGGTTCTCTAAAAGGTTCCGAAGGACGAGATGGAACGACCGTGTTCATCATTATTATATCAACGTGGTCTGTTAGATTTTACTAACACTTCGTCGTGAGCGAGGTCTGACAGACTGCACCTCCGTGACTCTTAGATAGTGAATATTAATCACTTTATGATCAGTATGATCGTTTACTCTTTTCTGGCGATCTAATGCTAAAAAAACATGGTCCGGATCACCAAAACACGTGTCTTATCACGTACGGTCCCTATCTCCTATTTTTAAATAGCCACTTGATAATATCAGAACAACTGATAAAAACCGTGTATACCTAATACCTACCTATATTAAATTTAAAATTAAACTGTTATAATATCACATGATCAAAATTATGATTGCGATGTTTTTTTTGTGCGGTTCCTCATCTTTGACCCAGCGAGTCGCGGCCGATATCAAAGTACTAATATTATATTGACCGCTAAACGATAACAATTATTATTGTAAGAGGTAATATATTCCTATTTTTTTTTTCCTTTTGTCTTATCACCAGGAAAAAGGTTTAAATGGAGAAAAATACCGTCTGTACTATTGTGTATCTACCTAAATAGATTATATGTTCCAATTGCTAACAAAATGAATCAATAATAATTATTGTTTTCTTAGCCTTTTACCCTAGTACTTATTGACTTTTTTGTCATTATAAATTATTATTATTGTACTATTTTACTATACTTTTTTTTCTTGTCGATGTGAATAATTCGGATAATATAATAAGTTATGAAATCTTTTATTATCGTCTCCACGAAAATAATTCTTCTGTGTAATTATATAGCCACGGTTAAAAATAGACCCACATATTAAGAGGTTAAAAAAAAATAGATTTTTTGACAAGGTCATCATAAATACATAATAACTAAATAATAATTTTTTTTTTTTTTAAATTCTCTATCAGCGTACATTTCAATTATTATTGACTCATATACGATACAATAAAGAGCGTTTATTTTTATGAACAAATTTGCCGTTATTCGAGTTCTTTATATTTATAGTTCTATGTTATAACTGTGCTATAACTCAATAATCGCCAAAATGTTTGGAAAACTTCATGACGTCTAAAAAGAGCTAATTTAAGTATTCTCGTAAGTCTAGTAAGTCTTGTTATTTTATTCTAAATTACTATAAAAAAAAAAAAAAAATCGAAAATAAAGGAAGTATTAGCGAATGAAAACGTTATTCTACAAGTATATTCTACAAGTTAAAACGATACATGATGGAAAATTGAACAGCTTTAGTGAAGATTCGGCGACGTATTTTCGAAAATATTGCATACTAATACAATATTACGAGTATAACACCTTATTATATATTAAACTGTACATTTTATATTGTATATATATACTATATATTTCAACATATTACATAATACGAGTTCATACTTAATAGTTTATTATATTTATATAAATTATAACTATCATGTTAGCGTGTCTTAAAAAAAAAAAATCAAATTCAAATTTTGTATCCAAAACCCAAAAGTTCTCCCTAAAAAGCTCTAAAAAATTAAGAAAATAACTTAAACACCAACATTTGTCAAAAAAAATGCCAAATATATCTTCTTGTTCTTATTCAATAGTACATGAAATGAATTTGTGACAACATGAGCATAGCACAGCGAACTTTAGAAAAAGATGCAAAGTGCATCGAAATTTCAACACTACTTAATTTACATCATATTCAAAATATTTACTTGACCCGATTATCCACACCGTCCTCGCATACACCCACCGTCCTCATATTCTCAATCACATCCAATCACCTCTTTTTCAATTTTTTTCATTTCATCTTTCTCCTACATTTTTTTTTCAACTCCATTCTTACTGATTCTTCTAATTCTTTTCTCCTTATTGTACGCTCAAATCATATCCTATCCCCTTCCTATTATTTTATTTATTACAGAGTACCTATAAATTCTAATAGCTACAAAAAAAAAATCTACAAAAAATTAGTTTAGGAATCATTTATATATTATACGAGTTGTTCGGGAGTTCGGTACTTATGGAGAATTGTAATCACCGGCATAATTGTAAATATAAATTTATTGACTATAATTGTTAATGTCTGTATAAAATAAAAGCTAATAATTATAATCGATCGATCACTCATAATTTTGTAGTTGTACAACCAAACAGCGAGCCCCTATTTATAAAGTATCAGTGCATCATGACATTTCCAACCCGGACGTTTCTATATAATATATCTGTTTAGGATCGATTGACTTCAATAATTAGTGATCTCCATCGGGCGACAGAAAAACGGGAGACCTTTGGATTTTATGAGTTACGGCCACGGCTAATCACCACGAATAATATCAGCTGAGAATAATAATATGTAACAAACAATAATTTAAAAGAATTGATTATGTTCTCGTAAACAATATAGTTCGTGTGGAAAATAAATTAGAGTGCAATTTTATACTAACGTAAAGTTTTACTAAAAACAATGAGACTAAAAAGCGTCAAAAGTATTGTAATGGAGCATGTTTCTTGAAGCTACGAATAAAAACACAACTCGTAAATAATGGTACAACGATGAAGAAGTTATCAAAACAAAAAACATTTCGGTCACTATTTTAAAGTTGCAACTTTTTAACATTGAACAATTTTAGAAAAATTGTAAAAAGGGTAATTAAATAAAATTAATTAATAAAAAAAATTAATATCAGATTCAGCCTTGAAATAGGATATGCAGTTATAAAATGTTCTTAACGCGGGCTCCGCTCCGAACTTTATTCTAACAGTTCAATTCGATCAAATTCTCGTCACTATAATATAACGATGTAATCTGATCCTGTACAGGAGTTTAATGCAATGTAAACAATCTGAATAATCTTTAAGAATAATAATAATATATAATATTATCGTTTATAACATTTTGTATTGCGCTCGTGTTTCGATAGTGAGTATCTACGTATGCCTACCTACGTGTGACGTGACGTCTGTGACGTTTTACGGTCACGAGAATCGTCTGGCGCGACAAAATATCGCAGTACGATAATAATAAAATCCGTATTTCCATTAGAACAAGAGCCAACCCGACCGAGTGACCGTGTCAGTTCAAAAAACTTCAACTACGAAAATTACAAACAAAATATTATTATTATTCGCAGTAATGTAGCGTACGCACGAGACCGACTGCCGCCCTCTGGCACGAGTCGTTTTGGCGACGACGGCCTTATGATTGATGTGATCATGTACCGCAATTTAAATATCATTAATTCTCATTTATCAAACCCGTTGGCCGCCGCTGAACATAAAAACCGTTAATATTTAATAAAATATGTATTATATATTATACGGTCAGCCAGACGAATTTCATTCAAACCAAAGCCCATCGCCATCGTGAGTGGGCCATTGAAATACTTAAAACAACATTTAGGTTATAATGTTCGAGTAATATATTTGTATATATATATATATATACATTTAAATACCCTGACAAAGAAGCGAACTTCAAGATACGGACTTTTTTTTGGCTGTAATTGTTTTTAATCGAGTGTGCGACGCTGCAGCAGACACCGCGACCAAATAGTTATTCTTCTGCCGCTACGGCATCTACTATCGTTATAGATGAGTACGTTGTTTTAATCATTATGAAAACTGTACAAAAAATTTAAACGATAATTGACGTCGATATTTGACATCATATATTATTATATTATTATTATATGATGTAGTTATTTTAGTTAACCTGTTAATTATGTAACCATATATTATATTTAACCAAAAAAAAAAAAATTTAATTTTAATATGGAATTTGACGAAATATTTTTCGTGCGATTAAGTAAACACTGTTGATGGTGTGTATGTGTATTTAAGTTAAGACCTATTTGTAGGCACATTTTACAAGCATCATAAATATGTTACCCAACGAAAAAATGATGTTCTGTTGTTACGAAGATAAATTGTTAGTATACGCTATTGTTCTGGAAAAATATATATTTACCTTTTTGTTACCACGTTTAAATGATTTATATATATTAATAAAAATTCAGTATCTACAATGATTCTTTACGATCAAAGCTCGTTTTTATTGCATTACGTTGTCAGTATATCATATGAAAAATAAATAAGTCTTATAACAATTACATATTATATATTAAAAACATGATGAGCCACAATTGTGTTAGGTAACTATATTTGTTTTGCACACGCGTAACTGAACAAATTAGCTTTTTTTTTCGTCACTATCGAAGTTTTAAATGAGAACAACAACGGGTTTTTTTTAAAAAATATTCTTCAACAAAATAAGTAGACGTAAAAACTTAGAAAACAGGAATAGTTCAAATTTATTTCGAATTTTCTTATACACCTAGTATCTAAGTATGCTTATCGATTTGATGTATTACATTAACAAATATTTAGTATCTACAATGATTTTATACGATTAAAACTCGTTGTTATTGCACTGCTTTGTCAATATATCATAATATTAAAAAAAGAACTGATATTGGGGACGGGTGCAGCCACTGTTATAGGTGGGTATTGGAAAAGGTGGGATACATAAAATAATTTAATTTATACCTGTTACCATATAACCAACAATGAACCATTGGTAACTAAAAACGATTCGGAGCAAAGTTAGGTAATATATATTTTGAAAAGCCGTAATATTTACGGTTGTCGTCAAAATTTGATTTTAAAACTTGTAAAAAAATATAGCTCTTTTTTCTACGTTTTTTTTTTCAGTTTCGCTCAATTATCAAAAAACTACAATGAAAATTAAAACGACTTTTTTGGTCACCAACATGATTAATTGTTGATGAATAGTTTTTAAAAAAAATGGTGTTTCATAATTTTTCTATTGGAGCAATATTTTTTGTAGAAAGCATATATCATGAAAATTTAAAATAATAAAATTATAACGCCGTAAATTCGTCAGGTTTCATTTTACGTTTTTTTTCCAGTTTTTCTGTCTCTCGGTCTCTGTCAGTTCCTATGTGTTTTAAAAGCACAAAATCGATCATTTGTCATTTTTCGATTGGATTAATATTTCTAGTTGAAAATAATAAAATAATTAAACCGAGACGCTACGTTACCGTACATATTAATCAATTTTAATTTTTTGGTTTTTCATAATTATTACGAAAACTACTTCGGATATTGAAAAACGACTTACTCTGTCAGTGGATAAATATTAAAGGGAACAAAATCGATATCTTTTCATTTTTGAATTGGAACAATAATTCTGGTAGAAACCATCGTGTTAACATAATAAAAACAACGAAAACGATAACGCCGCTACACTCCGAATCTATAAATAAATAAGTCACGTAACAATTCCCTATTATATATTAACAATATGAGCCACAATTGTGTTAGGCGACTAAATTTGTTTGGCACAAGCGTAACTGAGCAAATTTACTTTTTTTTTATTATTATTATTATTGAAGTTAGAATTTTTTTTCCACAAAATAAGTAAACATAAAAACTTTTAATAAAATTAGAAAACATAAAAATAGTTAAAATTTATTTCGAGTTATCTTATAACACACTAATATGTATTATATAATATAACGTATAGCATTCATTGATGACTACGTTTTAAACATAGATTATTTATGGCTTTGAATCATCAGACAAACAATGATGCAAATATTTAATTTTTAATTTTAAAAAATACTCATCAATTTTCAAAAATAAGATAAGAAATTTAGAAAAAATATATATTCTATCGTTCTCAATGAAGGTAGAGGATTTAAATGTTTGTACACGGCTGGTATTTAATAAATAAATAACATAATATTATCATAATATTTATTATGAACGGTCATTATAATTATTTTGTAGTAATAAATCATAATTAGCGAAATGCGTTTTTATTTTTCAAAAGGTTTATATAAGTAAAGGTCATGGTGTAAGACGAATGAATAGTGACTGCGTAAAAGTACTTTTATGAAGCTGCGGCCTATTAGGTGATTTTAAATTCATGGGTAGTTAGGTGGCTGATATCTAAATAATATAAGTGTAATATTAATATTGTAGGTAACACACTATAAAATACACATTATAATAATTATACCTACTCCAATATGCTTATAAACACTTAGGGTTGTATGCTATAGTTACAAATGTCCCGGACACTCGTCGAAAAAGTTTAACACGAACTCTCTCGAATTAAAATATAAAATGACCTCGACACGGCAGTGACGATTCGTTGTCATGAATATTATTCTAATTATTGAAAAAAAAATCAATCAAAACTCGATTACAATGTCCTAATTCAGACTTGAAAGTATTGGATAATAAAAAATAAAAGTGAATTCAAAAAAAAAAATGAGCTTAATATAGTAGTGGGTTTTTTTTTATAAATATTTGAATTACATTATTATTTAAATATTTTAAAATCTTAAAAATCACAGCATTTCTAAACATATTCAACCGGACTTCACTCCGAATCGTATTTCGTCGGCAATGGTTTATCGTTGCGTACAAATATAAAATAACTTTATGTATTGCCAACTTCATACTTACAACAGTAGTACACGCATCAGCAGTATCAGATATTTTTGTTTTATATTCCATATAGTGAAGTGTTAAAATAAATCATTTACCAAGTAACTATAAAGCCACCACTAATCGTACATTTTATTTCACCATCGCACTCATCAGTGATGATTCCAGTAATAACCATACAATACTTCAACAATATTATTAGACAATGACTAATATCGAATATGTAATAGTTAAAAAGACATCCTAATGTTTAACTATTTCATTAAAATTAATAAGTCGGTACCTATACTGTTACTACAGTTATAATAAAATGTGTAGTTTAATATGTAATAACAATAATTATTAATGTTATTATCTTCAGTAATCGGTTCAGCGATCAAACATGATAATTTACACATCGTGCATAGGTATTGTATAGTTGACACCGGATAATGCATTTTATTAATGATGCATAACGCCCATAACATAATTATCGTGTACCGTAATTTTAAAATCATTTAAATAACAATAACAATACCGTCGTCGTGGCTGTAGGCATGCAATTCTTTTATAAATTTCAGTATCTCGAACTCGTTTTCGGAAATATTAGTACCTACACATCGATAATTATATCGATGTGTATTCGACATGATATGCACATTTTTAACTAGGTAGGTGCGTTTATAAACTGTGTAAAGGTATCTAGTATCTAGTACTTACTCTACTATAATTAATATTATATAACGGACTTTATACCTGGTGTTCACAAGGACCGTCGTCGGATGCAACAAAACGCCCGCATTTGGCAGTCTAATAATATACAGCACCTATAATAATAGTCATAGTATACTAATATGACTAATGGTGTTGTTATTTTAATTATTATTATAATAATATTGACCGGTACTTACGATCGATTATCCGTGTATTAGATACTCTTTATTATTACTGTATTATTAATGGGTGTTAAATGCCGAAAATGGAATACACAGAGAAATAAAAAAAAAAAACCATCACAATCTCGTAAATCGATGCACATAATAGTCAACACTTATTATTCTTATAATAGAGATAATGTTAGTCCCTACTCCGATCCGGTCTAACGCCGGTTGAAAGTGTGTACCTTGTATGTGTGTACTATATGAACCTCGACTCTTACTATTGTACCAGGTATTATATTATTATTATAATCATGTCATAACTGATCGTCAACCGGATCGCCTAAATAATAATATAATTATTAAAGTTAAACGTTTCGAAATCATTTAAATACGTCTGTCCTACCCGTCGTTCGCCGCAGTCGGTAAAACTTTTTAAACACCACAGGTACGATACATACTTATAATAATAATACGTGTAGTATGTACTTAATATAATTGTTATTATTATTATTATTATTATAGTGAGTTGCGTTATAATATTTTACTATTCACACCGGAGTGTTAATAGAAAAAAAAAAATACATTTTAAAAAAAAACGTAATAACTTTTCAAACACCACAAACTTTAGAGTCTAAAACACGTATTTGTAACTATTCTAACTAATTAATCTAACGCACCCTATTCAAACACCTGTTGACTGGTGTTTAAATACTTATTAATATTACGCGGTGTCGTTCATATAGGTGTCATTTCGACGCGGTAATTTCGAAGCGAGACAATTGGGCGCATTTTGACGCAACTATATTTCGGCACATTTTTTTTTTTTATTTTATTTATTATTATTGATTTATTTTGAAAAATAAATATATATAATAAAAATAACATAAATTATTGTTAAATATAAAATTAAAATAAAGTAAATTAGTATTAAGCATAAAATTCCAATGTTAAAATGTTACGTATTCTAATAATATAATAATACTATATCAGTATACAATCTTTAAAAATATCTTAACTATTTTTACATATGTACATTTATTTTGAAAAATAAATCAATAATAATAATTAAACAAAAAAAAAAAAAATGGGTCGAAATGTGCTATGCGCCCAATTGTCTCTCGTCAAAATGACCACGTCCATTTGACGCTAGTCGAAATTACCGCGTCTCGTAAACTCGTTCATATATGTATTACAATTATCGTTTGTTTTTTAATATTTCTCAACAATTATACCCGTGTATGTAATATTAATTACGACGCGTTTGTATTTCAGTTGTGATTTGCTATGAACTCAGTGGTATTGGTGATAGTCATGTTGCTGGCCAGCCACGTAAACAGTTCGCCAATCTTGAACTTTTCGTGGGATACGCCGAGGCATTTCTGCGGATCACAACTCGCCAACGTGTTGGCGTTGATCTGCAAACATGGATACAACTTCCATACGGTCAGCGAAGGTTAGTACCGCACCTACGAATCATATTATTTTAATATAATATATTTATTTATGTTCAATTCGGAGCATATCGAGGGGTCTATTAGTTTTGCTATGATGTGTATTTTTGTACTTTTTTATTTTAATTTGTCGTGTCTGTGAACAACTTTTCTACCAGAAATCTTGCTCTGATGTATAGAGTGTAGCACTTTTACTGAAAGGTAACTATATCTAGTTGGTGCGTTGAACAGGTCATTTTTTGATTTTCAAAGGGGGTTTAGAAAATATTTGGTAAAAACCCGAAAGACAATTATAGGTACAACGGTAAATATTTACGACGTGCCGTAATATTTACGATTTGAAAATAATACATTTCGTACATTTTCCCGGTTTTTCCCATTTATTATGAAAACCCCTGGAAAAATCAAAAAATAGCCTTTCTAAAATACCACCCCAGTTATATTTCATTTCAGAATAAGTGCTTTAATTGAAAATCGGAGCAAAATTTCCGGTAGAAAAGTCGTTCACAGAAAAAAGTAAAATAAACATCATTGTAAAACCAATACATTTCTCGCTCCGTTCAGAATTTAGAATAAAACTGAGTGGAGGTTTTGTGAACTTTTGGTACATTGTTTATTTTGTGTCTGGTGGTAAAATTATTGCATATATTGGTTTGAATAGATTCTTATTTAATATAAAGGTACCAACTATAGTTTATAAAATAAAGGATAGCTTATTGAATTTCTTATTCATGACGTGGTAATCACGACTTTTTTTTAACATTATTTTGGACGATTTGTAGTTGATAAAGATTCGATTTATTTACTGCACGCCATTCGATTATGCCGTATGATAATGTGGATTCCCCAGTGCCTTATATACCTTTCAAATTTAGTGAATATTTTGTATATATTTAAGTTGCTTGAAAGTGTAAGAAATTTTTCTAAATTTTGTTACCAGTGAATTTTTATGATCTACCCATTACTGCACATATCTATGCCTAAGTATTTGATAGTTGAGCTAATTCGTTATTTATTTATACAGATACACGAGTTTGGATTAAAGCAGCTCTCTGAATGTATAACTATATTTTTTATGTTCGGAAAATCATTGATTTATAAGGAGTGAGATACAATTAAAGTTTTTTTTTATTATTAATATAATATTTTAAATATAATCATAGGTGGATAGATTTTATAATATCGGAATAGATTTTTTGTAAGACTTCTTCCCAAGTGTAACCAGTTACAACAAGGGCCGTATCGTCGAGTTAGAGTATTAATTTCATTTATTTTAACGTTGAAAAAAAGAGGCAATAATGCAGTACCCTCTGTAACTCCACATAGAATGCGTTCGCCTGAACTCAATGTCCCATTAATATTTACAAAGTGCATTCTGTATGTTGAATACGATTTAATAAGCAGAATTTGTATACACATTTTTTCCAACTTTGATAGTAATATCTTAAAGTCTACTGTGTCTGGGCCTTGGACAAATCTATACGTAGTAAATATATATATTTAAGCCTATTTTTTGTTGTTATCAAGTACAGTATATTGAAGTTTTCTATTGAGTTCTTCGTTCGCCATTGTATGGCAAATGCATCAAATTTAATTTCAATACCTACTCGTATAATTCATATGATAATATAAAGAAACTACGGACAATGTGAGGTAGATAATTTGCATTCTATAATACTATGTTTTATATTATACTTGTTAAAAATCACATCACACTCCCCTCCGTGATTACGGAAGGAAGAAGATTTATACTGACGGCTCCCGTGAGTACGTGTTACTGAACTTAATTAGAAAAATATGTGTTTGGCATTAAAACCTGTGAGCGAAAATTCCCCTAACCTAATCTAACCTTCACTCATTCAAATTATAGGGTATTACATTTCGTGTTGCGGTAGGTTGTGGAATTACGACTTTCCCAGAATTCTTGAAATAATAATGGTGCGGCGTTTTTTTTCCGATTCATTGACGATAAAACTATAGTGTTTGCAATTTTTAATGCAAACATAATGTTATACAACATCATGGCAGATTATTCTTTTTTTTATCGATACCGTTTAAAATAATTTACGCGATGGTTTTCCAACAATATATACATATTATTCGAAATTATGAAATGTCTACTATGTTCTAGTCTTCTAGGCATATAGGTACGAAAAATAATATTAATATTCAGTAATATTTGAAATATAGGTACCTATATGTAGATATTTACATATTCATTTATTGCGTAATTATTTACGCAACACAATATACAATAGTACTTTTTAGGTATAATAGCATTAATAGCATTATGAATTTGTTGTGTAGATATTGTAAACTATTGATTGATTTGTACAAATATATTGAATATATTCCCCAATATAGTGGGGGGGGGTCAGTGGGTACATTTTACCCCACAAATACATTTTTTTTTGTGTTTTTCCTAGTTGACTATACGAGAAAAATCATTAAATAATGTTATGTATTTAACATATTATTTGAAACGTTTCTAGAAGTGTGAACATTTTAAAATTTGGATTTTTTAAGATATAAGCAAATACTTGTTTATAAAAACACACGTGTCTTTTAAAAATATCCAATAATTATAATTTTATTTGCTTTTACAGTTCCAAAAAGAAAACAAAAATAATAACAATTATTTGGAAAAAAACTTACTTGAAAAAGGGGGGAATCTAACAAATGCAAAACGTCAAAAAAAAATAATAATAATAAAATAAATAAATAAAAGTTTCAAAATGGATTCATTTGTTATCCACATACAATTCGAACACTACCAACAAAAAGGTTCCAATAATCTAAAAACAATAAATTTTAGAGCATTTTTTTCAAATTTTTTTTTGCGCATTAAATCGTATTTTTCAATGCATTTTTCTTATTTTTCAGAGCATTTAAATCTGCACCCTAGTTATTATACATTTAAGCGGTTGAAAATCACTTCTTGCATAATACTATTATTTATTGATATAGAATCTCGGTGATCGGAGTAACCGCATAATATATGATTGTAATATTGAATTATTTTCGTTTCAGATGTTACCGCTAGAAGCCGCCGCCGAAAAAGAGTACCAATAGTGCAAGAGTGCTGCGAAAACACTTGCACGCCAATCCATCTGAAATCTTACTGCTGGCAAAGCCAAAGGTACCTTATAGGATATAACCTCTATATACGTGTACACACATTAATATAATATAATAAAATTAATACGATTTCGAAATACGAACATCATTCTCTTATTAATATACAGCCTAATTATGCTGATTACCTGATTTTTTTTTTTATATTTTTACTTTCGCGTTGTATTTCCACTCGCTTTATAATCAAATATTCACATATTATAAATATAGTGCCTATGCCTGTACAATACAATATTATTATTATACTAACATAATCAAAACGACATTAATACCTACAATATTAACATTGTTCTATGTATTAACGCTTGCTAAATATATGTTGCACTGTGCCAGTGTACCGGAAATCGATTTTCTTAAAAAAAAATAATAATAATAATTTAATATATTATTTTGCAATTCAACCGAACCGACGATAATAAATAGAAAAATAATTAAAAAACACGCAATAATTATATGATTTATAATAGGTATATTATATAGGAAATAGGTGTTTTATCATAAAAAAAATAATATATACAAATAGGTGTTAACATTTTTTCGAGATAAAAAGCTTTCACCCGAAACTAATTTATACGTCAAGCGTATTATAAATAAATAATTTAAATATTAAGCTTAGGTAGGTACTAAGTATTTTTTATCAGCCGATTAAAAATGTACAATACGGGTAGGTACGTTGATTTGGAAAAAAATTTGAAAATTTCGGTTCGGCATTCAAAATAAAAGTTATTATTTTTTTGTAACCATACCACTGATAGGTATCTAGCAATCGACAAATACAACAAGAGACCTTACTTTTTATAGTTATTCTATATACATAGCTATGCCTATGCTTACCTATACATTAAGTATTATACTATTATGATGTGTACATAATATTTAAATGGTTAAACGGTTTAATGTGGAGTTGATGATTCTAACGCTTTATGAATATTATTATCGTATGACACAAATATATTATAATATTAGTTTATAGAGTTACCTATACTAACAATATTTAACCAAATCATACAAAGAATAATATATATGTATAAGAACGTCGCATTAAAAGGGATTCTGATTGGGTGATTTTTTTTTAATCCATGTGTCTTTCTACAGTACAGTAATACCTAATTAATACAATACCTATACATAATACATTCATATTCACGCGTATCCAAAGGTGTTCACACACAAACACCTACCATATTTACTGTCATTTATAAATAATACTATACCTAATACACTTACGTCACGTATTTAATGTCTTACGTTTTTCTTTCAGTCTTTTGTATATATCATACTTATACCTATATAAGTCTTTATACGCCCTAGTTATATGCTTCTGTATAATATAGTATATCTTCATAACTCCATCATCATCAACAACAACAGCAACATATTCACATAATATATTTATTTTGTTCTTGTAATATCTAATTCTAGTTCTTATAATATATACTCTCTGCGGACGAGTGGAAATATTAACAAAAAAAATAAAAAAATATCAATAATTTTAATTTTACATTCAAATTTATTCGTTTTTGATTTTAATTTATTTCGTATTTTGTATTAAATTTATCTATTTGTTGTAGGTATATATGATTAGTTTATATATTTTATCGTCTATATAGGAATATGTATTATTATAAGTACATAACCAAATCGGACGAGAGTGAATATCATAAATATACCTATATATACCCGCATCAGTGTCGTCGTCGTGTTTTCTTTTTTTTCTAAAGCACATATTATATTATTACGATTTACAGGTTATCCGATTTAAGGAGCGATTTGGATCCGTCCGTAGAAAAACCCTCGGTAGACAAAATCGCGAAAACCCAGAATATTCCCGCGAGTAACACTCTGTCCCAAAGAAAAGACGTAGTAGACAACAGTCTGCTGATAGTCGAGCCCACGACTGCCAAACCAAAATCCAATAGTATTATACCTAATTCTAAAGAGCACATTAGGCAAACCAACATTAAGTACAACACGATACCGTACGTCCCGAAAAAAGAAGTAAGAGCCATTAACAACAATAATAACATAATATTAAAAATCCTGCGCACGTTGTACAATATTGTATTATAACAATATAGAGTGTATCACGGGAATCTATACACCATTAGTAATTTTACGGTGAAATATTTAAATATTAAAATAATAGTAAAATAGGTAAACATCAAAGAACACCCTATATATATATATAAATAAATAGGTACATAATATTATGTTATACAAAATATAGCGTGTATGGCCACCAATCAGAATCGCCGCAGCGACGTTCGGTTTACTGTAATAGTTATTATATGATACCTACGTATTAGTTTTCTATAAAATTATAAATTTTAATTTGCATGTGTACTCTTGCGTAGTTACGTCTCTTATGTTATGCGAAATCAGGGCCGTGCCTAGGGGGGTGCGATAAGTGCCCGCACGCCGGGCGCTATGTGACTACAGGGTAGTCATTGAGAATTTTTGAAGTTTTGAAATTGAATATTTTTACGCCCAACGAACAGGTTGAGCCTTTTTTTTTTTTTTTTTATAGTTACCGGTAAATTTTTCTGGCACCGGCTGTCGATTTTACTGGGCACGGCACTGTACATAATATATAGTATTATACACGGCGTACTACACGCGTGTCTAGCGATTATTGAGTATGATTTTTATTTGTTGTTTTTTTTTTTTTTCCCTAGTCGATGATCGTCCAGGACCCTTCACCAGGACGAGTGAAAACTGTAACACCGTATTTCGACAAAATTCCATCGGTCATCATAACTAAAACGCAACACTGAAACTCGGGAATAACATAACACCTACTTGTCTTCATTTTTGAAAAAATAACAACAACACAAAAATCTCAAACACTGTTTGGTTTTATCTTATTGATCATATTGTATCATATACCTACTCAAAATAAATTGTTTTTTTTTTTTTTTTTTGTACGTCTGCGCATATTATATTAAACACAATAAGTGCATGTTACATAGGAAAACGAAAAATTAAAAACAAAAATATTATAAACATCATCAAGTCCAGTGTTAGTTTTAATTTATTTTGTATAGGTATAATACCTATATATATATACATATTATAATATATTATATAATAAGCGTGTTTATATATAATATTATAAGTAATTCGTTCCTGTGTTAAGTTTGCACAATTTTAGTCCACGGCGATAAGATTGTCGTTGCGTAATAACAATTTTTAAAAAATTATTATAAAACAAGTCTGATTTTATGACAATTATTATTATTATTATTATTATTATTATTTATCTGTTCGCTCCATTATATGGAATATAATAGAACAAAACAATTATATGAATATAATATTATTTATGTATTTTTATTTATATACCGACGTACTGATAATAATATTAACCATAATTTTATTAAACACGGTGTGTTAAAATTGTATTATTTGTCATTATTTCTTGCCACAAATATTCCTGAAATCGTCGATGCTGCACGCTCTCTTGCAGCACTCAGTGACCATATGCGATATATTATCCCGTTTTATAATTGCTGAAGTTCTGACATTATCGTCTGAAAGTTTAATGATATTACGATTTTACAAAATAAAATACCTGTACGCAAGTGCGTTAATATCTTAAGCCGAAACCTTACTAATTAATTTAGGCGATGGAGATGAAGTTTTACGGTGCATTTTGTTTCGCGTATAAATCGACAAGTAATGAGGACGATTTTGAATCGTGGTCGTCGGTTCTAGCACAAGAATAAATTGAATCAAATTATTTTAGAAAATATATATATAGGTAGACTATACATAAATATAAATACTTAATACATTTTCCAAACCAGTGGACCGGGCCTCTGTTCGAATTATTCATATATTAAAATAAAAATGTCATATTTTGTGTTGCATTCGGGATACCTATTGATTAAAAATCACAGTAACGAAGACAATGGGGACATATTGGGTCCGGACTCTGCCCCCTCCCCTTATCGATTTAACATCTCGGTTAAAAAATGAGTGAAAATCAAAAATCAGTACACCAATGGAAGCATTTAAAGATACCCATATTTTCTAAACATACGTCAACTTTAATCTAGCAGCATTACCTGCAAGCACAACGTTGACAAACGAGAGGTCTTTTTCAACTTTGGAATCGATTAAATCGTATTTGAAAACGAGAATGGGAGAAAATCGTTTGAATGGGCTATACCATTATAAATATCCATAATAAAATGGAATAAAATATAATGTTAAACCGAAAGATACAGGGCCGTATCGAGATTTTTTCCAGTAAGTATAATTAAATAAATAAAATTTACACCTTGACATATTGTGTAATAAATATAGTTGACTTTTAATCTTTTTTAAAATTGAACAAAAAACATTACAAATTAAATTAAAAATTAAAATTAAATCACACATAAATACTAATTATAATACATTATACATATTTTAAACAAATAATATACTTCTATTTTTTTTTAGAGTGAACCTTGTTTAGAACTTCTTCGGGATCAACTTTACTGTAATATTTCACACAACGTCAATAACCACAAGGTCGTACCTTGGTTTTTTTTATTGTAAATAGCCATCCATCGATAACATTTTATTTTTAGAACAGGCCTATGCGACTCCCGTAAAATTCAACATTAAAAATATGATTTTGCAATTTTTGAAAGACCCGTGTTTTTTAAATTTTTTTATTGGCTCCTAAATATGAAACGTACTACGGGTAGCTAAACTATTAGTCGCAAGAAACAAAAGAAAAAAGACCAGTATTAGTGGCATGTTATAGTGGTGAAAATAATGATTCTGTGGTATAGGAAATGTCAAGAACGGAGATCTGGATCCCATGGACCGGCTCTTCAGATACAGCCTTGATAAAATGTTATAGATTTGTTCATGAAACAAACTCCTAGATATTTACAATAATTGTTAAAGTATTATTACTATTAATTACTATTATTATAGTCTATACTTAGTTTTTTAATAATGTAGTAACCTGTTTTATTGTTAATGTATGTGTTGCACTATTATGAAAAACTTAATTTTTTGGGGTTCCTCTCCGCTACTGATAAATCACCTATCCTATAGATTATATCCTATACCTATATAGCTCGATGATAATCTATGTTAAAAATATTGCGAGATTTGAAAAAATATGAATTTAATACTATATAATGTACTTTCCTACTTTACTACTTTCCTTAAAATAATTTACTGCGGAATCACTAGTTTCGTGAAACGTACTGTAGGCATATTGTATATAGTAAACCTTTCAGGAACTTATTATTCTTGATAAACTGTTATTTAGTGTGTTCAAGGTTTTTTTATTGTATTAAATAAAACTACAAAGAATATTAAAAATGACCTCTTCAATGTACCAACTTGACAAAGTTTGATACAAGTAATCACTCCTTGAAGAATATGTTCAGATCAAGATCATCAGTCATCATTATGACCTTGGTACTCAGTTTATTTTATGTAAACCATAGTTAGAAAAATAAATAAATACCTGTTTTAGATTTTGCATCTGATTTTATCATAAGTAATTCTTCAGGTTCATCAATGTCCAAAAACAATTCTTTAAATTGCCGTTCAATGTCATCCGAATTTGGTGAAATTTCGAATTGTTTTTCTATTACTGACCAACGACTGTCAGAACTAGATGAACGTTTTTTATTTAATGAGCACACACTAATTACCATTGATTTAATCAAATTAACATCGCATGAATCTACTAACTCTGCCAGAAACACCATACCAAATATTGTCAAAATGGTCTAATATAATATTATTAAATGTTAAAATATAATAATTTGAAATTGAAATTTCTATTACAACACCACTTACCGATTTCCTCATTTTGGATCTGTCTTATGATTTAAAAATACGTAAGTACTCACTAAGTGTACTTCATTAAAATACTAGATCCCATGCCCGTAAACCAGTTGCTTAAATAACATTATTTTATCAGCAAGTACATTCTTTATAATGGGTTATTTTATTATTTGAACGTGTTCCTAACTTGTTTTTAAAATGACATTGAAATTACTCATATAAATATAATAAATAAATGCAATATATTAACACATTCCATTAAACAATGCAATTGTTATTTTTAATATTTTTAATAAATGTAAACAAAAAATATTTTCTATATTAATAATGTGCATGAAGAATATAGATTATAATTCAAATACAAATGAACTTTAAATAATGATTAACTTATACACTTATTGATGATTTTAATGTCTGAATTTGCTACAGATATCTAAGCGGCAACTGCTTTATACGGTCGTTTTTGCATCATATTAATTTTGTCTCCGAGACTGAGTGCCATACCCTAGAATTAAATTAACAATATAATATAAATATTATAAGTATATACTCAAATTAAAAAATAATCATTAATATTAATTAAAGTTGACCCAAGTGTTAAATTTTTCAGGGTACAAAGTAATATCAAATTATTTTACTAAGATACTGGGTACCACAATTGATTTCCCTTTGATTACAGAATTAAATAATATGTATACTATAATATTTAGTTTTTACATTTCATATAATTAGAGTGTTGGCATTTAATAATTTAGTAATGTGAATTTTTTTTTGTAACTGACCAAGTACCAGGTATTGGGAAATAAGACCCAGCCAAATACCCCAACATACAAATATTTTTAATACAAATATTTAAGATACTCATAAATCATGAATAAATATAAAAAAATGCACTCAAAATTTCAATCACAATTTGAAAATTTTCTTTTTTGTAGAATTTAAACAAAAATATTAACATTGAATTAAAATAAACAAATTAATTGTATTATATGTTTTCATATTTTTATTTCATATAATTTATAAGTCTATAATAATTTCAATATTTATTATTTTTATTTATAATCTCAAAATATATTAATAATAGAACTAGAAATAGAACTCCTAAGTTAATCATTTGACTTCAATAATTAGTTACAATGATTAATTTAAAAAAAACCATGTACCTAAATTACATTAACTTGAAAAATGGATAACACTTTACCAACTATTAAGGAATGCATACAAAATGTAAATATACACAATATTAGTAAAACTAAATGAATCTATAAAAAAAAAGAAATTGAAAAAATATAATGTGACACTTTATCTAATAGAGTTTAAATTATAAATTATATTAGTTGTATTTTTAAATTTATTAAATCTTACCTTATGGGAAAAATCATAAAAATAAAAAACAAATTTAACATTTTATTTAAATTATTATTAAATTGTAAACAATAATTGTTTACTCGCAATCTGTCAATCCTCAATATTATTTGAAATACTCGGAAATTAACAATAGATGAGGAATGATTATATACATTGCAAAACACTTATGACAAATATAAGTCGACTGAGTCCATAATAATAATAAAATAATATATTAAGATAAAAATTAAGAAATGGCATTCTTAGAATCCTAGTCATCAATACCTTTTTAAATCAAACAACAAAAAATGTACAGATTTAATATCAAAATTAATATAAAATATTGTGCTAATAATAAATATTAGAATAACATTTTAACAACTTCTAAATGAGATATAATGAGCGATTATTATGTTTTTAATATATTCAAAACTTTTTAAATTCAAAAAATATTAAATGTTTTCAAATTTTATTAATTAAAAATTTGTCCAAAAAATGATATAAATCATAATAATTCGATAAAACAAAAAAAAAAAGGAGAATATTAGTTTAATTTTTAATTTTTCTAATATATAAAAGGAATGTTAATATTAGAATAATAAAGTAAAAACAAAATTATTTAATTATGTTTTTCATTTTGACTGTGATAAACCTGATGATGAATTTTTAATTCAAAACTGATCGTACAATACACTTATCATAATACTCCAGGCGATGCATTCATTCATTTATTTTTTATTTCCATATTTATTTACCATATGAATGTTAATATTGGAAAGCATTTTTCTGAGTAATCAGAATATAATTTGTACATTGATTATAATTACCTGACTTTTAGCTCGAATTCTAATATGACCACTGACTTGTGGCTTATCTATTCCCTTTTCAATACTCAAATTTGCCAATGCATCTTCACCAAATATTGATCTTGCATATAAATTTGCTGCCATAAATCCACACTGTCCAGATAATGCTTTTTCGGGAGTAAGACATTTCATATTGGTACTCTTTAACAGATGCGCCAAATATTCATTAAGATCTGTCAAACTAGTAGAAACAGAAACCTAAAAAAACCCAATGTTTAACATATGTACTTAAATAAAATATAAAGATTCTATACTTTGTTCTCCCATTCAAATTCAGTCCACATTTGACGGAATTCAGAATCATTACAAACTGCAGGCATTATATAGTCCATTATATCTATACGAATGTCATCTAATACAACTACATTACGATCACCAATTGCACCACCAATATCATAAACTATTAACAATAAATAATGAATAATCCATGAAAAAATAAAAATAAAATCCTTTTATAATTTACCAATATTTCCAAATATTATGCCATTTTCAGTAGATGCAACTTTAACACTAGCTTTGATGTTACAAAAATCATGAGGTGCCAAAACAACAGGTTGTGGTTTTTCCACCAACTTTAAATCTCCCATTGTTGCTAACTCAAGGGTGCAATTTTGCAATGTATCACCTGATATTATAATAAATAACATTAGGCACTTTTAATACTTTCTTTATAATTATGTATGGGTTTTTACCCGTTTGATTAACAATCAATACATCCAAAACAATATCATATTGATTTACATGCACATAAGCTTCAGCATATATTGGATCAGAAAATCCAGTCAGCTGAGTAACCTTATTAAGTTTACTATTGGTTGAAAGACCTGATCCACCATCATTACTGTTCTGATGAATAGAACCACCACCAGCAACGGCTTGATTTAAACTGAGTTCAAAAACGTTTTCTGTACCTTCTGTTCCATTACTACTGGTGCGTAAAAATACAATAGCATCATCGACATTTACCTTATGCCCTGGCTTTTCTTTTGCCTAAAATACAGTACATTTTTAAATTTTAATATAAACCTAAAGAAAACTATGTATAAGTGAATTTTACAACTTACTTTTTTGGTACTGCTTTCTTCATCTTCTTTGGCAGCCAACATTTCATTCAATGATTTGCTACATTCTACAATGAAAAATTGCTCAATTTCACTATCTCTATCGTTCAATATTTTAACACTTTCCAAAATCTTATCTTCATCATCAATGCCAATTGCCTTGGAACAAATTCCTAAATAGTATAAATGTACGTTTAAAAAAACACACTTCACATGATGGGTGGACCACTGTTGTAAGTGAGAAGTTGGGAAGGTAGAGGGAAAATTGAATGTTCATCTGTACACAAAGATTAATCATTGCTGACAAAACAAACGATTCTGAGCGGAATTCGGTTTTAAAAGGTAGTAATATTTACAATTTAAAAATAAAACATTTCATAAATTTTCCCGTTTTTTCCTATTTATTATGAAAACTCCTAGGAAAACCAAAAAATGATCTCCCTAATGACCACCCCAGTCAGATTTCCCTTCAGAAAAAGTGCTACACTTGAAATCAGAGCAAAATTTCTTGAAAAAGTTTTTCAGATTTAAAAATAAATAAATAAACATCATTACAAAACCAATACATTCCTCACTCAGCTCAGAATCTAAAATATTAAAAAATAATAAAATACAATATCCTAAAAGCATTCTAAAACATTTAAATTTAAATAGTTACCTGATTTTCCAAGTTTTAAAATGTATACAAGAATTAGCATTAATTTAACACAAAATTGATTTGCCTTTATTGAATCTTGTTCATTATATATTTCAGCATATCTTATGCCTAATTTAGTAAAAGTTGTGCCTAAAGCAGCTCCAATATAGTAGTCTCCATCGATTAAATACTGTCTTAATGGAGGTCTTTTAGACTGATTATTACGAGGAGTATTTATAATAAATGCTGATTGAGTAGCATATGTGCCATCAGATGTGACTAACTGTGAACCACTCGATCCAAATTCTTCTACGTTCTCTGAATCACCAGCAGCTTTTTTTAATTCATCTTCAACTAATGGCATCTAAAATTTGTTTAAAAAAATTTATAAATATTGACCTTAATGCAAACAAACAAATATCTAGTAATGACATATTTAGAATTATAATTGTTTTAACATTAACAAATTATTGATTTGATTGTGATATTAGGAAAACTCAATAAAAATGATGTTTTTACATTTTTCAGTACAAAAAATTACCATATTGATAAAATACACTTTTTAATAGTCTTAAAATATTACACTTTTGGAAGTTATAATTTTTATTTACTATTGTTAATTTAAAATTGAATTGTCTATTAGACAATTCAATTCAAATACAACTATTATTATTTTTAAGATAATTTAAATAAAATAATTTTAACCGAGAAAATAGTTTGTTTTTTTTACATTTCAATAAATGTAAATTTTCAGAAATAACAAACAATTTTTTTTAAATTTAAATCCATATACATACATCTCCAAGTGATATTTTTATTTGTTCAATTGTAGCTTCAATATCTTCTTGAGAGTTGACAAATTCACCCAATATCCATAAAGCTGCTCTGTGTACATTAGCTGACTTTATGGATTGGAAAACTTCTAATAAACGCTGGATAATAAGAGGTCGTAATGATTCAAAGAGGTAAATAGCTTCCCGCAAGAATACCATAACATCTGTAGCAGCTAATTCTATATTGTCTGACAGGAATTCAATGAGGACAGGTATTACTGTGGCAGCAATATCTGGAAACTATAAAATATTCTGAAAGAGAAATCATCATGATACCAAACCTAACTGAATAAAACAATTTTACTTTAATAGAACAGGTGTGAAGTGTGCGCACTAACAACTGTCTATATTTTCCAGTATCTTCGTGTTCAGCTAAATTATGAGTCTTTTCCACTTCATTTTTAAGCACAAATACCATTTCCTCAATATTCCGTGATGATACCAAATCCATAGCTAAACAACATTATAGTTATGCTAAGTCAAATGATAACTATTCAATATACAGAATAACAAAGACCAAATAGTATACCCAAATTCAATGTTTTCTTTCGGACTTCCAAATCAGTGCTAGATAATACTCTTAATATATCCATAACCAAGTCCTGAAGCACCCTTTCGTGTGAAGGATGCTCTTTAAGAGCAATTAAACGATCCAAAACAATAAGTTTCACATTGTTATCACTTTCTTTTACAATTAACTCAATATAACAAGAAGCTGCTGCCTGAAATGCCCGTTATTAATAACTGTATTATTAACATGTATACTTAGTCTATATTATGTTACTGTCTTAATTAGTTTGGTCCAAGTGCGTTAGAATTTACTAGTTTAGACTAGAATATTATAGATAGTCTTTATATGAAACTTTACACTACAAGATAAACTAATATTGCCTAGTCCAAACTGTTCATTTTAACATATATAATTTTATATTATAATATGTACCTTAACCGCAGTTGGAGCATTTGATAAAGTGACCAATGTTCCAGCTGCTTCATAACGTACAGCTGGACTACTAGAATTCAATAAATTATAAATACAACGTATGAATCGAGAACGTTCTGATGGATTTGCATGGCACACCTAAATGTAATATCATAAAAACAGTTAATAAAATAATGGTTCCATTTAAATGTTAATTTATTCCAATATGTTATTATCTTACTTTGTATATAAGTTCTACAATTACTAATTGTAGAATGTCACCAAAAGAAGCAACTTGATCTAGGCAAGAAGCAAGATACGCAAGTGCTCTATCTTGATCAGCATGTAACAACATCATAAAGGCATTACGTTTGCAAGACATGTCTTGTTCACCATCAAGAAAATTAGCAATAAGTTCAGGCGCATCAGGTATCAAAAATTCAAAATTCCTATTAGTAAATACAATGATTATAAAATACTAGAACGGTATTAAATTAAATAAGTTTCAATTACCTATAAATAGTAAATATTGCAAGAACAGCATTACGTCGTACATAGGAATGGCGATGCTCAAGACAAGATCTAATGGTAGGCATCAATGGTTCTAATAACTCTGGTTCTTTTAATTTACATAAAAAGCGAAGAGTTGATCCTCTTAAGTATTCATTTGGATGTTGTAGATCCTTAAACAATAACATTTTTTAACTTAATTAACAAAATTAATGTAAACAGAAAAGATTTTGTTAAAGAGTCTGACATTGTATTTTTATTTTAAGCATTAAATAATAATAAAATACAATAAAAAGAAGTGGAGGTTTTTTAGTAATGCAGGATCTCGTAAATTACATGGCTGATTGTCTTGAAATTTGGCATAGATTTTGACCTTAAGAGTGTCAGTGTAAACATGAAAATCATCCTGAAGACTTTTCACAATTACCGGGAGGTTGAAAGTCCAGTTTTAAAAAAATAACATATATATAAACAAATATAAATGTCACTATCTTGAACTTATTTATTTTATTTCATTTGTTTTTTTTTATTATTTAGTTTTCATTTTTATTTATAGCAACCATTCAAGTTTAAATATTCAGATTGGTAACATACAAAATCAAAAACTAAAACTGGTGAATTTAAATGGTGATATTAAAGAGTAAAAAATAATAACTTACAAATTATAGTGAATTATAATATAATTTTTGAAAAAAAAAAACAATGAAATTAAATAAAGATTATGCGGCGATAATAAGTTAATATTTATTAAAATAAAAAGACCAAAAATAAAATAATAATCATCTGGTATATTTTTAGATATGATATATATTGTAATTATTTTCCCATTTCCCTGGAATTGGTGCAATATTTACAATTAAATATTTATACTAATAACATTAATTAACTTTTGTTTATGACGTTTGGCATCAGGGAAAATTTTATTAGAAATAAATTGAATAAAAGATTGACAAAATAAAAACTGACCATGTTTGTAAATTAAATTCACAAAAAGAATTTTAAATTAAAAATATTATATTTTTGAGTTCATCATATTAATAATTATTTATTTTTACAATGTTTGTTAAAATCTTTTATAATAGCTGGATTGAATTCGAATGAAAGAAATGATTATTAGAGGTTCTTTAAAATGACAATTTAATAAATACAATATCAAGTGGAAATAATTATAATAAATATCATATCAACAAAAAGACCAGATCATTTTTTGTTTTGAGTAGCTGAAGAAAAAAAGTGAGGATACACAAGCAATTGCAAACAAAAAAAATTGTTAAAACATCCTTAAGCCTGGTCTACACAAAGTCAATATATAACAACTTTTGAAGTCAAAGTATGTTAACACAACAAAAGTTCCTATACATTTCCAGAAGTTATTAAATGTGTCATCAATAATTTGTTGCAGCAACAAAAATGTCTCATTGTTTCATGTTTCGATTGAAAACAAAACAATATAATAAATTGGTAAACAGGCATGTAGCTAAAAGTTTATCAATGTGAACTCAGTTTAGTCAAATTTTTTATCAATGTTGCTGTAAATTTGTTGCCTAAATATGTACGCTATGTTTCAAATATTGCAATTTGTTTTCGTGTTACGGAACAATAGGAGATTATTGACAACTTATATGTCGTTCTACGTTGCCTTAGTGTGAACCGGGCTTTATACATAAAACAAAAAAACAAATGAAATTAAATAAAAAGACCATTTAGCAAAGCCGGGTGATACTTGCTAGTTCATAATATAATCAATGAATATAACTAGAATTTTTTTTAAAAAATGATTAATGCTTTATACCAACATACTTAACTACAGTGAACTCTAAATTTCAACACCAGACCTTTAGGCATATTCAGTATCTTGTTCAATTATTTACCTTACGATACGCATCACAAACTAATATCATTTCCTGTAATAATTTTCCATCGGCTGTGGTTTTAGGAACAATTTCCCAAAATATTAAAAGAAGTTTTTTAATTGTATGATCATGTAATGGTAAAACAAAACGAATTATTATCATCAATAATCCTGGCAAGCGTTCTCCATTGGCTATCATATGAATTACTTTTTTTAATGCTTCAATTTTTGTTTTTTCATCTCCTTTTTCTATAGAAATAAAAAATAATAGTACTTAACTTATTTTTTAATACTTAATGTTAATGTGTAATACAAACCGAGGTCTGCCTTGAGTTGCATTTCATTTGGCATTTCATAGTCACTAGAGATATTGATCAAAGTGTAGCAGGGTTGCTCTATAGACGACATTGTAACTAAGAAAAAAAAAACTTGTAAATTAAACTAAAATACTTAATTGAAAGCAACATTCTAAATATCCAAAACTGTACAAATGAATGAATACTCACGTTATTATTATGTAGAACACAACTTTACAATAAATACTCGTTTAAATCAAATAAATGTTAATATAGTTGCAATATCTCCTAAACCATTATATAATATACAAGCAAAATTTAATTTAATTAGGTATTTTAAATTATTTTAACGATTTAATATGAATACGAAATGTATAGTTGAATTAAATCATAAAGCCATTGGATATTTTCTCGGCAGTCGGGACTCCCAAAATTAAATACGAATGCAATAAATTGGTTTTTTTATTGTGATAACACGTCATAAGATGATACCACGCGTTTGAAAATTATAATATACAAATTCCATAGTCCTGATAATATTATCAAATCTATGACAGAAACCACAAATTACAATATTAGTATACAAAATGTATGTACACAAATATATATATATTTTAATTCGTGACAGAAACTATAATAATTTATATAATGTGAATATTATGTAGCTATATGAGTGATTAATTCATCAGATAACTCTTCGACGATATTAGTACTTACAAGTTATACCTAAATTTACGGTTGGTAGTGTTGTATGCATAGAGTACTTTATTAGGTCTATTCCTATAGGCTATGGGTCTATTATAATGGTTATATGACACTATGACGGTATTTTATCAAATTTTGATAATGGCATTTTGTCATATGACTCTTTGTCGTTACTATGTGACTTCATGTCGAATTGCTATTTGTTGGATGGCTTTGTACGTGTATGGTTTCACAATACTTGAAACATAGATAATTAATAAGTTTATAAATAAAATAATACAATAGTAGCATTGATTTTAATATAAATAATATTATATGATTATTTTTAAACTACAAATAAAACAATTTTAAAAAATCTCGATATCATCTGTTTCTCTTCCCCAAAAGAACCAAACCCATCGACCATCCATTTCATTTGTTTTCATATACACTGTTATCTGGCTGACATGCCTGTTTATTTAACCATGATTTTACAGTTTGTTTTATGTTCATTTAAATTCAGTTTTATACCTATCGTTCAAATTCAACATATACCCAATTAAAAACTTACATTACAATTTCAAGACTATTTTAACTATTAAATTATATATAATAGGACTTTATAATGCGAATCAAATTAAATCTTATGAAACTGATTCCAAACAGGAATCCATCCACTTATTGGCTTCACATAGATGTTAATTGCATTGTATATATAAAACACCTTAAAGAAAAGATTAAAAGAGTATTGAAAGAATCTCGTGAAATTGAATTATGTCTTGATGGTGTACTATTTTTTGATGAAGATGATATTTATGTAATTCACGAAAATGAAGAAATTATGTAAGTATATATATTTTGAAATGATATTTAATCAATAATCATAAACAATTTTTACAGCTGTATCATTCTGATAACTATTGAAACAATTACAAAAGAATAATTTCATAGTTTTTTTTTTTTTTTTTAGTGTAACAGTGAAAGAAAACAGTAATTATTCAGAACCAAATAAACTCAATGTTGATACGAGTGTTTTGCCGTCTGACAACATTTCATGGACTGAAACAGTTGAGGTAGATTCAGAAGCTTTATCTATACAAGCAAAAGGTTCCAAAAAAAGACTACGCAAAAGGACACATAAAAAAAAGGAATCTGCATTAAAGCCTATTGAACAAATTGAAAATGTAACTTAAGCATTTAATCAATTTTGTATTTACCTAAGTGTACTAATTATTTAATTTTAATTTTTATAGAATAGCTTCGATGAAGTTCCTCCATCTAATATCATTCCTATTACACAAACTAGTAAAATGCATAAGCGTTTTAAATTAAATAATGATAATAATTTCTCTAATTCAGAGTCTTCAAATGAAGACAATTTACATTTAAAAAATGAAATAGTTCATAATAATTCCTTGCCTTTAAATTGTGAAAAAAAATATATTGAACCAAGTATGTTGATATTTGTTTGAGCCATATTTACATGTTATAATTTTTACTATTATATTTTAGTTTGGAAAAAAGAAAAACAGTTTAAATCGAAAGTCAACAAAGTACCAGTATTTGTACGCGGTCAAGCATCTGCACATAATAATTTTAATAATATTTCTTATTCTGAAAATGAAAACCATAAAGATACTGAAACTTATATAACTGAAAATAATGACGAAGAAGTGGTTGATTGGAAAAGTATGTCAAAAATAAAAATTACAGATATTTCGGAATTACAAATACATGATGTATTACAATTTAAAGTATGTGATTCTTTTCATGAACAAATTATATTTTATTAAACTTTAATATTTTATAAATATAGATTTTAGCCTTGAATGAACTTGGTGAAGCTGCAGTATCATCTACAATAACAACTCGTTTAGAACACATTAATGGAAGTACATTATTAATTGAAGTGCTTTGTAAGTTAATAATAATAGTAATAATAACATCTAGTATTGTAAATATATATTTATTAAAAGAAAAATTAATTATATATTATAAATTCTTATTAGCTGGCGTGAAAGAATTTATGGCTGTTAATCACAAGTTTAATATGGACGATGAAGAAAATATTACAACTCGGCGTGAAATTGAATTTCAAGATCTTTTTGAATTAGTAAAACTTGTTTAGCATATCCTGTTAGTAATAAATTTTACTTTTCTTTTTACTAATTGTACTATTTGTAATAAATAATTTACAATAAGCAAATTTGTGAATGATATGCTAAGAGAATAATCGCCAAGACTAAATTTAACCATCAGTCTTTTTAATCTGAATCAAGTTTTGATAATGAGCGAAAGAAATTATAGAATCTATAACTATAATTTTAACAATAAATGAGTGTAATAGTGTAATATATAGTGTTATACACAGAGACTAAGAATAATGGTATCAAATTTGCAATTGGAAATGATTTGATTTTAAATTATGTTTCCTATCCATGTGGCGTTTTAATTGGCTCATTAATTATTCACTCCTGAATATGTGTATAAATTACTCATACCAGGGTATGTCAATCTCAATACTTGTTTTTTTAAATGTCATATTGTCATTAGTGAGTACTGTACTGGTTTAATATTTTACATTCAATATCATGGCCTTAGAAAATAATATTATCTTCAAATACTGTGAAACTAAAAGAAAAATTATTAAATAAATGCTGGAAGGTAAAAATTTAAATGATCTGCGAAAAAAGCCTTGCTCATTTTCGGAATCTTCGTAGAATTGACGCAGGTCTTCTAAAATTTTGTTGTAATTTGCCCATTTCGGCCTCAAATAATGTATTTTGAATAAGGTGCTTAGCTATAGCCCGAGTATGACTGTCAAATTTTTTCAATTGAGTAGTAACATATTCTCCAAATGAAATACACTCATCTTTTTCAGTTAAAGCATTTTTATTTTCTGCAATTATTTTAAATACTTTACATGCTTCATCCACTTGTGGATCTTCTTGGTCATCTTGTTTTTTTAATAGTTTTTGTGATTCAGATGTTTTACCTTTTACAACTTCTACAGGATTATTCAAAACTGAATTAGTTGTAGATGGTGATCGATTAGTGTGATCAGATTTTATTGACTCATCATCTGTAATGTCTTCTTCAAATTGAGATAGTGGCTAAAATCAAAATAATAAGTATATTAAATATTTATACATATGTATAATTAATTCTTAATATACAGATTAATAAGACCTAAAAAAAAATATTAATCCTCTCTCCTATACTAGTATTAATCAAATTATTATTGAAGAAAAAACGTCATATACAATTAATAAAACGAAGTAGTCTTAATTTATTTATGATAATAATGTAAAATAATTTAAAATTAGGTTATAATTTATTAATATTTATTTTGTTATTGGCCACTTTAGAACATACGAGGGCTAATCAAAAAGTATCAAGACTGGTAGTATCATTCAGAAAAGGAACATCGAAGAGCAGTAGGATTGGTATCACTTGCTTCTATGACTTTTTCTGAGTACATTTGTTTTTATTGCTTCTCTATAAAATTCTTCGGTTTGATTTCACTGATATTTTTGTAAAATATATTTTTCGAGTTTAGCGATTTTGTAATAAACCCAAAAGAAGAGTAACTTGACAGATTTGGAGATTTTAGAAAATTTGTCTGCATTTTTTTCCAGTTTCAGAGGGATGCAACATTTCATGGTTTTTGCCATTAAATGTCAATTGAAAAACTGAAAATGTGCCCTCGAGTGGCAGCAAGTTCCGTTTCTTTTGGATTCATTACAAAATCGCCAAACATGAAAAACAAATTTTAGAAAAATATCGTCAAATCAAAACGAAGAAGTTTATAAAGATTTTATATGAATGGATGTGCTCAGTATAAGTCATAGAAGCTAGGTTTACAAATCGTTTTGCTCTTCAACACTCGGTTTCCGAGTAATATTATCAGTCTCGATACTTTTTGATTAGCCCTCGTAAGTTTCATAGACATTCATGAATGTAGCCAAATGTCTTCTTGGTACAGGATTCCATTCACCTAATTCTTGCAACTCTATTTATTGTTAATTCTTCCGTTTCATAAGTACTTCATAGGTTATATTCCCAAATTCAAAATTACTTATTACATTTTGATATAAATAACTACGAGGTTAGATTATGACTAAATGTGTTATATGCTATACATTTTACATTTTATATGGCCAATAATAAAATTTCAGTCAAAGAATTTTTAATTTATATAGGTATTTTATACGAAAACAATAAATATGAACAAATTATCTTTCAATAATATTAACTAATTTTAAATTATTTTACATCATGTATTTCATTATTTACATTATTAATAAATTAATACTTTTTTCTTGGGATTCAATTATTTTACATGTATGAATAACTTTAAATAAATAGCTTAAAACTATACATACACTAGCAATATTATTTATTCTTTTTCTGTGTCGAACATGTTTGTTTAAGAACTGCATGGACTTAAATGCAAACCACTTAGAGTGATAACCGTCATTACCCATTCCAGTAGTTCGTTCACGTCGCAACTCTCTTCTGAATGATGTACGTAAACTATCTATTTTTTTTTTTACAACAGTAACATCCATCTGCAATTCCTCAGCTATATCCATCCAGCAAGTTAGTTTTTTATTCACCATTTTAAAATCTTTATTGGTCGGGTTCCATAGAATTGGTTTATCTTGATATAGACTTATAAGTCGTAAAGTAAATTCATCTGGCCACTCCATACATGACTCCATATTCGAATTCTCCATAATCGACATAAACTTAAGTTAATTCAAAATATTAAAATCAAAACTTGAAAACTGAGAAAAACAATGTACAAACAGTAAACGTATTATGATATAGTTCCTCAATAACGCAGTTTTGCAATTTAAGTAAGTATTTACATTAAAATCTGTGGGGAAAAATTCAAGTCCTAAAATCCAACGATTAAATATAAAAATGTTGTCCAAATCATTTACAAGAATACTCAAATAACATAAACAAGTATGTATAGTGTATACATAATCCGTAGAGATATCACCTTTACCCATAGATAAAATTATATCTCTATGAACCTAACCTATTAAGGTACAATAATATGTTTATTATTATATTAGGTGTGTTGCTTGAACGGCTGTTTGAACCATGGCCAAAGTGGTACAGCCGTATTTGATAACAGAATTTGGCTATTTGGCCGATGTTCAGCAACGCGAAAACCTAATGAACGGCGGGAAATCGTTATACGTTATGATCGTTATGTGCTCATTTTTTAAAGTGGTTTTTTTTTGTTTGTGAAATGTAAATCGTATCGTACTATTGTTCAAAAACTTTCTAATTAAATAATAAAGTTCTATGCAGAACAATAATTTTTTTCAGATTTTAAGTGACAATATTATGTATGCATTACAATTTCAAAAATCTGTACTGTGGTACTCTAAACCATTAACCCAGCAGTGTATGATTTTGATGGTAAATATTTTAATAGTAATATTTACATTAAACGAACGAACAATATCTAAGTCTCAAGATGTTCTTTGAAAACAAATACTATGAACTCCACGAACATTAATTTTATCTTATTTTTTTGTCTATAATATACTTTATTCAAAATAAAAACAGACCCAACGACGAACGAAAACACTTCGTTGTTTGCAGTGTTTGCACATCCATCCTCATTTCCCCATATGATACACGGCGGCGAAATCAGTGACGATGTACTCTAGTATATATCTTAACTAGTTAATCAAAATATTCGTTGATACAAACCGGTGTTAAAACAACACCGGTTTAATTTTTTTCCACCATAACATGCATATGGTGCAAACTATTTACACCGGTTTCATCCCTTCTCATTTCCTCAAAATAATAGATTAATATTTAATTTTTATATTTTTATAGTATTATCATTGTTAATTTTGGACAATGGTGGGAATACACCGATCGATTTCCATCGTCGAATAAGGTGTAAAATAATCGGTATCAAATATTAGTAACCGAACCAACCGGTTTGTACCAACGAATTTCTAGAATATGTCTGCGGTGCACGATCGTAAACAATAATTAACAAATCTGCTACCAGGTGGTCTGGCAGCGCTGAGAGCTCGGATGCTATACGCCGATCAGTTCTTATTTTGAATAGAGTATCTGTCCTATTGTTTTTAAATACCTAGTGTTTCTAATATTTACATTTGAACACGTAAAACTGTAAAAGAATCGTGAGTTTGACGATAACAATACTTTATCAGCAATCGACCATCCAAAATTTTACTTTACATTTATTATCCCACTATTTCCTGGGGACGGGTGCGGCCACCGTTGAAGTTGGAAAAATGGGATAAATAAAGTTATTTAATTTATACCTGTAACCAACGAAAAACGATTCGAAGCGAAGTTCGGTTTAACATGTTTTAATAGGCTGTAATATTTAAGTTTTTCGTCAAAATTTGATTTTGAAACTCTTATAAAAAAAAAAATACTACTTACATTAAACTTAATTTGTTTTTACCACTAAGTACAAATTATAATGAATCTCCTGTCGAATATTCAAGCATTTCAGTTTAATCTAATAATTTCATCCACAAGTTACCTACCAAAAAAAAATTACGTAAAAAACTCATAAAAATTAAAATGTCTATAATTAGCTCAAAAGTGGTTCAAATATTTTAGAAAGTTTGCTCTCATCTAGAAAAAAACAAATATAAGTTTTTGTCCAAATGTCAAGTCTCTATACATATTTTATACTAAATTCAAAATAATGAAAGAATAATTTTCGTACATTTTCAAATTCTTTCCAAGTTTTTTTTTCATTTTTGCTCAATTATAAAAACTACGCAGAAAATCAAAAAACGATTTTCTTATTTATCAACTAGATTAAAAATTCAAGAATAATAAACACATATCGTTTTTTCATTGAAGCAAGATTTTTACTAGAAAACATTAGTTACAAAATGTAAAATTATTGAGTTGAATTTGCACAAATGATTGTATCTGTTTTTATTATTATAACTATTGAATGTGTTTGGCTGATTGTATATTTATAAGAAGACTTATTTAATTCAATTTAAAAAATATTACTAAAGTAATTAAAGTGAAATATTGCGTACATTGAATATGTAATTCAATACATGTTTAATGTAATAGACAATTTGTGCGCAATTTTATCCCTATATTTTATAGTATCAATATTATTTAATAAATTAAGTTTGAAGTGATATTTATGATTTATGACTTATGAAGATGCACATGCAGCTTTCCTTAAAGTTTTCAAAAAAATCAAAAGGGGGGGAAATAAAAAGTATATTATCCACCTATTATTTATATAAGTATAACATAATATGGTGAATATATATTAAATTTTATGAATTTTTAATTTAGTTAGTGAGTAATAAAATCGTTTTAGATATTTCCCCTTTAGTTTTTTAATAATTGAACGTAACTGAAAAAAAAACAAAATAAGAACGGGAAAATTTACAAAAAAAATGCTTTAATTATTTTCAATTTTATTTTTTTGTTGTAACTAAGTTAAAAATATTCGTAGAAATTTATAATGTTGACAGAAAACTTATACTTACATTTTCTAAAATCTTTTAAGCTAATTACATTTAAATTTGGCGAGTTTTTTACGATTTTTATTTGGTATGTACTCCAAAAAATAAATTATTTGACCGAACAAAAATGTTTAAAAATTTCACTGGGGGTTCAATATAATTAATATAATAACATAATAAAATATAATTCATACTGGTTATGCTTAGTGATTGAAAAAAAAATTGAATTCAATATTGTATTTTTTTATATAATTTTTTATCAAATTTTGACGAAAATTGTAAATATTACGGCTTTCAAAACGTTGGTATATAACCGAAACCCTCCGAATCGTTTTTCGTTAACAATGGTTTATCATTATTTACAGGTATAAATTAAATAACTTTCAAACTACATCCATCCACACCAGTATCAGTTCTTTTTTTTAAATTCGTGCCCATTTAAATACAATATGTAATTTTAATAGCGGCAACTAGCAGCGCTCTGTTGCGTGTGGTGATTTAGTGCACTACATCAAGCGTAATAAAATCTGACCATAGATAATAATAAATTGTTATTTATGGTTCTGTGGACTGTGTTTGACTCCGTTTTGGCTTGTCAGTTATCAAATATCAATAATCAACTCCTCTTCTTTATAATCGTAGTTCGTAGAACTAGTTGTTACTACCATAGACCTGATAATATAGGTTTATAAGTCAATGGTTACTAAATACGAACAAAAGTTTCCCTGAGATTAACGTCAGACGTGAAAATAAATGTGTTACCTATACGACTGCTCATAGTATAAATTTATAATAGACTACAAGTTTATATAAGTTTATTATAATGTGAATGCCCACTAATTAAGATAATATTACATAATGATAATACCTACATAATATTATGTAATAAAAAAATTAAAATTAAAAAAAACTCGCAACGAGTAACCATGGTTTAAATACTCGATAACCATAGCGACCAAAGTAACGATTTCTGTATTCAGTGATAAATGATAATCGCCCTATACCTATCGATAATCGCAAAATTAGGTGTCGGCCAGTGCGATTAATCGACTTGTATATTTTCAAATCTACTCTTAAAAAACCCATTCATATTTGTATGTACAAAAAAAACCTTGCAAACGTTTGAAGGTTAACCACTCGTCCATCGGATAAGTGGTCGGCTTTCAGCTGTCAATTTACTTAATAATTATTGAAAATTCCCTGTAACAACATGATCATTAATTAGCCTAATTATTTGTATTATTATTGAGTACACAGTTTAATTGATTTCCCATTTGTTTTTTTATTCCATATAAAATTTATCATCTATCAACATTATTTGTGCTTGAATAGTTAAATATTTTTATTAAATTTAATATCATTTACCAGGATTATATAACATTATAATATACGTATATCTACATTCAAATTATTTGTGTATTTATTTTACCCATATTAAATTGTAATTAATTGTTTTATACTCAAAAATAAAAATATGAGTCTCGCTGACTCTGTTGGTAAATGTGCTGCTATTGCAACTATCGGAACATTTTTTGCTCCTGTGTAAGTACCTTTTAAAATAATTTGTCAATACCTAGCTGCAGAGATGAGAGATCTCATCTAATTTTTTATTTTATAAATTCATCGAGATTAGATCTTTTATAGTAAAAATATAGTAAACTAGACTAATACAAAATGAAGAGAAAAATCTAAATAATAGTGAAAAATTAATAATAAATATATCAAATATAATAACTAAAATAAATAAACACTCATAAGATTATGTTGATTTTTAAATGTAAATTTAATAAATAATATTTTTTATTAGGTACCTAATGTTATTAATTTTAATAATAAACATCTTTTAGTTCTAAAATTGTTACCATTTTAACCACTGTATAACAGAAAAAATATATAGTATGTAGGTATTCAAAAAAAGTTTCTGCGGATCATAAATTAAAATTCAATGTTTGATTATGTAATCTTTTTATTAGTTTTATGTACATATTTTTTTTTCACTCTTCGTTTATATAAATACAATAAATCATTAAAAAAAAATTCTGTGGACTAATATAAGTCTTACTCAAATAATATTTATTCATATTCAGATACATAATTCTGTATACAGACTGTAACATGAAGATCTGACAACTTAAATAACTTTTGTTTAATTTGATACCTATTTTTAAGTTAATTTCATGTAATTATTACTTGAGCCTTGCACTATGATTCCTATGTTTTATATTTTTAGGACTAAAATATTTGTTAACAAAATCCAAAATAGCCATTTTATAATTTCCAATTTTGAAACAAAATGTTGGTGTTACAAATATTTAAACATCAACTGAGAAGTTTTTACAATTTTTTTGAAGTCAACAATAATTTTGTTAATTCTTTTTGTGAACTTCAAAAATAATTAAATCTCTACAATGGTATCAAGCATAAATATTTGTAACAGCAAAATGTGATTTCAAAATATATATATTTATAAAACGGATATGGAATTTTCAAAAAAATATATAAAATAGAGGAATCATATGGCATAGTAATAGAAATTTTTTGAAGAAAAAAAATCTTAAACATATTAGTATCAATGTCTGTTAATAACAGAATAAAAATTAGTTTTTATTAATATTTTATTAAAATCATTTTAGATGTTTAATTGTTCTATTACACTCTGTATATACCTATATGTTAAAATAATTTGCTACGTTTATTAACCAATTTAAAGTTCACAGAAAAAAAATATTTATATCTATTTTAAACTTACTAAGTATTATTTGTATGCTTTCTTTATCTTTAACAAAACTACCAATTAAAATGTTTATTTTATAATGTAAAAAAAAAAGTAAAAAAGATAATCTAAGTCTACGTCTTTATTTAATTAATTAAAACATTAGTCCCTAGGTATTTTACTCAACAATTATTATTATATTGAAAATAACGTTTATTATACATTATTTTATCAAAATTATAAATTATTCAATTCCTGTTGATAGATCTTAAGATAAACAAAATGCTATCTAATTTTATTAGTAAAATATTGTCAATTAGGTGTCATAAGTAATATGTTAATTTATGGTGGGTAGGTAGAATGTTGATAGAGATAACAATTTAAATTGATGTGTGATATTCTAATAAAATGACCTATTGGGCAATTAAACTATTTATGTAATACATTGTATATTACGTATTATATCTGGTGATTTATAATTTATTTATTTGAATGTGTTTTTATTAATTATCTATTAAGTAATTCATAATTACCTTTTATTAAATTAGCTAAAAATAATATTGATTTTGTATGGTTTATAATAATAATAATTTCGGGGGAAGGCTTAGTATTTCATAATATTGATTAATATTTGCTTGGCCCCCAACTAAAGTCTCCTCCGCTAATTGTTCCTATATCCTTGTAATATTGTTGAAATGTCATGTGATAAAAGAATATTTTTAATAAAAAAACAAATTTATTTATAAATATTAATTTTAGAACTGTCTAATATAATTTCTCAAATAGTCTTATTCTAATCAGAAAATATATTAATAATGCAATTTATTCAGAATAGGTACTCATTTTCACATTATGGGTGTAAAGATTAGATATATAACAAATAAAGTCAAGAATTTATTTTTAAATAAATTACATAATATTGGGTTTTATAGCAAATTGTACCTATAGGTAGGTATGTGGTATTAAAATGTACTACTTTTATTATTTTGTAATTTGTTTATCCTATTATTACATATTTTAATTATTTTAATGAACTGTGTATAAAATTAAAAGTACTAATAATTTTATAATAGTAAAAAATGTTTTGATATTTAATGTTTTAGTCTTATATGTCGTGATATAATAAAAGCGAAAAGCTCAAAGAATGCAGATGCTACACCTTTTGTTGGGGGTATGGCTATGTAAGTATTATTAAATGTTCTATAATTTTAATTTAGTTATTTAATTCAGTTATTTTTAGGTCTATACTTATGATCAAAAATGGATTGCTTATGAATGATCCTAATATTATACCAGTTAATATTTTTGGATTTGTGTTGAATCTTGTCTATTTTTTGATATTTTATACTTATACAGCTGATACAGTAAGTAAATAAATTTATAAAAAAACTATCCACCAATATTTATAAAATTATAGGTATATATTTTTATAATAGGTATGACATTTTTAATTTATAGAGTCCATTATTTTCATTGTTAACAAAAGTGTCTCTTTTTACTGGTGTATTATGGGGCTACACATCATTTGAGGATGAAACACTAATTGAACACCGTTTTGGAGTTATTCTTACTTTATTGATGTTGGCGCTAATTGGATCTCCCCTATTCTCTTTGGTAAATTAATTTTTAATTAATTAAAAATTTAATTTGGTATATTATATTAATATTTTTAAATAATTACAAAGCATTATTGCTATTAATTATATAGTTACATAATTATTCTTTTAGTTTCTCTCTGCATTTTTTCCCGGCCATTTGAGATTAGCCATCTTGTGTTTATCCTAATTCTCTTACTATAAGCTGTCCTATCACTAATTATCCTGATATTACTTACATCTCTTCTTTTACCTTCCTCTGCCTTTTTTCTACATTACGCAGTTAATTGCCTATTTCTTGATTCTCCATTATATGTCCTCATTTTGCTCTCTTTCATTTAACATTGTGTTAGCTCAACACAAAAGTTTTACCCCATCTTCTTAAATATACAAATATAACATATTAACTACTAATCTTTATTTTAATTTGTAATAATATATATTTATAGCTTTGTTTAATTATAAATAAATTAACACTTTTTATGTCCGTGTATGAAATAATAGTATACAATTTCAACTTCTCATAATTTATTTTACAGAATGATATTATCAAAAAAAAGGATGCATCTATGTTACCTTTTCCAATGATTGCATCTGGTATTGTAGTGGGATCCTTGTGGTTAATCTATGGATTATTGATAGATAATATTTTCATAAAGGTATAAAAACCCAATTCATCCTAATCCCTATTTGTACTTTTATTATTTTTATTTTCAGGTTCAAAACATAGCAGCTATTATATTGTGTTTGATACAATTATGGTTAATATACAAATATCCTAAACCAGAAAGCAAAAAACAAAATTAATTATTCTATAGTTACCTTATTATATATGGAGTTATACAAGCATTTATTTCTGTCCACATTTACTGTAATTTTCAATGTTTTTTTTTTTTTTCATAAATCCTTCTATATATTATATTAATATAATGTTGTTAACTGTATATTAGTTTTAGTGCCATTCTGTGTACTTAGCTACTTAATCGCAGTTTATATTCTAATGTTTTAATATTGTTTATGTTCCAAAATGTGATTGACAAAGTGATTTTAATTACCATTTTTTTTAAATGTTGCCATACAATTATAGATGTTTAATATATTTTATTATACCAACCAACAAATCAAAATCATTCCAATATATAATTAATTTAGTTACTAAGTAATTAATTGTTGTTTAATATTTTATAAATTATTGATTTCAAATAAATTTATATAGAAAGTAAAAATAAAACTATACATAGTTTTTAATTTTCTAAAAATAAGATTGGAACACCTTATATCCCCAGTGAGTCCATCAGTATTCAGTATATTTACTAGTTATGGTTGTTGATTTGGTTGACAAGAAAATATATTATTTATAAAATTATTAAAAATTTAAAAACTTAAAAAAAAATGGATAGCACTACTTCCCATCAAGGGTGGGCCACTGTTGTTGGTGAGAAATTAGGAAGATAGGATAAAAAAGCAATTTAATTTATATATGTACGCAATGATTACTCATTGCTAATGAAAAATGATTTTTGAGTGGAATTCGATCAATAGTACTGGTATTTCAACAATATTCATTTACACGACAACATTGTTTGAAAAATAAATAAAAACAGTTACCAATGACAACCTTATTTTTAACTTAAAGAATCAGTTTTTCCTCATCATTAATGAGAATTCCAAAAAATGACCTTTCTAAAGTACCAAATTGAGCGAAATTGAACAAAAAAGGTACCTTGTCATGTTTTAATTAAAGCAAGATTTCTAGGAGAAATGTAAAAATTGAACATTAAACATCAGTGTAAATATAAAGAATAAAGAATTCCTTTATTATCTATAATTGTAAAACCAATAGGTACATTCCTCACTTTGCTCAAAATCTAAAATAGGTAGGTACCTAAATATATTATTATCAATATACATTAATAATCACTTAGAAAAGTAATTTAGTGCAGTGTTTCCGCAAAACTTACATGATTTTTTCAAAGGTTAAACAAAATTACATCAAAAAAAGCTAACTAAAGATCGGAGATTGCCGAAAAAGTGTGTCGTAATAATTTATTAAATTTATTAAAATAATAAGAGTAAACAAAAAAAATTGGATTTCTTTTTAAAAATCAAAAAGTTAATGCAAATGCTACTGAGGAATCAATACTATTATACTTTTTTTATTATAAATCAATTATTACCTAATTTGTCTTTAACAAGATTCAAATCATTAATTTAAGTTATCAAGAAAACAATATTGTACTTAATCATAATTATGAATATGAACAAGTATGTAGAATCTAAATAATCATTCATGAATTTGTATGTACTTATTTCAAGATGTTTACAAATTTATATTTGTGTAGAACTGGATAAAATAATATATTCATATTTTTCTTAAAAGTTCGAAATCAAGTGTGTGAAAATTTGATAAATTTTTGAATTGAAATCTTTTTTTCTTTCACCATATTTTTCTTAAAAGTTCGAAATCAAGTGTGTGAAAATTTGATAAATTTTTGAATTGAAATCTTTTTTTTCACTGGTGAATTTTATTTATAAATTCATTTATTTTTTTTTTTTTTTGATGTGTTTAAATAATTGTCACTTCTCATCCTTGACTGAATTAACTATCTACGGACCCTCCCTAAGGGCATATAATCGAAAGTCTATATGTCTCAATCCCCTATTAATGTAATATTATCTGTAGGAAATACTTTAAGTAGATGATGGTAACTTGTTTTCTTAATTTTATACCTATTTATTATTATTATCATAGGCAATACTAGGGAGGTCTTTAGCGCCCCCAAATTCAAAATTAACACCCTCGAAAATACCCAATACGCTTTTTTATAGTATCGACTAAGTATTTTATCTTTTTACCTTAGATACCTCCAGGTGACAATATAATGAAATTAAAAATGATACATTTTTTTATAAGAAATTATAAATGAAATGTGTAGTTGCATATTATAGGTATGTTGAGACGATAACCCCATATGTTCATAATTTTAGCACCTCCAAAGTTGGTGGTCTATAGATGCGTAAATATAGTTGTGTCTATGATTATTATTGGATGATCCAATAATATAATAATTCAATTTGGATCTTATTAATATTTAATATTAAACACTGTATTTCAACTAAATATACGTCATGTATTTAATGTAGGTATATTTTAATACTTTAAACTTTCTCTAAATTGAACTCACGCCTGTTATTACCTATATTTAAATAAATAAATAATTTTAAAAAAATCTGCGAAATCACTTAGATAAAGAATATTTTATAAAACACTTTATTTTAAATAGGTACCTATCTACGGATTTTTAGTTTGCTGATTTAAAATAAACTTTTATTCAAATTTTGTGAAGATGAGACTTTTTAATCAATTACCTGTTTACATTTATTATCAAGAAAATTATAAGACGTATAAAAAAGAACCTTCTTAAGCATAGATATGTTATTTATACTCTTATTTAATCTTAAAGCACTAAATAAATACAATTTGCTACCATTGTTAAACATTCCTATTTTCCTAATGTTAATAAATAAAAATGGAGGAAGTCTTCTAGAGGAATTACAGATAAAATGGATTGGTCATAATATTATAAATCCTTATCATAGCATATTACACTCGTTATCAAAAGTTCTTTGATAAGTATTAGGTATTATTGTTGTTGTTAAATGTAAAATAACTAAAATAATATTGAGCATAATATGAGAATAATATTATACTCTCCCAATTCGATTATGTCTTTACAAAAGCTTTGAGTTGTCATTTGATTGTAAAATGTTAATCATGAAATAAATCGTCATGGACGAGTTGCAATCAATATCCGAAAGTGTTGAGACGAATTCCCTATGTGAAGAAGAACGGGCAAGAAAATTATTCCAAGCATGTGACGGCGATGGCGATGGTTATATTGATAGGTGAAATTAATTATTAAAATTATTTATCATTGTTTTCATTATAATTCTTACTGTCTGTCACCATTATATATATGTGCTGCTTTTTTTCTGGCTAGATTCTATCCGATTGATAATTGTGATGAAAATGCAATTAATAACTGTGTGATATGTTTTAAAAATTCTTCTGTACCTAATGTGTCAATTACCATCTATTCATCCATGTTACTGAATTAAAACAGGATGTATAAATAAAATTAATTTATCTTCTAAAGTTATAAATTCCAACTTTATCATAAGATTTTTCTTTAATAAGATCAACATTTACTAACAACATTATGGCTATTTCCAGCTAAACTGCTTTAATTAACTTTAATTGTTGATTACTGTAAATTAAAATTACTAGAAATATTTATTTAGCTATCATTGTATTTGGTTATTCCGAAATGTCTAAATTAAAATATTGAACAATTGTAACACAATTTGTATTGAGTATTAGTAGTATTACTCTACAAACTTAAAAGTTAACATACTTGAAATGGTTCAAAGTTAATATTAGGTAATGTTTTTTTATATCTATCTATGCATAATATCTTTAATAATAAAATTAATTATTAAAATTTTTTTTGAACATGTATCATGTAAATACTACTGAACCAATTTTATATTCACAATTATAAAGAATCTTTAGGATAACTAACAATTTTATACTGCTATTTTAAATTTTTTAAATGTATTATACTCAAGTGTCTTGTGCCTGTAGGCCAGGTACACCACATAAGTGCATGCCTTTAAGTATACTGTACCAGATATCTTTATATTTAAACAATTGTAATTTATCTTTCTGATTTTTAGTCGAGATTTGTTAACTATTTGTCGTCAACTAAACTTAGAAGACAGTGTTGATGATTTGATGAAAGAATTAGGTGCTGATAAAAGTGGTCGTATATCATTTGATGAGTTTGTTAGACGTCGATTAGAATTACGAACAGAAATTAATGCACTTCGTGTAATTAACTATGATCCATTGCCTGAATACTTACCTACTAGCAGTGATAATAGCTTAGGTAAAACTTAACAAAAATTTTACTCATTATAAATTATATTGATTAAGTTATTTATTTTAGGAGCAATATCTGGTGGTAAGCATGAGAGTTGGGAATTTGATAGTGGGGCAAGAGATCTTAGTCCTGAACCAAATTCTGTTCGTATGCAACATCTACTACAAACTGGAGGATCAGCAAATTCTGGCAGCTTATTACACCTTGCTAATAAAGTTTGATTGAATTATATTTATTTTAAATTTGGATCTAGAATAGAACATTTAATAATTATTATAAATGTAAATTATCTAAAAATATGAATAAAACCTTCTACTTGATACAATTTGATTAATTTCATGTAACTAAACACTAAATTCTATGAATTCATTTTTAGTTGCATTTGGCTGCATTGAAGTCATTAAAAACTGAAATATCAGATTTAACTAAGCAATTGCAATTAGCTACTGAAAAAAATGAAGTCCTTGAAACAACTTTAAATCAGATCAAAGTAACAATTTTATTATTTTTTTAAGTATTTATATTATTATTAAAAAATAATTATTTTACAGATTACAACAGAAAATGACGTGAAACAAAAATACGAAGAACGAATTACTGAACTACACTCTGTTATTGCAGAATTGGCACGTAAATTACAAATTCAAAGAACTCAAGTTATTACTGAAGAAATAGAAGAAAGCCAATCAGGTATATTTTTTTTATAGACCATTTTTATGTGGCTCATTTTTACAATGGTTTATTTTATTTAGAAATAGACGCACAAAGTATTGAAACGTCATCATTTATTCAAGAATCTGTTGCTTTATCTAAAGAAGTAAATATGAATTGCTTATATATTTATAATTTAATCTAAAGTGGCGGTGGATTGACTCAGGAGCTGTATATAAACTTTATCAATTTTTTAGTAATTAATAATTATGTATAAAATAGAATATAAAATAAATATTTTAAGATACATAAAATATGACTTAATCAAAAAAAAATGTCAACTACGACATTGTCTATAACTTCCTTTGTATAAAGTTCATAAACTATTCTACAGTTAGGTACTATAGTACTCTATTGTAGTATGTTAGTGAATGTGTGTCGTCATTATTCATCATTGGTACAAATTATTTTAATTAATTTTATATAATTTAAATTTTAAGATTTCTTATGTTGAAAATAGTTCAAAAATTATTTCTTAATTATAAGAAAGATTTTTTTTTACAATTATTTTTAGGGAGATAGCGCGGCTTGTTTTGATGATCATGAAACAAAAGAACTTTATGCTGATGTTCATGCTGAACTGGCTTTAAAAGAAGAAGAGTTAAAGAAAACAAGACAAATTTTGAAAGAAGTAACTAATGAAAAGGAAGAATTATTAATGAAGGTAAAATCTTTGTAAATTTCTATTATAGTTTGAACATATAGTAATTGTTTTGGAAACATTTCATTTAATTTAATTTTACCATTTCATATTTGTTATAAACAAATTTACTATTTGTGATTGCAGTTACAGGACACGGAAAGTAGTTTCTCATCAGGCCCGATGTCTCCATCTCGATTACTAATGGAGACATCTAAATTAGCTGAAAAAGTAAAATTGCAAAAACTTATTGAAGATTCAGCAGAAGCCAACCTTGAAGGCACAAGTGTATGGATATTTGTATTCCTTAACAAAAATATATTTGAAGGCTGACTAAAATATTTAATTATACATTTTATTTTTTTTAGATCTGTCAAAAAGCAATAGCTGAACGTCTTGCTTCAGCTGTCATTTCTGATTGTGATTCATTAGAATCAGGAAACAAAGAAATTTTAGTTTGTCAAGTTGAACAGTTACAAACACGTTTAGATCATGTACGTTCACAAATGGCTGTCCTTGAGCTCATGTTTGAACAATCTGCTGCACAAACAGACAAGTAAAAATAATATTCATAAATAAAATTAATAACTATCAAATTTGTGTAATATAGCCAGTTAATAAACTGACTGGTTTTGCACAAATGTAGTTTTAGTTAACATTGTGTTCAGGCGCCTACTGGATTCTAGTTTTGTACCAGGAAATTATTAAATAGGACATAGTTATAAACATTCATCAAGTAGCAGCCTACCTACCTACCCTACCAACCTAAGTAATCACAAAGTTACAATAGGTAATTTAAAGAAATAGTAATAGGAAAACGTGTATAAATCAAGGGCCCGCTAAAAAATTCCTGGTACCCTGGCGGGTCAGTACTCTCCTAATTATTTTAATAATATAAGATGATTTTTTCTTATCATGAACTAATTATTTTCTCGGAGGTTTTAAGTGAATTTGATTTCTGTTTTTTTTTTTTTTTTTTAATCATTATAAATCGGTTAAGCTTTACTTTATAACCATTTTTTAATTTTTACTACTACTCCATATACTTTAAATAAGTATATACTTTTGTTTTTTTAAATAGGAACATCCCTGTTTTGTATACAGATTCGATTAGAGAATATTTTTCTAGAAATTTTGACATGCATTTGAAAAACAAAAATATACACTTATTTAAGGTGTATGAAGTAGGGGTAAACAATTAAAAATTAAAGCTAAAATAATTCCTCAATGATTAAAAAAAAAAAACAGAAATCAAATTCACTTAAAATCTACAGATAATTGCTAGTTCATGAAAATCACTCTGTATAGCTGGTGCATACATATTTTCTTTTTAAAACTGTGCATGGGCAAAGCAGATTTATCAAAATCATTTAATTGGTGACCCCAGGTTGAGAAACGCTGATATATACTAAATATATTTTGGGTTTATACTGTTAATACATTATACATTTGTATATTAATATAAATATGTATAATATGTGTATGGTATACATTTTTTTCATGTTCTAGGCTATATTTATTATTAGGAAAATATGAGTCAAATATGATTGCATTAAAATTAGAAGTTGAAACAGGTGAAGAAATAATGAACTGTTATTCGTCTTTATTATCTATTTATGATGGATCAGCTAATGAAGAAGAAAAAATGTAATTTTCTATAAATGTTTTATTTATAAATATTACAAAAAATTGTTTATTAATTTAATTAATATACTGAATAGGATGAAAGATGAAATTATAAAGTTGTTACACAACTTAGATGAAGAGAAGAAAAAAATTGGATCAACAGTAGTTGCTTTAGAATCATACCATTGTGAGGAAGAGATACCCAAACCCAGAAGTCGTAATCAAGTAACTCGGATTGATTTAGAAATGGCAGTTCTTGTGCAAGAATTGATGGGAATACGAGAAGAAAAGTGTGAACTTCAAGAACGATATAAAGCGTTGCAAAAACATAATTGTGAATTGGAAAAACAATTGGTTGAATGTGAAGAACGATCTAGAATTGATCTAGATACAATTCGAGCACTGGAACAACAACTGTCCACTGAAGACTATGATAGTACTGCCGGTATAAATGTAAAACTACAGAAACAACTAAAAGATGTTACGACAGCATATCAACTTGCAATAAGGAATTCCGAAACCAGGCATAAGCAAAATATTACTTTAATTGATAAACTGCGCACAGAAAACACGTGAGATTATTAAGCAATTTTACTATTAGGTTTATATTTAACTAAAATTTTGTTTTGAATTACAGTACTCTTGAGCGTAATTTGGAAAGAGCTAAACGCAAATCTCAATCACGTTTGAAAAAATTGGAGTCCGAAATTGAAATTATGGTTAGCACACATACTCTTCAGGTAATGTAGATTTTTTTACCCGAGAAAATAAATATTCCTTAAGGTACTACTTCAATATGAGTTCTACCTTATCATTGCAATGTAAAAATATTGATAGTAATTGGTTATGATTTATTTCTTACCCATATCCGTACAGTTTCGCATTGTATGATTCACATTTACACACTTTTACACCAGTATTTAGTTAGGTGGGTTATCAAAACCAGTAATCCTAGCAAACTGTCTATTGTTATAACTTTATAATAAAAAATATATTAACATCTAAACATGTATGCAGATCACATATTGCACTATTTATACTGTAATATGATGGATAATTTTGTTTATGTAGGTGAAAATGTTAAAAGAAAGAATAGCTGTACTAGAATCCACAATTATGAATAATGAGAGTAGCAAGAAAAATGCCGAAAGAAATGAAACCACCTTATAAACATTAATAAACAAATCAACTCTATAATTGATATACTATTATTTGTGCATTATTTACGTATAAGTTTGTTTTAAGATTTGAAACATTATTAAGCATTGCTAGGCTTTATTTTTGTTCCTGTGAGTGTATATGACAAAGTTTCATATTATATCATTTAAACTATATAGTAGATTTTATTTTGTCATAACAAAATAGCTATATTTTACAATTTAATGGTATAGTCCTGATCAATCTACTTAAATTAATATTACATATTAATGTATTTATTATATTTGTATGATATACTATCAAAAAATTAAATTATTATACTTTAATATAATACATATCTAGTGCAATTTATTATACACATAATTGATACTCTAGTACTTTTTATGTATTTTATATAAATATAGTTTGTAAGTGAAATGTAGGCAAAATGCTTTATTTTATAATACACATTTTTGTACTTTTTTTTTTTACAAGAAAAAATAAAATTGTGAAAAAACAATAGATGAAAATGTTATTTCTATATCAAAATAATTTAATACTCTTAAGTTTTTACACAATTGGTTATTTTAAACAGTATTATACAAAAATTATAGTAGCATATTTATTTTATTGAGTATCCATTCGTTCTGGATTGGCCAACTCAAATGCTCTTAATTGTTTTTCTAAATGAGCGCAGGCTAATTCTATCTCGTAATTTTTGCTTACCAATCCTACCCAATTGGCTTCTAAATCTCGCAATTTCTCTCCAACTTGCATCTGGACATTCTTTCTTTGAAAATTTACTTCTTGGATTTGTTTTCTAATAAATTAATTTTAATTGATTAGGCAGGTGGAAAATACCCAAAATTATTTTAAAAATGTATAGTTTAGTACTTTAATTTAGTCACTTGGTTATGTGCAGCTGCAACACATTTTACTAAAACTTCCAAATAAGATTTCCATGATTCTGTACCGTAGTCTGTCATTAATTCTAAATTTGTTATTCTGCAAATAACATATTTTATTAAACTGTATTTATAGATTATATAGAGAATAACATATCATTACATACCTGGTAGCTTGATGTTCAAGTTGAGCCATTGAATTTTCTAAACACTCATTCCAAGCAGACATATCTGTAAGTTTTCCAGCTGGCGGTGGAGGTAACTCATAACGCTTCATACTCATTGTTTCCATTGGCAAACGCTGTTGTAGTCTATCAAATTCAGAACGCATCATTTCCGTCTAAATTAATACATTTATTGGTTATTAAAAACGTTATTTATTATATTCTACTAGATATATAATAGATTGTTTGCTATCTGTAATGATACACGTGTTTAACTATAAAATAGGTATTTGCAGTACAATGCAAAACATAATCATTATAGAATCAACAATTAGTGGATATTATGGTGTGTCGATGTCATAAATTGTATTTACCAGCACTGAATTTGGTTGACTTAGTTACTTTCATTCTATTTGTAAAAACACGTCTAATAACTTACTTCAAATGATGTTACATTGAGTGGTGGTAAGTGTTCCAGATAATTTTTTGCAGGCCTGTAACGTCGTTTTTCGTCTTCTACCATACTAATTGCCTTTAAATTAAATAGAACAATTTTTATTGTGATATACAGCAAGCAGATAATGTTTTAAAATTAGTAGGATAATACTTACGGCTTCACGAATGCCAGGTTCGTCATATCCTTGATCAATATATGGAAGAGCATCAACTATAACTTCACCTGCCATTTTTAGAAAATTTCCTTTATTATTTCAAAAAGAAGTAATTAAATAATGCACTAATACGTCTAATCAGTAATTTGTGGTCTAGCTTCGGCAAACCGTTTTTGAAATAGTTACATTAATTCGTGATACTGTGATGAATAATAAAAAAAACGGTCTTATCATTAATAAAATCACGGATATAATATATAGATAGCCAACTTTAGTATTATTATTGTCACCAACAAAATGACCACCATCCTTATCTAAGAGATTAATGTTTTATGGTATTGATAAGGAACGATGTTATATAGGTAATGAACAAATATAAACCCATAACTCATCTAATTATAGAATCCGCATTTAAAACGTCAACATTGTCCAGATTTACAGTAGTAGACGTTATATCACTTCCGTCTGATAGCATACCATGCATATAACGTTAAATTAAACTTGAAATACCTACCTACCACGGATTAAAATATACATACCTTAGCCCGTGTTACCTACATAATGATAAAAATAACGAATATTGGTTATCCCCGTTATACAATTTTGATGAAAATCGTAAAAATCATAACATTTTCTGTATTACGTAAATTAAATTTGGTTCACACACAATAAACTTATTTTCTTTACAACCAAAACAATGTGGCTCAAATACTTTGAAAATTTGAAAAATGACCTTCCCGGTCAATCGCTTTTATTTTGAATATTAAATTAAAGCACAAATTAGAGACAATTTTCTTTCACAGAAGGTATAGTTGATACTTTAGTGCAAGATTTCTAGGAAAACAAAAAAAATGACGATACATCATACATGGGTGCAGCCACTGTTGTAAGTGGGAAATTGGGAAGGTTAGATACAGACACGGTTATTTAATGTATATCTGTAATCAACGATAAACCATTACTAATGAAAAAGCGATTTTGAGCAGAGTTCAGTTGATAGTGTTGCTTTATCAACAACATATATGTCATATTTTGGTAAACGATTACGACAATGTGCGTTTCATGACAACAAAAATAAATAAAATTGCCAATGACAACTATTTTTTATTCTTTCAATCTTTTTTTAACTTAAAGAATCAGATTTTTTCCTCAAATAATAATGAGAATTTCAAAAAATAATTTTTCCAAATTATCATCTAGAAAACATTTCCTTTCAGAAAAGATGCTATACTTAATCAGAGTAAGTTCACTGGTAGTCACAAAAAAAAAAAATAAACATCATTGTAAAACAAATACATTTCTCGCTCCACTCAGAATCTAAACAAAATAAATAAATAAATATCATTGTAAAGCCAATAAATTCATCACAACGCTAAGAATCTAAAATAAAATCATTAAAAATAAAAAAATAAATGGGGCAAATTTTACCAAATCTAGAAAAGGAAAATATAAGTTTTCTATCCGAATTTCAAGTCTTTACGAATACTTTTAACTGAATTACAACAAAAAACTTACAAAATATTAAAATGTCTATAAATATCTAAAAAATCATTCGTCTATTTAGGTACACGAAAGTTGGAGACCTAAATCGAGAAATGTCCTGATCAATCCTTCTCTCAATATCTAGTCACAGCTAGATTTGTGTTTTAATTTGTGTCCATATATTTAAATTTAAACATGATACATAAAGTGTATTATATAATTTTTATCTAAATGTGATACTTAATAAGGTGTGTCGGGCGGCTTTATTATTATTATCTGCGGTAGTGTGGTGCGTTTTATTGTCACTTGCCGGTCAGTCGTTGTGCACTGCTCTGTACTTTTATGCTTAAATAATTTATCGGCTATGTATCATTTTATTAATATTAATCTCCTTATTTACACCTAATGAATTCCTACATAGCAGATACAACAATACCTACTGTTTTTTTTTAATTTGTAAATTTCAACTGATAATAAAACTAAAAAAGAAACCTTAACATCGTAAGTGAGAATTTATTTTATTTTTTCAACATCGCACAACTTTTTATTTATTATTTGCCATCGTTGAAGTTCATAAAGAAAAAGCTATTCATAAAAGGAAAGTTTTAAAAATTGAAAAGAGCTAATACTGGGGACGAGTGCAGCCACTGTTGTAGGTGAGAAGTTAGAGAGGATACATAAGGTTATTTCATTTATATCTGTAAGCAACGATAAACCATTGCTTGGCGATTGCGAGCGCAGTTCGGTAATACATACATTAAAGTGCTGTAATTTTTTTGCGATTTTCATTTAAATTTCATTTCAACTCTTATTAAAAAAAAAAAAATTCTTCCGATAATTTTGGAAATTTTACCACATCTAGGCAAGTCCAATATAAGTATTATAACCAAGTTTCTAGTCTCTACATGTATTTATAACCAAATTACAGAATAAAAATTCCTAAAACTTAAAATTCCTTAAAAGCTTAAAAATAGTTCAAAAGTTTTAGCAATGATACCGTAATAAAGTAATTCAAAAAGGCAACAAAAAAGTATCTTGTGATTTTCCGATTAAATCATTTTTTCTGGTAGAAAATGTTCGTGTTTTTATAAAATAATGAAATTGTACATTTTCCTACATTTTTATCACCCAAGTGATTTTATTTAAAAAATGGCTTCGAAAATCAAAAAATAATTATCTATAATACAATCTAGACAACTTGAGCTTTCAAAAAAGTTGCCACTTGTAAAAGTCTGAGCAAATTAACTAGTGATTAAAAAATGTGTCCAGACTAGAAAAAAAAAAATAAACAGCATTGTAAAACCAATCGGAATCTAAAATGACTACACACAAAACAAACACAATTTACCTAAGAATGTTCATGGATGTAACAGTCTAATGAATGACAATTTTATTATCGCATTATAATTACATAATTTTGTGTTATTGTTGACAATACATGTGCGGGACATTCTTTTTACTGTAATTTATAATATAGTTGTCATATGGTGCTTTTTTTATCAACAGCCTGTCAATAATAATCTTATTATTTCTAGTCAGTTGGTTTTTAGATTTTAATAATGTTTTATGCCCTTATGCACAATAACCGATAATGATGAAGCAGGTCGATTGTGGTTACAAATCGCAAAAAAAAAAAAAATTTGTGTGTTTTGTTGTAGAGCATAATAATTTAATGCCCTGTAATTTAAATAATGGGTGGTTTTCTTTAAGGCTAAAATCACTTAGGAGCGAATTATATTCAATCTAAATGAACATGTTTTAAAATACTAAAAATCAATGTAGCTTGTACTCTTAAGAAAAAAAAATTATAATAAACGGTTTGCATAAATTTCTTTCTACTTATAAGAGTAAACTGCTTAATCCGCTGTTGCATAATACAATATATAAAAAAAATTTGTAAGCATTGACGACCTTTGATACACATAATATATTGTAAGATTGAGACTGATAACATATGGTCCAAAGAGGATTACAGGTTTAGAACTACTGACCTAATGTTATTAAAATATTAGCAGTTATTTATTTGGTAAATTTATTTTAAATCATTAAAGGTGTTTTTTACTCATAGAAAAGAAAATCAATTCAAAAAATTAAGTATATCAATTAACAAACTTATTTAATAATTTAGATTTATAATTTTTGTCTGTGATTTTTTACACACAGCACACTACAAAATTTATAATCCATATATTCAAAAGGGAATTTTTCTTCTATATTCTTGCCGCAATAAAAACATCGCAATAATGGACGTATCCCTTGAGAAGCAATAATTCGTTTGGTAGCTGCTATCGCACACTAAAATAAAAAGACATTTTATAAATAATTGTATTGCATGTTTTATGAGAAAGTGAATAATCTATTAAAATATGATGTCTGTAAACATAATATGAATTTTGAACTCTAATCCATTTTATGATGAGAATTGTTTTTAATCATTTATGTATATAATTTTTAATTTTTACCATATTTATCATAATTAAAATATTTAAAAATGTTTAATTTAATTTACTTATTTATTACAAGTACTATTGTAGTTACTGTAATTATGTAATTGTAAAAATTTTCTAAAGGGTTTTAAACCCGTTAATTATAATAAAATAAAATAATATTATGTTCTGAGTAAGTGAATTTTTTGAAAAAAATATTTTTAAGAGTTTTATTACACAATAGTAATATATTTTAAGCTTTCTTAAAGTATTAATATGGACACAAATTATGAGTGATTACCTTCTCTCGATCAGATAGCTGAAGAAACTTTTGCTTTTCGATTTCTTCTTGTTTTTTCAATTCATCAATAATTTTTCGTTCTTTAGCTCGTTTTTGTTTAGCTCTTTTTCTTTCTTTTAACTCTTCTTGTAACTCTTCTGTTAAAGGACCAGGTAAACGAGCCTATAGAAAATAATAAATACCCTTAAGTGTTTAATTCAACAACGCCTAAAGAAATCTATAAACATTAAATCTCTACTTTATCATAATTGTATTTTTCAGGGAAAACAGCCATAAACTTTCTAAATACTTTTCTCGTTGATTTATCTGGTGCTAATTCGTAAGGTGTTTTTGAATCTTTATTTTTATGAATAGGATTTGATCCATGCAGTAAAAGTAAACTAAAAAAAAAAAACTACTATTTATACAATTAAAATAAATGTAATTTATTCATTAAATTTATGTTTTATTAATAATTGTAAAAAAAAAATATTATTATTTGTGATTTTTACTAATTTCTTACTGTATATGGTCATGAAGATTATTAATTGCTGCTAAATGAAGTATGGTGTTATTTTTATCATCAACTGGTTCATTTAAACTGCTTTCTAGAATATCTAGTGTAATAGAACTATTTAAACCTTCTAACAAGAGGCATTTGTTTAAAGATTCAACATCTTTTTCTTTAATTGTTTGTAACAAAAGCTGTTTTAATTCTTCTACTTCAGAGCATTTAACGATAATTTCTTTAGGTTTTTTGTTCCTTTTCTTACGCTTTTTAATTTTTATTTCATTTGATAAGAAATTACCATTATTGGCATTATTTTCACATAATATTCTATTTTGAGCAACATCATTTAAATTTTCACTGTCATTTTCATTTGAATCTAAAAATATCAGATTAAAATATGTATCAATATAAATAAATGAATATACACATACATATTTTTTGTGCCATATACACATGTTATGGAAACTTAACACCCTTCAATAGTTACACCGTATTCTTTTATTTTATATAATTATAATTTTGTGTGTCATCATAATATACTGTATTGAGCGGTAGACAAAAGTAGAACAGAAAATGAGTATAATAGAATGAGAATACTTAGATGGATGAATAGTAACAAGAGAAGTTAAAACAAGAAATGAGTACATAAGAGGTAGTGTAGATGTGGCTTTGATAGTGGACAAAATAAGAGTAAATAAATTGAGATGGTTTGGGAATGTTATAAGGAGACAAATCAGAAGGAGTAAGAACTATAATAAAAACAGATGTAGTAGGAAAAAGCGGGAAAAGAAGACCAAAAGAGATAGCTGGATGTAATTGAGAATAATATGATGATGACTGGTGTATATGAGGATGATGTGAGAAATCAAGTTAAATAGAAGTTTAGGACATGGGTGACCCCAAATAGTTGGGATGAAGGCAAGGGGAGGAGATTATAATATACTATATATAAAATACCTACATAATTTTTAGATAGATAAATAAATAAAATTAAAATGGAATATATACCAGATGATGAAGATAACTGAACATTTTCATAAACTTTTTGTTTTATATTTAAATTGTTTTCATTAGCTTTATTCACAGGTGTTTTAATTTTATTTATAACTGATTCTTTACTTTTTCTCTTCTTAAATAATTTTGATACATAGTTTTGAATAGAACTGTTAATGATTTCTTTTGAGTCTAGAGAAAAGTAAAATGCCTTATTAAACATAGATTAATCTAAAAGTTGAATTTTGAATGATTACCATATACTGAAATAATTGACAGTTGTTTATAAACTTTTTGAACTTCTCCAAAAGTAGCTTTCTTGGTTCCAAATGGTATTTGACATAGTCGAATATCATTTTTATCTATGAGTGGATGTGAACCACCAAATAATACATTTCGATTATGTGGACCAATGGCACGATAGAATATAAGGTCACATACTTCTATATGATGTAACCATGTAGTCAATATTTCTTGAATATGCTAAAACACAAAATAAAACTATTAAATATACATTATAAATAACTTTGTTTTATACATTTTACTTTTAGTTGAGAAGCTTCATTATATCTACGTAAACTTGCACCGGCACTTTTACATCCACCTTTTGATCGATCTTGATTACTCTGGGAACCACCTTGTTTGGCACGTACAGTATACGAATGAAATGTTTTATGAACAATTGCTTCTTCTCCTAAAATAAATTATAATAAAAACATATTATCATAGTGTTAAGTACATTTTTAATAAAATTTAAAAACAACCTTTAAATATAGCCGCTGAAAACCGACCACCTCCTAACATTATTATAAACCACATAGGTTTAGAGGTAATTGATTTTAATGCACTCACAACAATTTCCTCATCTGGAATATCCTATTAAACAAAACAAAATCATAATATTAAATGTTACTTAATTAATACCAATTGATATGAATAAATTTTTACTTTTTTATTGGTTAATAAACACCTGTAAATTGAAAAAGCATTTCCAGAGTTATTCTCAAAAAATAATTTTGAATCAATAGAAAAATGTGAATTGTAAGCATTTATCTCATCATCACTTTCACAGCTAGATGAACTATCATTGGAATTATCTAAATGTAAATTGTAAACATAAAACATTAGGTACATTTTGTATCAAATGTATTTATAATCGAATATCTAATATTACACAATTTTATATTTATGTAAATTGTTCAAGTTAAAAATATAAATATTCATCATTAAATAAAAGAATTAACAATTGTATTATATATGTATAATAATTTTTAATAACATTTGAGATTTAAATACAAAAATTTGGAAACAGGTCAAATTATAATATGTGAAAAAAGGAATATAATTTAAAAAATATGGAAAAACCAAAATAGTACAAGCAAAACATACATTTTACAATGAAAATCTATTTTCTGTAGGTATACAAAATATAGTTTCTATAAACCAAGAAATTGATTATTATAAACTTTGTGTATAGTGTAGAAACACAGACAATACTCAAAATAGAAAGCAAAAATATTAAAGCCTTTAAACTGTTCCAATATAAAATTCAGTAGATAAAAAAATGTTTAGAATTAATAAGTTTAATTACAGATATAATAATAACAATGAATAAAAGGAATTCAATATGAAAGGAGATAAAGAAAAACGACGTAGATTGGATACCTAACAAGGAGAATATTGTAATTAAAGAAAAACTTATAGAGAAAAAAGGTAGATCAAAAATTCTATTTACTAAGCATATTATAAGAGGTAGAAAAAACAACTTATGAAGAGTGGAGTGCTATCAAAATAATTAAATCAATTTTAGAACTGCAAAAAAAAAAATGTAATACTTTCTACAGCAAGAAATTTTTCCTCGTCAATTGTTTGTCTGTTACGAATTTTCCGTTTTAAATTATATCGATGCCAATCAGATTTATAATGAGCCTTGTGCTCTTCAAAAAATTCAAATGCTATCTGACATGTTGAACAATGCAAGCCCAATAAATAATGTTTATCACCTTCTGAGCCTGAAATTAACATTTATACAAATATTAAGCATATGAACTTACTAAGAATAAATGATTTTAATTTACTTTTGAAAGTTACCACAGAATCTTCTTTCTTTGTGAGTCCTAAATTGATAAGCTGCACACCATTTAAAAGAGATTGGTAATCAGAACTTCCAATCAAGACCGTTTTACTAGCCAAAGGTAAAATCATTGCCATTGAAAATTAGCATTGACACAATATAATGAAAGAAAATTAAAAACGTGTTGGTATAGTGTTGTTTAAAATTTTGTAAGAGGAATCCAAAGGATCTAAACTAAAACAATACTATATTTTATATTATAAGCTAAAGTACAAAGAACGAAGAATTAAGTCTCAAAAGATTTTAATTTAACCGCCTAACTACGTACTGGGCACCATAACTTCTAAAACGTGATTACGTAAAAATCTTAAACACGGTATTATAGAAAAACACAAATTAAGATAATTGACGACCTCGACTAGACAACCATAGACAATTGTAATACTAAATCACTAACAAATATTCTAAAGTGTAAACGCTTTTCCGTTGATAGTATTTGATACTAATTTTTTTTTATATTTATGATTTGCCAACTGCTGGCAAAGTGACAACGTGTAAATCAGCCTTAGCTGAAATCAGTCTTATCTATATTCTATGAGCCTATTAGTATTAATTTTTAGGATATAGTTATCAACACGTTATCACAGTATGATTGAATAATACCAATATAACCTAATTTATTATTAAAACTATGAGTATAAAATCTAAAGAGGGCATTACATGTTATGAGTCAGCTATACAAGAAAGTGAAGCGTAGAAGGAGTATAATTGCTAGCTTAAGTGGATACTGGGTAGCCGTGCTGGATAATAAGAAAAAATTAATAATTACTGTACATTATATTATCACAGATTATATGAAACCATGGTGCACTGCCTATTCGGTCCGTGTCATTCTCAAAAGTGTAAGCAAATAAAACCTACCTCAGATCAATGTCACCACAAATAGCGAAAATATGTCTTTATAAGAAATTATAAGTTATAGATAAGCAATTTATTACCCTTTCCTACTCATCCGGTCTAAACTTATAATTTATAAACAATAATTAAAAATTATGGTAATAGGTGTACATTAGTTTATTTATCCTATGTGGCTCTACTGTTTTGAGGTAGGTTAATGTTATCAGTAAATCGCGAAGTGCACATTGAACTATAAGATAACTGAAACGCTCACCACGCAGTGTTACCCAAGCGAACAATTCTTTTATATTCTAAGTTTCTGACCCACACAGATGTATATAATTTCTATCTATACAGTGATTTTTTTTTATCATAAACCAGTAATTATCTGGGAGGATTTTAAGTGAATTTGATTTCTGTTTTTTTAATCATTATGGAATCATTTAAAATCATTTAAACTTTATTTTAAAACCATTTTAATTTTTTACTCCTACTCTATATACCTTAAATAGGTGTATAAATTTGATTTTCAAGTAGGACCTCCCCCCCTTTTGAACACATATTTGAATAAATAATATTTTTCAAGAAATTTTAATATGTATAACACTAATTTCAGATTTACCGTTTATGAGTTATAACAGTTTAAAGTTTAGACCGGAGGAGTACGGAAGGGTAATAAATTGCCTATCTATGAGTAATTATATTTATTCACTATTGTAAAATAGTTTTGACATAACTCCATATAATTATTAGATAAAAAATTCATAAGGCTTTTCTCCAGTATGAACTGTTAATGCTTTTTTATGCTCACGGGTGCCAGGTTTTTCAATTTTCATGGGGTGCCCAAAATCCTAAAATTATTTAACTTGTAATCAAAATAAAAAAAAGAAATTAACAAAGCATTAGTCCTTTATTGACTTTATTTTTGTATTTAGGGAAGAAGGCGATGAGTCGCCATTGATCCGAGGCGGTAAACTTTTTTTTTCGGAGGCCTACAAATAGGCGGTGATTTGTTTTTTTTTAAATAAGAAATAGCATTCTTTTTGTTGTTCATACAGAATTTAATAATAGTTTAAAATAAAAAGTTGTACATTAGGTAAATATATTTATACATAAAATATATTATAAATATATTTATAAGGTATATTTCCTCATTTTTCAACAAATCTCAAACGTATTTTGTCTCAATTTGATCGTATTCATAAATTTGTTAGCAATCTCGTCAATGTTTATTTTTCATCTTTATATGCATGCAATATCACTATATCGGTAAGTCGTATTTATGTCATTGTCGACCTTAAGAATGTTTTTAAACGCCGAAGAGCAAAATAAGAATTTTAAGCTCTACACGATGAAACTGGTACTGTTAACATAATTTTAATTAATTTAATCATTTCTGATACCAAATCTTGTAAATATACAACTCTTGTTTCAAAAAATCAATTGCGTCTGACACTGATGATGAATTAAACTTTTTGCTTTAGAAACATCCAACATAATATTGCAGCGATGTAATTCGAATTTAGTCCAATCGAAATCAGAGTCATAGTCTTCAGTTATAATAGATGTATTTATTTTTTTAGGATCTACTAGAAAGTTTTCTACTTTTGCAACATTTATTAAAACGTACCTAAAATCTAAATATAAAACGTTATCATCGTAGACGTCGACGGCACCACCAAAATAACAAAAAAAAAACCCAAAACATATAAAAGTAAAAATGATTATTTCTTCATGTATAATAGTAACGTATTAAATATGTATACATTTTATTTATTTCATGGGGAGCTCGAGCACCACAGCGCCCCAATAGTTGGCGCCCATGTATATGTATGCTCATTTAAAAAAGATCTTTGAGTAAATATCTTCTTACAGACGTCACATTGGTTTGGTCGTTTCCATACTCGGAGTTCTTATGCGATCGTTTAAAGTGTTTTTGAGAAAAAGTCTTGTACACAAATCGTATGCACAATACTTTTCTTCTGTTTATATTATTTTATGCACGTTTAAATGGAATCTCTGAGAAAATGTTTTCTCACACATATTACTAGGGCGCTATAAAGGTCTATTACAGACGTGCCTTAATGTTACATTGGTGTGATATTTTTACAGTTATGAACGTTTTTATAGATAACTTCGTAAAACAGATGAGGGAGAAAAGGGTATTTAAATTTTAATATTTCAATATTATGTAAGTTTTATGATCGTAATTAGTTATTACACCATTGATTTTGAGCTTCGTTCAGCATCTGTAAAGTGACGTTATGATAAATCTAGTGATCAGTTGCTTATATGGCCGGATAAAATAATCATCAATTTGTCATAAATATAAATAATTTATCGCAATAAAAAAAAAAAACTAACTTTCCTAAAATCTATCTAAAAAGAACTCCATGACTTTAAATATTAATAAATCTAAAATTATGTAGTCCAAAAAATATAATAAATATGATTATTGAAAGAGAACTACGAATCAAAAAATTCTCCCAGGTCTTTAACGATATCTTTACGTGATACATTTGTTATTTAACATGTAATCAAAAAGTTACGTATTTTTTTAAAAAAAGAAAAAGAAAGATAACAGCATATTAGTCTATATTCAGTGATATATCATTTTCTCCAACAAAACAAAAAAAATTATAGAAAATGATATATCACTGTATATAAACTGTATATAAACTAATGTGACTTTTTATAAAAGATTTTTTTTAAAGGAATAATAATAATCAGATTATCTAGCGCCCTCTACCGGACATTTTATTTTATATGTCCCGGAAGAATAATGCGTCTATGCGGACGACCGAGTTTGCGACCTTTAACTAAAATCGTACTGGTCGTCCGTACGCAGGTCGGCGACCGATTCCGGCACGTCCGGGAATTTCGCCTGTCAAATACCCATCAAAACGTGTCTGGTTCGAGATGTTCGAACAGTCAGGGACGGCCCATTTGTCAGTTTTGGAACGGCGTTCTCGAGTGTGTTCACTGTTTGATCAATGGCGGGTATATATACGACGTAAACTCAGAATATATTTGGGGACGCACCGGTCAGTGAACGTCAAACCTAGCCGTATGGCTTGCTCCGCTCGTCGTCGTGCCCCGGCCTCCCTATCCGATTTAAAGGCACGTCGCGCGGTTCTCCCGGCTCTTTTCAGAGTTTAAAAAATTATAAAAATTTTCGCGATCCGTCGGCCGTTGAGGCATCATCGACCGACTACTCGCGCCCATCGGCATTCTACCGTTAAACGTGTCACAACACTTTAAAATCGTGTTCGTCACGTGGTGAAACGCCCCTACTAACGTATCACTGACCACAAATTACAAACTTCAACGTCCCCAACAAAAATTTTGCCTTTTTTTTATTTTTTTATTTTTTATTATTTTTTTTATATTTTTTCGGAAGAAATCAACTTGAAAAAAACCACAATATGAAGTCGCAAATTTTAATTTTTTTAAATTTAAAAGCTTAATTAATTAGATCGCGACCACAATTAAAATTGATTACAGATGATACATTAATCAAAAATTATATTTATTAATTATAATTATAATTATATTTATTAATTTTCGGGTTATCTTACTACAGAGGGAAAAACAGTACCAATACCTTACCAGATTAATTAGCTCTACTCGAAATCATTTTTTACTGTATTGAGAATCAAGTATATAGACATTCCTTGTGATTTATCATTTTATCGATTACAAGGTTTCTAGTTAAGTTTAAATTATTAAATTATTGTGATTTAAATAACGCACATTTATGCTTAATTATTAATAGTTGATATTATAATTTATAATACCTACCTACCAAGTACTGATATATTACTTAATGTTAGGATTTCCGTATTTTCAAAATTATTTGTCAAACAAATTATCAGACAGAATAATTTGTAGGTAAGTGTTGAAAAAATATTTATAAACAGTTAATTATATCATAATTAGTTTGTTTTTACTTGTTGTTACTCTAGGGCTTAAATCTTCATAACCAATTCTCACAAAATTTTCGAATTTTTTTTTTATTTTGTACCTATTTGACTCTGATGTAGTTTCTAACGTTGAGAATGAAAGTGCAAAAATTAATTTGAAGAATGATTATTTTCGAAGTTATGATTCTTTGAAATGTAAATATTTGTAGCATTTCTCTTTAAATAATCAATTAAACATTACAAAATTATGATTAATCGTATTAAGCGAGTGACTCATCAGCCACCAGATCTCCAGATGCATTTGTTTTCTCAATGTCACCTACTCGACCAATTTTTTAAAATTTAAATACCTATTAAAATGTATTAATTTTTATATTTTTGATTTGTCCCATTCTTGGCATTATACACAATTTATGTTCGTGATTTTTAACTTAACAATATGTACATTTATTCAGTTCATTTTAATACTGATAAGTATTTCTCGAGTTACATATAAATATATTTTAGGTGCCTAGTTAATCAATGAAATATGAAAATAAAATATAAAACCATGAAACAATTATGATATAAATATGTACCTATTAAATATACAGTCAATGCCACTGTTTTGTAGTCATTCACTGAATATAAGTAGGTACTTGGCAATATTGAAGTGTTACTAAAATACCTATTTATTTAATTATAGTTAGATACTGTGTAGTAAGTACCATATTATTATGGTATCTTTTTTGATATTTATTAATCGTAAAACTTTAAACTTATTCATAGATATAGATATACTGAAAACTAAAAAGTATAAAATTATGACCATCTTTCTCAGGCATCGTTGCATTGCAATAGCCATTTCATCGTCTTGGTCCAAACCATCAAATATTATTTTATAAGCCATTATTGTGAAAATTTATGGGTAAGAACTAAAGTACCTATTTGCAAATTTTAAATGAAATAGTACTTTCAAAAAACAAAAATGCAGAAGACAAGTTATAATAAATAATAACACGGAGATAGTAAAACTGATTCATGGTCTCAACTAGGAGTTAAGTCGTTAACACTCAGAAATACCGAGGATTAAAATATGGGAGCTATAATTTCCATTAACTTAGATGGCGAAATGCCTTTTTTTTGTTAACTCTCTTCTTATATCTCTCGATGGTGAAACCGGTCGTAATAATAATTATAATAATTATAATTTTCTTGTCCGTGACAACCAAGTTAGCATCCATGTCACCGAGTTTGCCTATAAAGCTAAAAATCAACCACGATGTAGATAAAATGATCTACATTTTGTTACATTGTGAAATCAAGAAATAAAATTTAATTATTAATCCAAAAATACAAAAACGGTATGCGTAAGTATAGTGTGAACTGCCGGCATGAGAAAAAAGGACTTGTTTTCTTTCACCCAAGCACTGTTCAATCTCAAACTAAACTATAATAAATTATAATATAACTGTATATTATGTGCTATGGAAGGGAAAACAATGGTCTCAGTTTCTTATCATTTAAGAACCAAAAATTATAGCTCATGGCCACAAATTGAGGTATACAGGATACTGAACGAACGTGTAATAAATGAAACTTGAACCTTCTCACATTTGACAAGGCCATTAACACCATTCAGTGTAGTGGTCTTCAACCGGTGGGTCGCGACCCATTTTTGGTCCGCGTAAGCTTAAAAATTGATTTGCGATAAGTTTTATTTTTAAAATAAAAATTAAGTTTATACAATTATATAGGGTATACAAATAATTGTTTAATTATTAAACTTAAAAAATTAATAAATGAAAATACAGTTTGAAAATTATTATAAAATATTATGGATAAACAATATTATGTAATTTATATTCAAAAATATAATAGTATAATGGATTTCAAATCACAGTATATGTTTCATATACTGATATGATTCTACATAGTATGGCATTAAATATAATAATTTACGAGTAAATCGGGCTAATAATAAAATAAATATATTATATTATTATCGTTAGAGTCCATAATCTACGAACATTGTCGATGTTGTCGCTGTGTTTAAAAACGAATAAATGTTAGTCATGTTATTATTCTAGTCATATTTACGTATCTGTTAAAAAGTTTTTTTTTATTTTTATTTATTCAGTTATAACAGTACTACTACAAAGTATTAAGTAATTTTGGTTTTTTTTTTTGTTTTTCTTTATGTATGTCTTATGTGGGTCGCAAATAATATACGCCTAAAAAGTGGATTGTGAATCCAAAAAAGCTGAAGTTATGTCAATATTTATTATAGAATTGATAATCTATGAAAATACTCTTTGGTCCACCAGTTTAAACTTTAAACTGATTTTAGTTGACTTTTATACCAATTTTGCCTTAAAGCGCTAGTTGTCATGCCAAACAGTGAGAACCGGGCGGACTCAGAAAAACATTGATAAGACTATTAAGACCTTTTCATTCGATACCTGTATATTTTAATTCGTTTTCTTAGTCTATCCATAATCCATGGAGGAATTATTCTGTGCCTTAATCCATGTCTTTATTATCTATGGATATAGACCATATTATTATTATTCCGAGATATAGCCATGCCCCATACCATATGACTATAAAAAAAATAAAAATCACGATTTAATAGGTACCATGATACAATTTTATCATGAAAGGTACGATCTTTAGCTCGAGCCAAGGTGTTTTGCGGCCCTCACTCGATCTATATTACTGACAGTATAGTTTTCAAACGGTCAGTAAAAATTTGTCAATTCACAGTATTGATCTGTGTTTTGATTTCGATTGTACGGGTGTTCGTTTAAATAAATAAATAAATAAATATTTTTGTTTTATTTAATAAAATAATTTGTTGGATATGGATGAAAAGCAAAAAGTATGTTTAGCAATTATATTAGCTTTTTTCGTCTCAAATAAACGAGTTTCAAGAAAACGAAAACGATGGGTGAAACAATGGATTTCCCAAAACAAAGGTTGTACACTTATTTATCTATACTCGAATAATTCGTACCCGTATTTCGGCTTTCGTCACCTATGGCTGCGAAAATTGTACTGAAGAACTATCATATACCACACACGGTCATTATCTTTATCAGTAAATAAATACTGACGACTCGATATTCAAATTTTTCATCAGTCATCAGCATTGTTTTTTCATACTGAAAATACTGATCAGTACTCACATTGAATGATCAATATTACTGTCAGTAATATTGACAGTGTGAGGGCAGCATATCAATACACCTTGGCTCGAGCATAAATCTATATATAGATAAAACAGAAATATTATCAGTTTTTGCATCATAATAATATTATGATCCTATAATTAAGACATTTTGGTGAAAGTGGCCCTAAGATAAGTTACCTAAACTGCCAACCGAAAACTGTCCAAATCATAAGGCGCCACTGATTCTCAACAATAATAAACCGTTGTTTTGTATTATTTTGTACTTTTTATGATAAGTAAATTATTTTTAGTAATTTAAGTTTCTGATAATTCTGCATTATTATTTACTGCCATTCTAGTAGACATTAACACTCATTTGATGTTTACTTTCTTAAAAAAAAAAAAAATTGTTCAATATCTTAAAACTCCATAATACCTAGGTATATACCTATTATTTCTGAATCATTTCTCCAAACCACCGACCTAGAGGCCATGGCTAAATATACATGCATCGATCATTATTTATTTATGCTTCGTTATTCATAATCTACATTTATAATTTAAAAAAATAAAAATACTTTGTCATATATTCCCGGTCAATGCTCACCGACCTAATTTTGTAGTAGCTGACCTAAAATTGATTATTGGTAAGTAATATCATGTCTTCCAGATTAAAAGAAGATTTCAGAATTCCTGAAATAATTATCGACAATAAAAATGACATGAAGTATCGGAGAGGCAATTTTCTAGGAAAGGTAAATAATTAGCTATTTTAATTTACTTTTTGTTAAGTTTCGAAAATTTAGTTTTTCTATAATTAATTCTTCCCAGTTTAATGTGTTCTAAGATTTCGCCCTTTACCATTTAGACGATGTTATTATTGACTTAAACATTTAATTATTATAGTGAACAGACTATCAGAACAGACCCAACTAAAAGGGGTTTATACTTAATAGAAAAAATGTTAGTGACCAAGAGTGTATTATTCAGAATCAGAGGTTTCACTATACATCTATGCTATTACTTTTTCAAGAATGTCGGTATTAATCAATATTTTATATTTTGAAATAAAAAATTTTAAATAAGTTGTGATTTTCGCATGTGTCATATGAGTACATCATTATCCTTGATAATATTCTCTTTAAATTTTGTGATCTGTGTTTAAATTTTAATTTCAACCTGTATGCGAGAACAATATTATATGTATCTACTTAACACTATTTTGCTATGTTACCTATTAGTTGGACTCTGACAGTAAATGCAGGTATTGCTTCTTTAATGATTTTTAATTATTTTGTGTTGCGATTCAAATCACCTTAATATTGACTGTTTTAAATTGCTACTGATATTTTTTTTATGTTTCAGGGTGGTTTTGCAAAATGTTATGAACTTGTTGATATGAAAACCAATAAAAAATTTGCCGGAAAAATTATTTCAAAAAGATATCTTTTGAGAAATAATCATAAAAATAAAATGAATACAGAAATATCTATTCATAAGATGTTGAAAAACAAAAATATTGTTTCTTTTTTAAGTTTTTTTGAGGACAATCATTTTGTGTACATGGTTTTAGAACTCTGTGGAAAAAGATCTTTAATGGAGCTTCATAAGTAAACATCATAATATAGTATTATACACATTAATATTGTTATTCAATAACTTTACTATCATTTTTTTATATCTATAGAAGAAGGAAAACACTTACTGAACCTGAAACTCGTTATTATGTGTATCAAATTCTTGAAGGTACATTGTATTTACACCAACAAAACATTATTCACCGTGATTTAAAATTAGGAAATATATTTTTGAATGATAATATGGAAGTGAAAATAGGTGATTTAGGTTTAGCTACTAAACTTCAATTTCATGGACAGCGTAAAAAGTATTAATTGACATTTTATATACATACATATATATATATATATGTGTATATAATTTGTTTTAATGATATTCATATTATATACCATTACAATATTTAATATAACTATATATTATTATTTTTAGAACAATGTGTGGTACTCCTAACTATATTGCTCCAGAAATTCTTATTAAAACGGGTCATAGTTTTGAAGTTGACGTATGGTCTATTGGATGTATCATGTACGATATAAAAAGAAGATAATACAATTTTTTCTTATTTGTACTATTAATAATAAATAATAATGTAATATGTTTAAGGTATACATTATTAGTTGGTAAACCACCATTTGAATCAAATTCTTTGAATGAAACATATGGTCGAATTACACGTTGTGACTATAATATACCTCCTTATGTAAATAAGAATGCCACTATTCTTATAAATGAAATGCTTCAATTTGATCCTAAAAAACGTCCTAGAGTTTCAGAAATAATGAAAACTGATTTCTTTACTACAGGTTATATGCCTAAGAATTTGCCCGTATCTTGTCTTACAATGTCTCCGAGGTTTGATTCTATTAACTATAGAGAATCTATATCAACCCGCAAACCACTTAATGGTAATTAATAATTGGAATTATAACCATATTTATATTTTAAAATTTATTGATTCATTTTAGTATAAAAATATTAATTTCTCATGTTTAGTACTTAACAATTCTAAATCGACTTTGGCCAACGTTACTGTGAAATCTGAAGACATTAAGCCATTAATACTCAATTTGCCAAACGGAATTACTGGTGAAAATGGATCGTCTGTTGTAGATTATAAAAAATTTATGATATCTCTTGAAAAAGAACTAAACAAATTATTAATGAGCAAACCATCCACAAATGAAATGAAAAATATGGGTACTACACAAAAATCTAGTTATAATATATTTGACAGTCTAATGTATTTAAAATTTAGAAGAAACTACAGATCCAGTTGCTAAACCTCTCGTTTGGGTCAGTAAGTGGGTTGACTATTCTGATAAATATGGATTTGGTTATGAATTATCTGATGGCTGTGTTGGTATTATGTTCAATGATTGCACACAAATTGTACTATTAGCCAATTTAAGGTAGTAATTGTATTACAATTTAATATTTAAACATTTTAATTTTCTATGTATATTTCAGAGACGTCCATTATATAGAAATAAATGGATCTGAGCAATACTATATTATGGATCATACACCACCAGCATTAGAAAAGAAAATGCAACTTTTGATATACTTTAGACGTTATATGAATGATCATCTTATTAAAGCTGGTGCTGATATATTAGCTAAAGATACAGATCAACTAAGTCGTATGCCATATATGTGCCACTGGTTTAGATCTAATAGGTCAATTATCATGCAACTTACAAATGGAACTTTACAAGTGTGTAGAATTTATGAATGTATCATATTTTAAAACATACTACATCAAAATTATTTATTTATTTTATTTTTCTGACTTTATTTTAGATAAACTTCATAGATCATAGAAAAATAATATTATGTCCATTAATGAATGCAGTAACCTTTATTGAAGAAAATATTTTCCGTACATACCGTTTTAGTACAATTTCTGAAAATGGCTGTAATCCTGAATATGCTCAATGTTTAGAATACGCTTATAGTAAAATATGTTCCATTATAACAAACAGTCTTACATAATTTATTTAAATTTTATGTTTCTAATTGGATTAAAGTACTATTAATTTTTGTTTAAAATTTATAAGTTAACAACCGAGGTTATACATAATTTTTGATCAAGTTACCTATGTTTAACAATAACTATTTCTGACTAAAAATTATGTTAACATTAAATTCAAATTGAAATAGTTAAAATATAGTGTTTATTTGTGTTCTTACATTTAAAATATGCGAGGTTAGGCTTTTGTTTATTTATTTAGATTCTAGGGTTATTTTTTTGAATTATTTTTAATCTTGATTTATGTTATATTCAAGTACTATTTAAATACAATATTCAAAAATATATTTGGTATTTATGTCTATCAGAAATTTTATATTTAATGATAAAAAGACCCAAAATTACAATGTATTGATTTAATAATATAAAATCAATGTCTATTTCGTCTTAAATATAAATAATACAAATTTAATAAACATATAAATTTTAGTATAATTACCGGTACACAGATCACAATTTTATCTTATGTTAAAAGTATTAATGATATCTAATTGTATTCTGACTTTGTGGTATAACTTATGTGACCATACATGCTGTTTTTTTGATGGGACAGATCCACTTTTAAGCTATGTGTCCTCAAAGAACTCAAAAATGTCATACTTTGAAAAAAAAGGTGACTATAGAAATGCATTCTATTGAAAAAGAGCACATATTGATAAATAGCCGGTATTATAAATATTTTTACCAAAAGTATAATATCAAAAATCTGTGAAATTTAATTTTAATAAGAATTAGTATCAATACACGGAAAATTATAACAATATTGGTTACTGTGTTTAATGATTTGACAAGAAAATACTATACTTACTCGCCAGGGGCCTGCTTATAGAAAACATAGAAAACCAACTGGAAAACTATACAGAGTGATTCACTTAACTGGAAACACTCATTATCTCAGAAAGTATTAACTTTTAATGAGATTTTTTTTTTTGAAAACTTTAAAATCGAATAGTTTTAAAATGTTACGTTATCATTTATTTGTACCTCTTATTTTTGGTGGTGAAATGACTGCCTACTTTAGATTTTCAAATGGCAACCTATTTTGAAAATGTCTTAAATAGATGGAGTATTATTTAAAATAAATTTTAGTGTTAACATTTTTGATTTCTATCAGTCCATTGACGAGATATTCCACTTTTAAGTGCGAGTTGGAAAGTAGTGGAATATCACTTGTGCGGCGTAATAATAATGCACCAATACTCTCCTCCAACCTAAACTTAATAGTGAAATATTTCGTCAACAGTTTGACGGAAATCTAAAATGTCAACACTCAAATTTATTTTAATTAATACTCCATATATTTATGGACTTTTTAACATAGGTTTTCATTTGAAAATCAAAAGTAGGTAGTGGTTTTACTCCTAAAAATAACATAAATACAATTGCAGAGCTGCTATTGTTTCTTAAATGTTCTAGAAAACTAATGCCGAAAAAAGTTAATAATGAGTGTACCCACCTTAAATGGATCGGCACTCAGTATACCTTTAAGACATACAATGTAATCCGTAAAATATTCTGCTCAGGCCGTAAAACCATGAGATACCACGTTTCAAACGGTTATAGGGGATGGTGTGGGGTGAGTAGGAGTGTGGGTGGAGACAGGAATTTTGAAATTGAATACGGCTAGAATCCAATTAATACCGAATCGAAATTTCATATAATATTTTGTGTTTATGGAAAAACACAAACGCAAAAATGTAGTTAAACTATTCAATAATATTGTTATTAACAACACAGGGACAAATTTATTATATTTTGAATTTAAGTTCGATAGTTTTATAGGTATTTGCTTTTTTTTCACCTATATAAATTGCATAGGTACTAATCGTATAGGATCAATACACATATTTGTAATTCGCTTGGAACACGTTCGGTTAATAAAAATGCTCAGAGGTTTTCACGCTATATCTAAAAAGATGAGGATTTATCGCCCGGTGGTACTAACTTTATTTGAAATATTTGTATATCATACCCAACTGGTGTTCTATATAAAAAAAAAAAAATCGATTTTATGATTGTTGATTTCTGGGTTACCTAGGGTACAAGGAAGAACAACACAACCGATACTACCTTACCGAGATCCGTTCAGAATCGTTTTTTAATTGCATTGATATATTAATATTAATGAGCCAGTTGTGTCGTGTGTCAATCCCCGGAATAGCAAGTGATAAAATATCATGAGAACGTCTAGAATATTCGTATATTATTCACTTCGAAACTGATCCGTTGATTTGGTCAGCAGTTATATTATTTCAGATAAATGTACAATCACGGGAAAAAAAAATAGCGGACACATGAATACATTGTGTATAATGATTGTTGCCATGTTTATAATATCATAACAAATGCAAGAGAGCGCAGAAATACTTAAAGTACAAACCATTTTTTTCTTGATGCCAATAACTATTATTTCTATATAGCTATATATTTTTTTTCAGAACATAAATTTATAATTTTTGTTACCAATTATAAATAATAATAGCTTAAAAACAACGATAGCTATATTTGCCGATGATACGGCAATTTTGTCGACAAGTAATCTGTAACTGATAACTTACAAGAATCAATTGACCATGTCTGCCTGGATAAAATGTTAGACAATCAAGATAAGTGGTGATAACTCAGTACACATCAACTATACGTTACGTAATGGCTGTGGTATAAACTACAGAGTATAAGGTTAGGTTAGGTTAGGCTAGGTTAGGTTTTATAGTATTGAATGGTATAGACGTATTCACGAATATTGTGCGAAACATTTAGACAACCGATCAGAATTTATGTATCGAATTTTTACTTATTTCAAACCATTAAATACGTATTAAAAAAATAAAAACACAATATATGTATATGCTTAATAAAGTAATTATATTCATGTGATTCGATATATTTTTTTTGGTTTTGTTGGTAGGGGGGGCTTAGCTATTTGCACCTATGGTAAAATTATTTACAAAACACATTTAAAATATTTAAAATTTAATAATAAGTCGATGTTGAAAGTCTAATATTAAAAGCGTTATGTATAGTCAATTTTAATAATATTTTAAGACGAGTGTGACATACTCGGCTAGAGCACTATTAGTACTATACTTAGCTATAATAAAAATAGGTCATAGAGGCATAGATATTATGGCATAGGGGCATAATGGGTAATTTTGATTTCTAAGTTGGTGTAACTGATTTAGATTTTGTTATCTTCGAATTCTTATCTTTGAGAAAAGCGATGATGCCCGGTTTAAGTTGTTTAACGTTTACTAACATAGTTTTCGATTTTGTCTATAATTGTAGTAAATCTACTTTAAACTATTAATTGTTTTAGTGACTTTTTTTGTTTTTTTATTTTCTCTTAGTATAGTTAACATGGCTTTATCAATTAGTCGAAAAGAAGTTGAAGATCTTAAACCATTGTTAGAGAAGACTGTTTCTAAATTTCTAGGGTTCAGAGAACCATTACTAGTTACTACTTTAATGAATTGCTTATCCTCTGGTTATGATAAGTATAAAACCGCAGGTAAATATTAAATAAATAAACTTCATTAAAAATACTTTTACTATTTTAAAACAAAATAAAAAATCCTATTTTGTTTTATTTTGTAGATAAACTTCGGTCATCATTGTTAGATCCCGGTAAAGCTTTGTCACTAACTGAGAAAGCATTTGATTTAGCAAAAGGAATGACTATGAAGGTTAATAGTGTGTCTGTTGCCAGTAAACGTAGTATTAAAACAGAATTTGATGAAAATAGTATTAAAAAAATTAAAAAAGAAAATTTACCCATTGTCAAAGAAGAGGCCCTTTCCATGGGACAGGTATTTCTTTTTTGATTGTGTAATTTAAATTATTTAACTACATAGGCAATTATTTTTACTAGATTAAAGATATGATGTTAAATGCCCAAAAAATGATAGAAGAACGGAAAAAAGCATTGTCTATACCATCAACCGGTGTTCAAAAAAATAACAACAAAGACAAAAAACCCCAAATAACAACTGATTTTGAGAAGCAAGCGAAAATTGCACAACTACAGGTTTATAATTATTTGAACCTTATATAATAGGTATATACCGGCTGATTAACTCAACTGGGAACACTCATTATTTCAGAAAGTATTAATTTCTTTTTGTTTTTGAACATTTAAGAAACAAACAAGTATACAATTTTACTACATTTATATTATTTTTTGACACTCTTAGTTTTGGGCATAAGACCTACTTTTGATTTTCAAATAGTAACTTAAATTAAATATAACATAAATAGATAGAGTATTAGTTAAAATAAATTTGATTTCAAATTTTTTTGTTTTCAGTCTACCCATTGACGAGATATTTTACATTTAAGTTTAGGTAGGGGGAGAGTAATGGTGCATTATTAAAACGCCGTTACGAGTGATAAATGATTTACCATTACTCTCCCCCTACCGCAATTATAAATAGTATATCTCGTCAATGGGTTGACTGAAATAAAAAATTTTAACAATAAAATTTATTTTAACTAATACTCTATCTATTTATGATTTCAAAAATGAATAGTAGTTTATGCCCAAATACAATGGTAACAAAAAATAACAAATGTAAAATTCTAGATGTGCTTGTTTCTTAAATTTTCAAAAATTAAAAAAAACTCCAAAAATGTTAATTCTTTCTGAGAAATTAGTGTTTTCAGTTGAGTAATGAATCAATAGGTATATATTAATGTACATACAAAGTTATTCTATTAATATTACAAATTATTATAAATATTATATTATCATTTTAAAATATACAGGCTCAAATACAAAAAAAATTAGCTACAGGTATTATAAAGACAGTTCCTAGTGTACCTAAGACATTAAATTCTTCTGCAGAAAAACCAACTCCTTTAATTCTTGATAGTGAAGGGCGAACAATAGATATTACTGGTAAAGAAGTCCAGTTAACGCAAGTTATACCTACATTAAAAGCTAATATTAGAGCTAAAAAACGAGAAGAATTCAAACAAACGTTTAGTGAGAAATCTAATGATGACCCCTCTGAAGTTAAATTTTTTGATCCACGATTAACAGTAAAAGCAAATGTTCGTACAAAACGATCCTTAAAATTTCATGAGCCAGGTAAATTTCAACAAATTGCTGATCGTCTACGAATGAAGGTATTTATATTGATGAATTTATTTTATTTGTATAGAATTAAAATTAACAAATACGTATACATTATTTAATTTTATTAAACATTTGATCTATCAGGTTTTTATTATTATTTGTTGTGTGCATATGTCAATTATATATTTCATATGGAAATTTAATATTATATTTTAGGCTCAATTAGAAAAGTTACAAAATGAAATTTCACAAATAGCTCGTAAAACTGGTATTTCATCTGTTACAAAAATGGCATTGTTAGTGCCTAAGGAAGAACAATTAACTGAACACTGTCCTGATGTTGAATGGTGGGATAGTGTTATTTTAGATGGGGCTTCGTAAGTTTGTAATTATATTATTATCAAAAAAAAAAAAAAAGGTTTTGTGTGTTTATTTTTGTATATATTTGTGTATATTTTCAAATTATAGTTATTTAAATGAGAACGGCGAAGTTCAATTTAAAAGAAGTAATATATCACATTTGGTTGAACATCCACTGCAAATGAGACCACCGAGTAAGTATATAAAATAAAATTTGAGCTTTTAATTTCAATTAATTTAAGGGTTTAAATTGTTATAAATTATTTATGTATTATCTTACAAAAACATTATTTTGATAATAAATATTTATTTGAAGATAAAACAAAATTAATATTTCAGAAAATATTATTTTCATAAGTGTATATAACAAAAATAAGGTTTTTATTCATATTTTGACATATAACTGATTCTATTTCTTTATGTACATATATGTGGTGTCACTAAATTTATAATTTGACCATGAATTAATAATTAAAATTAATAATTTCAAAACAATTTTTAATATTTATTTTGATTATCATTTGGTGTTATTATTTTTTAAATTATAAAAAAATTCCTCAAATATGGAAAAACAATTTTGTTTTATGATATTTGAATAGCTTTTCATATTATTTATAATAATTAATAAATATTAAATAATTTTTAGCTGATCCCTTAAAACCAGTTTTCATGCCTGTATTCTTAACTAAAAAAGAAAGGAAGAAGTTACGTAGACAAAATCGTCGTGAAACATGGAAAGAAGAACAAGAAAAAATTCGTCTTGGTTTAGAACCACCAGCTGAACCTAAGGTATTAAAAAACAAGTTTTAGTTAAAAAGTTTTTAAAAAAAATTCCCTATAATTAATTTTATATTTTTGACTAATTTATTTATTAGCTTCGTATTTCAAATCTGATGAGAGTATTGGGTACAGAAGCAGTCCAAGATCCAACTAAAATGGAATCCCATGTAAGAGCTCAAATGGCAAAACGTCAGAAAGCACATGAAGAAGCTAATGCATCTCGTCGGTTAAATCCAGAACAAAGGCGTGATAAAAAAATTAGAAAACTGCAAGAAGATACTTCTTTAGGTGTTAATGTTGCTATATACAGGTATATCTCATTTGGAAATTAAAACTTTGAATTAACTTTAATTTTGTGTATGTTTCTATTTTAGAATAAAAGATTTAGGTAACCCTTCAAAAAAATTCAAAATAGAAACAAATAGTAAGCAATTGTTTATGACTGGTTGTGTTATTATGTGTAAGGACTGTAATGTTGTTATTGTTGAAGGTGGTCCAAAACAACAAAAAAAGTATAAAAGGTAATTTAAATCAATTATAGTTATTTGAATTTTATAAAATGATAAAATATTATTGAATCTTATAAAATATGTATTTTTTTTCTTTTAGGTTGATGTTACATAGAATGAAGTGGGAAGATGATGTTATTAAAAATAAAGATGAATCAGAACCTAAGTCAAATAATAAATGTTCTTTAGTATGGGAGGTAATTAAAAATTATAATTTATATTTTTTGAAATATTTATAAGATATATAACAAAATATTTAAATTTATTAATATTTATAATAATAACAATTTAAATAGATATTATAGATTAATTTTTAGTTAATTTTGTTGTCTTGAATACATAATTTTAAAATATTTAACTCGAGAGCCTGAAGTAAGAGAGTGGTTATTCATAGCCATTCTTTTTTAGTGTTGTCATTTCTGATAGGTTACCATTATAAATGATAAAATTTCGTCCAACAATATTGTCAATTGATATTTTAATATTATTCTAAAAGTTTTCAAATAGGTACTACATATTATACGTTGTTTAAATATGTTTTACAGAACTTATTGTAAATTATGTATGTACTTATTAAAATGACTTGATGTCTACCTACATTTACTGTCTCAGCTCAACTTAACAACATAGTAAAATTATGTTAACACAGACTGAGTAAAACATACTTTATTTGGATTTTTCAGTAACATGTCCTCTCGGCGTAATATTTTATAATGTAAACTGTGAACCAGCTAAAAAATAAATAATTTTATTTACGTTAATATATTTCAATAGGAAATACTAGAAATATATGATAATCAGATCCTGAAATGATACATCACAGTGATTAAAAAGTATTAAAATCAAATATTTGTTAATAACTACTGGTTCATGCTATAAAAATCATCTTATGTTAGTTAAAATGAAGTAATTAATTTGAGTACATTTTACTAAAATTATTTATGTTTTGCTCATTTTAAACTTTTCATTTTCAACTTATTTACTTTAAAATTTTTATTATATTTATATTTTATTTTAAATTAAGTATATATTATTAAACAAAATTGGCTACATCTCTTTTTAGACATTTTTATCAACTATTTTTGGTACCAGTAGTGAAAGTGAATGTTTTTATTTTTCATCTGATCCATAATTTACATACAAAAATGTCGTAGTGTATATAATACATATAATTAACAATTAATAAACATTTTTGGAAGTATAAAATTCTTTTAAATGTACATAGTTGTTATAAAATATAGTTATAGTAGGTTCAAGAAATAAAGATCAAAGTTTTTCAATTATTTTAATAATCCATAATTTTATTCCAGGGCATGTCTAAACAACGTAATTTTGGAGAAATAAAATTTAAAGTTTGTACTTCTGAAAAGTTAGCTCGCGAACAGTTGAAAAAACACGGAGTAGAACATTATTGGGATCTTGCCTACAGTGATCTTATAATGGATTAAATATTTATTTTTAAATTTATTATCATTAATTAATTGTGAGTTTTTACGCGGCTAAATAATATACTTATTTATAAATTGAGGTATGTTTATAAATCAACAATTGAAATGTCTACCATTGTATCATAATATATTTTTTAATATTTAATTACTATTAATTAATTTATCCAACGCTCTATGTTTCCTTTGTCGTTCAAATTGTATTTCCCTTAGAATTGATGTATATTTCAATTCATTTATTGCAATATATTTGCAAATTATATTAGAATTTTCTTTTAATTTGTATGATATTGTTTTTGCATAACCTGTATTTATTGTAAATTTTACACATTTTTCTCTTATTCTTAGGTTTATTGCTGTTAACTTATCAATTCCTCTTTTTAATTTTTCTATTCCATATTCAATTATTTTTTCTTTAAATTTACTTAAAAATCTATTGTATAACATATTATCTGCCATGTTTACTTTCTTTGTTTGATTAATATCATCATCTGATAATATTTGTTTATATGTTTTATTTCTGGTGTTTAATGGCAAATATGCCACTTGCTCTAATGGCTATTGCATTAAATTTGCAAACAATACAAGTGATGCTTCTAAATATTCAAATATCATTATAAAATTAAAATCTCTTTCAATCATATTTATATGTTTATTAATCATATCAATATTTTTAAAATCTTTAGAATTCATTCCCAAATCCCAACTCATTTGGTTTATTCCTAATTTTTTATAATAGCGTCTTATGTGTTTTATAGATGATGTGTTGTCAAAAAGACTATTTGTAATGAATTGAGTTAAATTGGTTTTTTATTTTTTTCAAAATGATAAAACGAGTATATTGACTGAAACAATCCTGTAGGCTCGCGTAGAATAGTGATATATACTGTATCTGGTCTCATTACATATTTTACTTCTTGAGAATACCTTGTATGATGTACAAACATATCAAATTGTCCATCTGCAGTGGATTTCCTATATAGTTCATCACATTTGGTAATAAGAAATCGAGGTTTTCTTTATGGCCAAAACTCATCAATATATTTTGAATAGTAGAACTAGCACATTTATGTGTTTTTAGAAAAAATACTCGTTTCTTCTGTGTTAACACTGTTTGTGATGGTTTCGCCTCAATGATTGTTCTGAAAACATTTATAATTTATATTAATAAGCAGAAAATGATTATTTGTAAAAATTATAAATGCATATACCTATTAATTGTTGATGTAAAATGTTATTTTTTTAAAAATTATGGAATAAATTTGAATGCAGTTTATTTATTTAATTCCTTTGAGTATAATTTATTTAAATAAAATAGATTTAATTTTTACCTTAATAATCAATGCCAATACATATTAGTACTTGAAATGATTTAGTGNTTTATATTTGAAAAATTATTTTATTTTCTCATGCCGGGATATTTGTTATTAAAATTAGTAATTACTAAGTTAAAATTACTGATTAGAATTTATATTTTTGTTTACTATTTGCATTTAACCATTTTTGAATAGTTAATTTTAAAAAAGAGCTGATACTGGACATAGGAGCAGAAACTGTTAAAGGTGAGAAGTTGGGAAGGTAGGATACATAAGGTTATTTCATTTATATCTGTAAGCAACGAAACACGATTCTGAGCGCAGTTTGGTAATACATAATTTGAAGTGCGGTAATTTTTTTTTGCAATTTTTGTTTAAAATTGATTTCAAAAAAAAAAATAAAAAAAAAAAGACTGATGATTTTAGAAATTTTACCATGCCAGCATATAATTATTATTACCAAGTTTCAAGTCTCTACGTGTATTTATAACCGAATTACAGCAAAAAACTACCAAAAATTAAAATTCCTTAAAAGCTCAAAAGTGACTATACAATTTTGACGATGATACCGTAAGAAATTAAATTAAAAAGGTAACAAAAAAGATGTCTTGTGATTTTTTGATTAAATTAATTTTTCTAGTAGAAAACGTCGTCCGTGTTTTTATAAAATAATGAAATTGTTAAACTGAATGTTTTTCCATTTATGTGCTTTTATTATCGAAAATAAAAAAATGACCAACGCTCGGAATCTCAAAATGTTAAACCTATCTGTATAATTAACAAAATAATTATGATAAAAAAGTTAAATAACCAAATATAAAAATATAATATTTTTTGAAACTTTTAAGTAGGATTTGTTTAACATGTTTACTTTTTTAATTAATGAAGATATTTTATCTCGNTATAATTGTATATCTTGAGTCTTGGTAGTAATTTCTCGTTCTACTAATATGAGTTAAGAGCTAGGTGATTTTTATCTAACTAAAGAATTGTTAGATATTATTTTGTATTAACATTGATTCAATGCCAAAAACTGGTCAATTATTACAGTATTTAATTTGAAATTGATAATACATTGATAATAATGATTCGTAATACATTATAGGTACACATTAATTAAAATAATAATATATACACACCTATGTTCTGATCCGTTTTGTAAAAAATTAAAATATGTTACAAATGTCATTAAAATTATTATGCAAACAGAATAGTATATTTTTTTAATAAACTTCATTTTACTTACAAATTAATTGGTAGGTATTAAACTGTTGAATAATGAATAATGTTATAAATATACTGTAAATTACACATATTATGAATTGATTATTGATATAATACTTAACTTAATTGACGTATTGTTATGTAAATATTAACTTATAGTTAGTTATCCTAATTTAAAAAGATAACTTGATAACATATTTTTATAAGTGTATATTCATTATATATTGAGTGGGTAGGTGTTTAAGTGTTGTACACAACAATGTATATAAAACATTATCTTAAGATTGTTTTTCCTTATTATTTGCGCATGGCATGTATTCAAGCACATATATTTAAGTATGTGATTTTGACACAATTCAATATTTTTGTTGGTGAATGAAAATTTACCTTAATAAGTGAAATTATAGTATTTTAATAAAAGTATCTCATATTTATTTTGTATTTTTTCCTATTTTAAATTCTGAATATAGCGAGGAATGCATAGGTGTCATTGTATCAATACCTACGCATTGATTGGTTTTACTGTGGAGTGTGCTTTTTTTATTATTTCTATTTGTGAACAAATTTTCTATCGGAAAAATGATCACTTTTGAGGTTGTTCTGGTAACAAATTTTGTCTAATTGGTGTATTGGTTACCTAAGTCGTTTTTAAATATTGTATTGTATTTTCTTAATCATAGGGGAAAACCTGGAAAAAAATTCCCGTTACAAAAGACTACTGACTTAGTAACAGCTTTTATTAATTTCGATTTTATTTTATTGTAATTCAGTTAAATTAATCGTAGAGATTGGTCATTTCCATTTATTGATATTATTAACATCAAAGAAAGCAATGTTAGTTTTTGAGGAAAACAGGAAAACATTATTTTAGTTTAAAAATTAATGAATAACCTACTCTTTAAAATCATTTTTTGTTTATTATGCAAATGTATGGAACAATAAAAAAAATAATAGGGATCACTGTACTGTGTACACTTTGTCTGTGCTTTTGTCATTCTGTGCTTCTTTAATCCATGATGCCAAGTAGTGATTATATAAAAACCATCCAAAATGAATTAGCTATTATTTCTTTCATTAGAATGTCATTTTATGTTGAGTGTTGACTGATTGATGAATTGATCGTATTATTTATGATTCAAAATTAGATAGGTATACTTATAAAAAAAAAAAAACTACCTAATCTGTAAGTATCGTTCTTTCTAGTTTTGTGATTAAGGTACTTTAATAAATATGATTATTAACTTGCCTATTTAACCTAACCGAATAAATAGTAAATTAACATACTTAAGTATAATGTATTATTGCCAGTAGCTGATCTGTTAAACCAGCAGTCGCCAACTTTTTTGACCTCACGGACCATTAAATCCATAACTGAAAATTCTATGGATCACTATAAAGTTTATAGTATTTATACTACAAGTCTCAGGTCTTAATTCAGATGTTTTGAACCTACAGCTTTTTTTCATACATAGTGTTTCATTAATTTAAAAATAAAATACATTTATAAAATAATAATAAATGATTTTTTTTATTCATAACACAATTTATTAAGTTTTCAAATTTTTCTACGATCACCAAAATTTTCTCACGGACCACCGGTTGGCGACCGCTGTATTAAACTATAGGTATCATTATTATACATACAGGTACCTACTCATTTAAGGGAGTGACTAAATTGTTATACAAATTATTAATATTTAATTATCTATATATTTCTTTCACTTATTAGACTGAGAGGTTAAGTTTTGCATGACAAATTGAAAGTTTTTTCAATTTAAATTCCGATATAAGCTTGCAAATGTATGTGGCCTGGTAAAGCCTATAGACAAATATTGTTGTATTTGGGAGATGGTGTAACTTTCGAGATAAATGGCATTTGGGAGTATTGAACGATTTGGATAGGTAAGGAAAAAAATCTGGAGAATTTGTAGTGGCCTCTGACTGTAGTCACTGACTGAATATAATTAATAGGAAACAAGAAAAAATGAAAAAAATAAACTGTTTTCTTTAAATACAATTGTCAGTTTATTTTTAAATTGACAGATATTGTGTTTATTAAGTAGGCATAAGTTCATTTATAGTATTATTACTTTGTATAATTAACAGAGACGTAACTATAAAGGGGACAGAGGACGACTGCGCACAATAATTATAATTATACCTAATTTATGATAGGTGTTAGAATTTTTTAGGAAAAATTGCAAAATATTTATGTTGAATTTCAAGCATATGATTTGATAGCCAATAGGTCTATTTGATTTGAATCGTGTATCCAATGAAAATTTCGATTAATTAGCCAGGGCGTCCAATTTTTTTTAGATATCTACGTCAATATTAATTATTATTATTTTTAATAAAATAAACAAATAAATTATATTTCGTACAAATCGAAATTTGTATAATCGGTCGCTGATCTGTATTGGTAATTAAAATTAAATATTATTGTAAATAAATATTAAATTTGATCTATCGTCATCATGTAATTGGTAATGTATCAATCGATCATCTTCTATATGAATAGTGAGATCCGTACGGTCCAGAGAAACTAGCGTGGGAGACAGAGTGTGGCGTTACGACCGGAGCGGTTACGGGACCGTAACCGTACGGTAACGGTGCGGCTTGGACGTAACCGTGTGCTTTGACCGGAACGTAACCGTGCGCTTTAATCGGGGCTGCAGCGTATGGGTACGGTCCAGTGGCTGCGCTGGCGTACGGATACGGTCCCGCAGCAGCGACGTACGGATGCGGTCCGGCGGCGTACGGGTACGGTCCGGCGGCGTACGGGTGCGGTCCGGCAACGTACGGGTGCGGTCCGGCGGCGTATGGGTATGGTTGCACGTCATTAGTGAAGCGCACGTCGGATTTGTGGACAGACGAGAACGGCGTCTCGACAGTTTTGTGGAACGCGGCCACGTGCCCGAGGTTGCCGGGGGCCCGAATGATATTGGTCGAAGTGCTGGCCACTGCGCTCTCGTACGGGTTGTGCGGCAGGTACGCGGCCGAGTACAGCGACGGTTCGGCAGCGGTGTCTTCGGCAGTGGCGTCTTCGACCGCAGTCACCGCCATCGCCATTATTGCCAATGTCAGTGTCGCGGCGCCAACGAATGGGAAATGCTTAAGAACATAATTATTTATCCAACATATAAGTAAATAATAACAATTATATAAATGGAAACGGGTAGATAGAGAAACAAATAAAAATAATTAATAAACTAGTTTGTGTCGAAAAAAAGCAGGGAACTGCGTGGTAAAATAATAAGGGGACGCAAAATCGGCAAAAGAACCCGGGCACTGCAGTTTACTGTTTTTCTACCCAAGTAAGTTTTGTCACCGAAACCAACTGCAGTGATGCTCTACTGTTTTTAAAAAGCCAGTGTATTTATATTTGTTGACACCAATCCGTCCCACAAACAGTATTGTATCTTCATTTAAAATCCAAAATAAATACAAATATATAATGTGGTTATTTCACGAAATTGTCAACAATAATGTTTTGGAAACTGAAAATCGACTTCCTTAATAACCTAGATAGTTTTAGCGATACATACTACAAAAATCAAAACAAAGTATTTTACAATTTCGTTAAAGTCTATGAAAGACCATTTATCACACTTTAGATAAAAATGGAAAAAATACTCAAATCCAACTAAACCAACTGTAAGTACTTACTTAACATTACAAAAATTGTTTATTTAATTAGTATTATTACAATTTCACGTTATAGTACAGAGAGCAGGAGCGTTTACTGACCTACCGAGAAAAAAAAAATTGTTTTTATTATAATATGTAAAGTCATCTAATTTATGTCTACGTCATATCCAAATGTGCTGCTTAAAGTGAATTGACCAGTAATTATTAAACGTAAAGATACTATTGACATTGTATATCTTTGCGTCGTTTCTTTTCTCGTTATTTTAATTTTTAAGTGAGTTATAAGCATTTTTCAATCGTGATATTTTATATGATCATATTTCATTTGAAAATTAAATTAGTGAAAAAAAAAAACCGAGGAGACGATACAGATGATGTTTGTATCTTTGAGTTTGATAGTAAATCAATTTACTCAAATTTTAAAACTAACAGCACAGAGCTGTCCCTGCCGAAAAAACATTTGTAATGTCGTGTGGTTGTATGACGGACACAGCGCATGCGGGTACGACGTTCTCTTCGAGTTAATCATTATACTACAGTTGAGGTAATTATTTTATTTCATATATTAACATTTGTTTGTAACCAATTGTATACGGAGTATAGTTATAACTAGGGCCGGATTTAAATGCGTTAAAAATCTTCGAAAAATACTCTAAAATAACCGCGAAAATGCCATTAAAAATTACATACATTTTTTTAATTTATTATTTTATTGGTCAATTTATAAAATTGAAAATTTTGCCTTGTTACTATAGCGACGATAGTATTGAATGCTAAATAGTTAATAGCTAAATTTAAATTATTAAGTCGTATCATGTTCGTAAATTATGTACAGATACTGCGTAATATTATAATCGTATATTGTATAAACATGTAATAAAACGAAAAAAAAAAAATGATCAAAAAATGCTCTAAAAATGAAAAAAAACATTGAAAAATGAAAAAAAAAAGAGAGACTTTGGATTACACGAATCCAATTACGTACTTGGAAAACATTGTCTAATATCAATAGAAAAAAGATGCATTTTGCATTGAAATCCGGGCCCTACAGTTATAACTGACATTCCTTAGGTACTCGAATCAATAATTATTTACTCTGTCAAAGGCTCGTGAATTGCCAACTTACTTTAAACGACATGGTGAACGATTTTACGGCGGCGGTTTTGTTGTTGAAAAGCGATAGCGCGTTGTCTCGGCTCGTTGTATCTGCTCGTCCAGTAGGCGCAGGTCGAGTGTGTTACGAATCTATGGCCACGCTAATCCGGATTTTATATATACGCCGACTTTCGTACGCGGAATAATATATTGGCGGGGCATCGTAACGTGATAATGTAACGTAACCCCGGGGGCGAGGTTTTTCCGTTGTCCCCTCTGCGTTCGAGCGCGCCGTTCGTTTATAGGTCCCGATCGATTTCGGGTTGAGATATTATGACGTGATCTATCGGTATTGTTCCAATAAAATATCGTATTGTTAATGATGTTGCCCGTAGGTTATAGGTATACCGGTCTAATACAGCGGGCCGATTGTGCGCGAAAACTGTGAACTGTTTCTAACGGCGACCTTAAGACTTCATATACAGGCGCCATACGCGTACAGGATGATGTATGTATACCAATAGATACAATAAAAATTAAAAATTTTAACGTTTATATCTTCCGCAATTTATTAGTTCATATTATATTTACGTGACCGTCACGCGAACCGAGTTGTGCGCGGCGGTCGGATAACGAAACGTGCAAGGAGCAGAGCTCCCGGCCCCACCACCCCCTAGTGACCCAGTATACAGTTGTACAGTATTCGTATGCGATAATCGACAACTATTGTTTACGTCCAGGTAGATTTATTGTTCGGAGAAATTTGACATGGAATTTAAAGGGTTCTGGCCAAGGAGTGTATACTCACTCACTCGTATTATTATTATATTTTTTTTTGGATGTCGATTTACTCTACAATTAAAATTAGTTTCAGTTTGAAAAATCGAAATCAAGTACCCAAATATTACAAATATACACAAAGTTTACGGCTTAGACTAACCACTAGAGAGCTATACCTAGTGAGTAGTGGTTCTAACGAGTATTATTTTAAATTAGCAAATACAATAAGTTCAGATTTTTCGATACTGACCAAATTTCGATTTTTCAAACTAAAAAGTAGTAAAAGTCGAATTAAAGAACAGATCGTATAACAGGGGGTCGAAGGGGGAAATGCAACTGGTTCCAAATAGGTACCATAAAGATAAATCCGGATCTTGGAAATACTTTGATTTGAACAAGAATGAAACACTTCTCATTTATACATTTCAATAAATATTCTCTCAAGGGTGAGATAGAATTATGGAAAACTCAGTGAGAACAATCAATTTGCAAAAATAAAATAAAATAATATATTTTTAGAATCAAAATTGGTTAATTTAATTTGAATTTTAGATTCTGAGTGTAGCGAAGAATGTACCTACTAGACTTACAATGATGTTTTTTTTTTTATTCATACTGTGACAACAATTTCTACCAAAAATCTTGCTTCAATATATAAGTGTAGCACTTTTTTTGAAAAAAAATATTGCCATATTGAACTAGATGGTACTTTTGAACGGTCATTTTTTGATTTTCCAAACAGTTTTCATAATATCAGGAAAACCCAGGATAAAACATAAAAAAAAACGGGAAAATTTACAAAAATAATGGTTTTATTATTTTCAATTTGGTTTTTTGTTGTAATTCAATTAAAAATATTCGTAGAAACCTGAAATTTGGACAAAAAATTAATATTTGCCTTTTCTTGACGTGGTGAAATTGTTGAGTAATTTATAATATTGCGAGTTTTATATGTAATTTTTATTCGGTAGGTAAACTGTGAAAAAAATTGTTAAACTAAATAGAAATGTTTGAAAATTTAACATAAGGTTCATTAAAAGTCGTACTTTGTCGTAAAACAAAATATTGAGCAGATGATAACTGGCTTATCACTTTTAAATATTCGTCAAAATGAAAACATTAATATAGAAAATATTGTTGGTCAAACCACTCGCAAAACGCTGTTAACTTTTATTAATTATTATTATTATTTTTGTAATTCATATTATCATTATTTTAATTATTATTTATTTAATATAAAAAAAATAAATTTAATTATTAAACTGTACTGCATTTACTTTACATTTAACTTTACTGCATTTGTACAATATATCTGCAGCCTTCTATAAGCTAATATCCATAAGTTGAAATGACATTATCAATATCTTACCTCCCCAACTTCTCATCTGTAACAGTAGTCCACTCATCGTGCGTAGTACCTATGTCCGTATTTTTTTCTTATCAATCATTAATATTAAATTTAATTATTTTGCCCTCCTCCCCTTAGTCAAGGTCTGGAGACACTCTGTCGCATAAATTATAGATTCATTAAGAAATGACCAGTGGGAATATATATCTCCCTAATCTCCCCCTATAAATACGCCATTGTTATTATAGTTTATAATTTATATACAAGGAGTGGTGTTTCCATAGAGGGTATACAGTATACAGTGTACAGTGTATACTATATCCTATACAGGTATGTGCTACGTATAAGCTGTATATTCTCAACATTTTGTTGAAAAATCACAGGTACCCGGGTATACTTTCAAATTGTTTTGATACTCAAATAGCCAAATAGTAACCAAAAAAATGTTAGCAATTAAAACTGAAAAGATGGATATATTTGGCACGATGGGTGGACTACTGTTCTGTTGTAGGTGATAAGTTGAAAAGGTAGTATAAAGAGGGGATTTTAATGTACATCTGTGCGCAACGATTTTTATTTGCTAACGTAAAAATATTTTAAGCGGAGTTTGATTAGACATGTTTCAAAAGGCTGTCATATTTACGATTTTCGTCAAAATTTGATATTAAAATTCCTATAAAAGAAATTACGATAAACACAATTTTGTTTTTATTTTTGACCACAGAGTATTGCTTGTAATAAATATCTTGTTAAATTTTTAAGCATTTCTGTTTGGTCTAAAAATTTTAAGCACAGAGCAAGCGCGCCCGCAGGATAAAATCCCACCTAGGGTAAAAGTTTTACTCTAGAAATATTTCATATTGTTATAGTAAAATGGTATGCCATTATGCGTTATAAAAGTATATATACAGACATACGGTTGAAAATCCAAGGGGGATAATAGCCTCTTTTGCCAATTACGTATAAAAAACTCATAAAATTGAAATGTCTATAAATAGCTCAACAATTTTTACCATCTCTAGATAAGCCAAATATAAGTGTTATGTCCAAATTTCAAGTCACTACCAACATTTTGAACTAAATTACAATAAAAAATAAAATTGAAAATAATAAAACCATTATTTTCGTAAATTTTCTTGTTTTCTTACGTTTTATCTTGGCCGAGTTTTCCAGACGATTTTTTAATCTTAATAAAACCGATTTCATAGTCGACAAAAATGCGAGTCAGTGGCGTGGGAATAAACCACAAGAGTACCTACACGTATTTTTTTTATTATTGACTTATTGATTGTGACGAATTATATTATGAATACTATAAAGTATAACTTGAGGTATTTACATTGTTTTCAAATAATATATGACGGAAACGTCTTTTTACAAAATATTTACGGGAATTGTACCATTTTCGTTTTTGGCGGATAAGGGAAATGCCCGGTCCACTGGTCCGAATTCTAAATTTCTAAAATATAATAGTAGTTTTAATTTAAGTCTGAAAGATAGTATTAGTGATTTTTTCTAAAAAAAAGAAAATGTCCATTATTGATGTCACATCTGAGTTGATATAATATTTTTTTCCTTGGAATTATCATCTTTGCAAAAAGCCAAGTATCGTCCGTCCCTCTGTACCAATAGAAATAATTAATTAAGTAAGGGGCTGCTGAAATAAAATAAAAGCTCCGTTTCCCCTAATTCGTGCGCTGTCGGCGAGCTTTTGCTGTGAAAAAACTACGTTAAGGTCATGGGTTGTAGGTATATCTATTTATAAAATTCGTCCCTGTTGTAGATACCATCAGAATAATATCATATACGTTCCATATAACAAATATTATGGTTACTTTCTATTACAATAACTTGTGTCACATAATACAATATAGACGTACCTATGTACGTATATATATGGCATAACCACCTGCATTGTTCTTCGAAGGCTGTTACACGCACAAGAATCCAGATCATCTATAGAACATCGTACACGTATATTATGTGTACCTATGTATAGGTGTAGTCGGTCTATTGTCACCGAACCGATGACAAATTATTCGTATTGGAAAATAATATATCTATATTATATCCTTCAAGCCATATTCGCCGACTCTTCATTCAGCCTTGGACTAGGTCGCGTGAACACCGCGAGTTTCGGGCTGTTGGGGGATTTAAAAATATATTTAAATTATGTTTTATATCATTATTAGGAGGAGTATTATGGTTTAGGTGGCCTCACACATCACTGTTTTCGCTGTTTTTTTTTTTTTTTTTGATGTGTCAACAAAAAAATTAACATCATCTTAAGATCAAGATCAAACTAAATTGCTCAAAAATAATATAATCGATCTCATATACAATAACAATATCATTGCAGTATAATAGACGCAGTAAATAATCGGAGTAAAATTACTGGTAGAGAAGTTCTCCACAGAAAAAAAAAAAAAACCATAATATTTTACTATTATATTTTGTACTTTTTTCGGTTTTCACATTTAATGAAAAAACTCCTGAGAAAACCGAAAAATTACCTCCTAAAAGTACTTCCTCAGTCCGATTTTCTTTCAGAAAACGTGCTATCATTGTAAATCCGAACGAGATTTGGTAGGAAAGTCGTCCACAGACAGAAAAAAAAAATAATACAATAGTAAAAACAAAATTATTAAAATGGTTAATACTCGTAAATAAATGAAGTCAATAAATATATAAATAAAAAATGTATGTATAAAAATAAAATAGATTAATGAATGAATGCGTCGCCTGGAGTAGTATGATAAGTGTATTATACGACCAGTTTCGAATTAAAAATTCATCATCGGGTATATCACAGTCAAAATATAAAACATGATTTTAATCACTCTAATTCTCGAAAAATATCATTTTTTAATTAAATATTCTATTGGTTTGATCGTATTCCATAAAATAATCATAATTATCAACACGAGCTCAATATTATCTATAAATTGTATACTTTATAACGCGTTTTACACTTATCATAATACTCCAGGCGACGCATTCATTCATTCATTCATTCATTTTATTTTTATGTATACATTTTTTATTTATATGTTTATTTACTTTATTTTAAAAAAATAAACATATTTTTACTTTGTAAAACCATAAGTTTCTTCGCACTCAATTCAGAATCTAAAATAAGTTTCAAACAAAAATATCTCTTAAAGAAGACCTAATCTATATGTTTACAAAAATAACAAATAATCCACCAGGTTGTTCATCAGTAATACTCCCAAAAGTACCATCTGGACAATATTTTTTTGTCAAACTTGGTATGATATAATGATAAGTATTCCTCATAAAAACAAACGCCAACTAAATAAACAAAATTATAATTTAACAACAAATGATCCTATAAGAATTTTTTTTTTTATAGAATTTTGATATTCATTCCCTTTTTGAATACTTAATATCTTAGATCCATTAAATTAATGATTTTTAGTACATTATTAATTTAATTTATTATTATTTATTCCTAAAATTACCGCTCAAGTTCAGACGTTTTTGAGGTGAAACTCCATATACTTATTGTTTTATTTTGTATTTTTACCGCCTCATTTTATATTCCATTCGTTTTTTTATTGTACTTACATGTAAAAACTGTGAATTTCCATTAAATAAACGATTTAAAAAAAAAAAGATCTAGGTACACACCGTCGAAAGAAATGGAATCACCTAGGAATATTATTGTAGATAATCAATTTAATTGTCCGGTTAAAACATATAAAGAAATCAACTCTTTATTGGTGAGTGTATTGATTCTAATATAAATTATGCAATTTTAAATTCTGAATTGAATTCCTGGTATACTAGTTGTAAAACAAAATTTAATAGATGATGGGAAATCAGAAAATGAATTTCTCCCTTGATAATATTTCCGTAAATAATAGTAGGTAATAAAATTTCTAACCGGTTTGGGACTTTTTTCAAATCTGTCTACGTTTCTAGTAAACATTCGAATATACACTTTGATGACAGTTCATCTAACGTTGTTGATCTGAATTTAAATGACGTTTCATTGAAAGATGTCTTTGAGGCCTTGAATTCACTCAATTCTAAAACTTCTTTTGGTCCTGATGGTATTTCACCGTTAATTTTACGTACCTAATTGTAGATTTTCCTCGCCGTACCCTTCTTTTTTTTATTGTTTAAACTGTCGTTATCTATAGGTTGTTTTCCTAATTTATGGAAATAAAGTTTTATTCAACCGATACTTTAATCGGGGAATAGGTCCGGTAAAAAAAACTACAGACCAATATCTATCATCAATGATTTAATTTTATTTCAGTTTTTTTAGTATATTTTTATCTTTTAAGTTATGTATGGGAATGAATGCATGATGTAGGTATGCATCATATGTAGGGTGAAGGTATATTATATTTTTTTCTTGTAAATTTGTATAACCTAACCTAACTAATTTGTTTATTTGTATCTGCCTAAACTTAAAACTTTATTATCTCGTTAATGGATTGATGGAAATTAAAAATTTAAATACCTACTAAAATGTTTTTAAACTAATACTTCATCTATTTAAGTCATTTTTAATATAGGTTATCGTCTGAAAATCAAAAATAGGTAGGTATCTACCCACCTAGTCATTTTACCTTCAAAAATAAGGGTGAAAAAATGATGGTAATACAACATTTTAGAACTTGTTTTTTCTTAAGTGTTCTTAAATTTAAAAAAAAGATAATTATTGTCAAACAATTTATTTTTCATGATGTAATATAAATGCCCACCTCCCGGAAAAAATTTTCTGAAAGAAACACACTTGTAAGTGGATAGTTCGGAAGGTGGGATACATAGTCATTAAGCAACGATAAATCATTGCTACCTAAAAACGATTCTGAGCAAACAAAAAGTCCGGTCATTTATAATTAATGTTTTGACGTTTCGTCTAGAATCTAGATCTAAGTATAAGGCACTCTAGCACTCATCAACGCCTAGCGACCTCTTCCGAAGGATATAGTATTTATTTTAAAATATTATGTATCACAGACATTGATAAGAAATTCTTGGGCGATAAAACGGTTAATAATAATAATGATATGACGACAGGAAATATTTGTTCGCCAACACCCGAAGTCAAACGTGAACGTCCCTAACACCGCTACTGTTTGCTCATTCGTTAATTATTGTTATTATTGTCAATTATTCCATCCGCTGTACAGTTAAAAATATTAATATTTAAAATTCCTGTTGTTGAACAAAGTAGATATCATAGGTGTTATACAGTATTTTAATACACTTTTCAAAATGAAGAAAATCGCTATATTCGGTGGCACTGGCATGACTGGATTGTGTACTGTAGAAGCCGCTTTAAAACAAGGTAAATTTATAAAGGTTGAAAGTTACTGTGTGGTTGTTTTAATTAAATGTTTAAATTTTGCCCTGTTGGCGATTAACTAAATCATTTTCATTGGTATTAGGAACATATAAATAGCATTTAATTTCCATATAGGTTTAGAAGTACGAGCACTAATGAGAGATCCATGCCGTATGCCTGAAGAACTACGTAATCAGGTGGAAATAGTGACTGGTGACGTATTGGTCAAAGAGGATGTGGAGAAGGTCGTCGAGGGTAGAGATGCAATTGTTGTAACTTTGGGAACCAGAAATGATCTTGGTAGGTGTTACTATAAATAATAAATAAATAATATCCTTATTATCTATGGGTATTAGGTTGTTTTCGACCAGTCTAGTTCTTTTGGTCAATTGACAACAAAATGTATTGATTAAAAATATTTGTAAAATAATTATATTCTTAGATCTAAATTGCATTTTAATATTTCTAATAGAATTTTCTGATTTATGACATTTAAAAATTATTTATCAATTACAATGTATTCATTAATTTGTAATTATAACTACCAAGTGGGTAATAAAAAGGTATACATTTATGAAATATTTTAATTTTCTGAACTAAAGTAATGTATTAAATAAAAAGCAGCACAGTGTACAATTTATATTATAGTTTGTAATTATTTATTTATTGAACATTAACCATAATTTGGCTGGTCAAATGTCCATATTTTGACAGAGTACCAATCCTAGTAGTTATTAATATTACATTGTAAAATCTCACAGTTGTATTGTACCTATCATTAATTACTTGATTCTTCTAGCTCCTACCACTATAATGTCTGATGGATTGAGGAACATTTTGTGGGCGATGGAAAAAAATAATGTGAAAATTCTATCTGTGTGCTTATCCAGTAATTATTGTTTATACACCATTAAGATATATGTTTGATTTTAAATAATATTATTAAAAATAATTTGTTTATTTTTAGCTTTTTTATTTTACGATAAGCCCAAAGTACCAGCAATGTTCCATGGGATCAATGATGATCACGAACGTATGTTGCATTTGCTACAGGCATCCGAAAATCTAGATTGGATTGCTGTAATGCCACCACACATCGGGAGTAATCCATCGGGTGAATACAGTGTGGAAATTGGATCATCACCTGGACGTGCCATATCGAAATATGATTTAGGCAAATTTATGATTGAATGTTTAACTAAACCCGAATACTATAAACAGAGATGTGGTTTGGCGACCAAAGTGCCTGTTCCATGAAAGTTTAACATTTAACCAAACATGGAAAATAATTCAGTAGATGATAAACGAATAATATTTGGATAGGTAAATCGTGAAATAAGGAAATGTATTAACATAATTACTAAGAAATCTGATATTTAGTGTTAAAATATATCAAAATGTTAATGTTTTTATTCTTCTGTTTTGAACAATTTTATTTATTAAAAAGACAATAATATATCTATTTTCCCTTCTTCTTCTTTTTGTACTGTCCTCCTTTTCGGTGTTGAAGCCTAGGTGCATTTTCAGAAGGCAATTGAGTCGTCTGAGTTTTTGGTTGAGCCGCAATATTTTTGATGTTGCTAAAAAAATCATACATATTAATATTTGGTATTCTAATAATACCTGGGCAATAAACTTAAAATACCATGGACCGAGAGGGTAATGAATAAGGAGGAACTAGATAAAATAAAGAAACAACGATAACTATGGAAAAGTATTCAATCCAGAAGAGGTAAGATGATAGAACACATTAAGCATGAAAGTTTACTAAAGATAATAATTGAATGAGATATTGTAAGACACATTGCAAGAGAAAGATCAAGAGCAGAATGCATGACACAGATAATGCAGGATACAATTAAAGGAAATTACAAAAACCGAAATGAATTGTGCTACGATAGAGAAGCATGGAGAGTTGCAACAAATAAATCTATGAATTTATAACCAAAAAAAAAAAAATAATAATACTATAAGTTAAATTGTATTAATATAAGTCATTAGTATTGGTCAAATAAAGTCAATTTAGTAAAAATATCTCTAACAATTTTAAATTATACATTACATAGCACGCAAAATATGATAGAAGATTTGTGTTATATCTAATATTATATACAGCTATTTATTTTTAAACTTATATAGTCGTAAATTTAGAACATATTAATTTAATATTAAATAATATAGTTCAGCATTTCCTAAATATAATGATTAATCTTTTTTATGAATTGCTATATAGGGACATAATTAGAGACTGGAATTATATGTATTTGCATGTTCATAGTAAGTGGATGCACAGTCATACGGGTTTGAGATGTGGGCGTTTTAAATCAAAACTGATCATAGACTTAATTTTATTTTGCATATTTTATACTATTTGTAAATGAATGAACTATTTTCACTTTCATTAAGAGAATAAATTAAAAATTTGTCTTCAAATTTGAGTATTCATAATTTATATAAATTTACTGTAAATTGTGATAATGATGAACTAATAAAATTATAAATAAAATATGCATTTGATGGTCTAATTGTTTTTGCACTTAAATTTCATACAGTTAGAATACGATAAATAATATTTGCATTCATAATTGATTTATACAAAAAACAACACAATTTAAATTGAACTTCCTATAAAAACCTATTTATAGTTTCATACAGCCAGTAAACATTGATAAACAATTACAATTAAACTAGATATTCATTAAATTTATAATATTAAAATAATAATATAGGTTTGACTTTTAATTTAAATGTTAAACATTATACTTTTACTTTAGATTATTATTATTATACAACAAATTATAAATTCTGTATGAATATTAATCATTATTTAGTCATTAATGTTTAAAGGTTACAAGTACAGAAATTATATTTAATTGGTCTCATTTGGTAAAATATAGAATAATTATAATTATATTCTACTTACAATTGTTCACTGGCAGTATTACTGGCACCTTGTGTTCCTTTTCCTATACCAGTTTCTTTGTTTCTTCTATCTTTCTTTTTACGGTAACCAGTACGTTCATGTCTTGGTAACCAACGTTCTGGATTAGGAGGAATGTCTGGGTTGAAATTTTTGGGCAAAATAATTTTCCTTTTCTTCTTACGTTTCTTTTCTTCTACTATAGACTTTGACCTGTTTAATGTGTTAAATATAATTCATAATTTGATAAATGATTTTAATAAAAAGTATAACTATTCAACAAAATCTAATAACTACCCAGCAGTGTCTGGTTTTAATGTAGATTTCTTAATTAGTTTAGAACCCATCATCCAGTTAGTGTTCTCAAGTGAATCTATGTCAGTATCTTGAAGGTCTAATGGTGGAAGTTCTTTACTATACTGTTGAGCTTTTTCTGGGTCAAACTAAAATAATAATTAAATGCAATGGAAAAAAATACAAGAGTTATTCAATATGTCTATATTGTTAAAAGGTTTTTTTTTCATCTGAATTTATTATAATTTAGTAGTTACTTAAATTTTATCAATTCTACAAATATAATATATTTGCTATTCTAAACATCGAAAATAAAAATTCACAATTGTTTTATTGATATAAAATGTTCCAACTTAGTTGTATTTTATTTAAGAACATATTTTAGATTTTAATATTAATTAATATAATTTATTATTTAAATTAATCATTACCATTTATTCATTATATCACACACAATTGGTTTTGTTTTGGTTAATACTTGGTAATAATCATTTGCAGTTATATTTTATTATTAATAGTCATATTGTATTTTCTAAAATCTTTTTCTCATGAACCAATAATTTCTTTGGTGGATTTTAAATAAATTTGATTTGTTTTTTTTAATCATTGTGGAATTGCTTAAGCTTTATTTTAAAACCATTGAAATTTTTTTTATTCTTATTCTATGTACTTTAAATAAGTATATACTTTTGTTTTTTAAATATAAACCTACCTTTTTGAACAGTCGAATAACGAACATTTTTCTAGAAATGTGAATATGTATAACACTAATATCAAATTTATTGTTTTTGAGTTACATTCATATTTGTTTAAAGTTTAGACCAAAGGAGTAGAGTAAGGTAATAAATTGCACATATTTCTTAATCGATAAATCTTCCCTACTGCCCCTAAATCTGATTAAGTGTTATGTATATCCAAATTTCTAGAAAAATATTCTGTAGTCAATTGTTTGTTTTAAGAAAAACATATTGTAATTATGTAAATTAAGATTGGAAATTGTATTAAACTATATATATAACTAAGCCACAAATTGATTTTGTAAACATCAGTTATTATTTTGGGAAACAGAGGATGCACATAAACATACAATGACAATTGCCCAGGTAGTTGACAGACATATAGCAATTTTTTAGAATATTGTAGGAAAACAAATATGATGGAAAGCCTATACAAAAGTTTTGTAGTATTTTTAACAGAAACATAAAGAAACATTGTAATATTAATACTATTTTACAAATTTACAGGGTTTTATAAATTCTATATGTGGATCTGATATATTTAATCAATTAAATTTGTTCAAATTGTATAAATACTAAAAGTTAATGAAGCATTTTTACCTGAGTATAAGCAATGATGAGTTGTGCTAAGAACTTTTTATTAGCAGGATTTAATTCCAGTAATCGCGACAAACGTTTAGCTGCTTCCTTGGGATTTTGTTCAAGTAAATGTAATTTGGCTAATTGTTTTAATAAAATGGTTACTTTTGAATTATTTATCTACAAAGAACAAATAGTTTAGAATGCATTTTAGAATTTAATATTAAATGTTTAAACAGAAATTTATCATTACTTCTTTTTGACTGTAATAAGATAAAGTATCATTAAATAAGTCTGATGCAGCTTTAAAGTTGTCAATGTTTAAGTATAATGTAACCAGTGTACTTGTTATCCCAAGTTTGTACTTTAGCTCACCAAGATTTTCCAATAGAGCAATTGCTTCATTGGTATTATTCTAAAATCAAAATTAATTATAATAAAATATTTTATTATGTAAATTTCAAATAATTATTAATACTATATAATAAAATACATTTAAAAAAAATAAAATAACATAGAGACGTCATATCCAGTGATCCATTTAACTTTTTCAACAATTTATGAACCAAGCAGCTTTAAAATGTAACATTAATATTATTTTTAAAGTTTAGATATAGGGAGTAATGAAGTAAAGTAGGTGATCATTTCACAAACTAAAATAAAGGTGACAAAAAATAAAATAAGTGTTACATTTTAAAGCTCTTTGTTTCTTAAATTACTTTACAATACTGAATGCAAATACTTAAATGGAGCACTTTGTATAAGTGTTATACATGGATAAACTAATAATCTGTAATATATAAACCATTTACTAATAGAAAACCAGGTTTTTGTAGTGTTAAATGTACTTCCATAATAAATTCATTATTACAAAGTTATAGAACTTGAATTATTACATATATTTAATTAGATAAAAGAATGTTACATTCATTTTTTGTTAGAATTTGAGTAACGAAACTGATAAAAAACAAAAACAAAACAAAGGCAATTGAACATTTATGCTATTATAAAAGGATGCCAGCTAGAATTTCCCAATAATTTCTTTGAGCGCAAGTAAAAACTAATGATAACTAGATTTGTATAGCACACCCATATTTATCAAACAATATTTAAACAAAATTATATCTGTACTTAATCTACCATAGAAATATTTAAAATATTGAAATAGATATGTCTGTATTCTACCTGCATTAATAATAATTTCACAGCCACTAAGGTACAATTGAGTTTAGCAGTTGAACGTTCTTGTTGGTACACAAATTTTTTCAACATATCAATGGCTTCAGAAATTTTCTTCTGACGCCATAACATTATTGCTTTTAATAGTATAATTTCCTCTATCAAGTCTGGGTAACTCTTTTCTAAATTGTCACACAATTTAGTGCATTGGTCTAACTAGAAAAATAAAAGTAAAATTAAATACATTTGAAACAAATTATTTGGTTGCAACGTTTAATACTTGATTTGTCATCAATGCAAAACGGCAATGGTTCAATGTGATCGTTTTTAACTGCCACGTATTTAACTTGAGAGTCAGTTCATCAGATAATGTTGACTTAAGCTTTTTTTTGGAATCAAACACATTATGTTCACGGTTTAATACTACTAAATTATTTGATGCAATCGCTAGTGACCCTATGTCTTTGGGTTTGTATTTTAACACTTCAGTGTATTCAGATTGGGCTTCTTTCTCTCTGCCTAGTTTTTGTAGGCAATAGGCACCTTGAACCCTGGAAAAGCAACATAGGGATTTAATATATTAACAATTTAAAACAATTATTAACAACATTATTATTTTCACAGGTAACATAAAATCTGTAGATTAAAATATGAAAAATAAAAACAAATGATACATTTATGTATTTTCTACATATTAATATGCAACACTGTATTGATATTATTTAATATAATATCTAATCAAAATAATTTGTTTTGATTATAAAAGTTTTTACTAATATGTTTTATAATAATTTATGTATTTTGTAGTATTAAATAGCATACATAAATTTGTATAAGCGTATTCTGTAAACAGTGATTACTAAAATTATATTAACAGTTCTAATATAATAAAGAAGTGTTTAAAAAAAGAATTTGATACTATTTTTTATTAAAAATGTGTTATATGCGTTATAATTAGGGCTCAGAAGTTATAGTAACTTAATATTTGCTAAATAAAAAAAAATTGATGTTTTTTTTCTTTCTTAATTAATTAATAAATTGAATATAAAACTCAATTTTATTTAACATGATTTGTTTATTGTTATTTCTTATCATCTCAGTCTATTATAAATTTAACGACAACAGTGAGATTCGTATTTAATCTTTATATTTTTCGTGAACATTAATAATGACATTATATGTATTTGAATAATAAACTTTGAATAATTTTTTGCATATTTTACATTTTTTCATGCATATTATGGCTTTTTTAACTCCTATAACTTCCGAACCTAATTATAGTATACCGTGTAAGCTAAATAAGAATTTTGTATTTGGAAATTATAAAAAGATAATAATGGTAATTATTATAAATATTATAATATTAGATATAAAAATGTTGGTTTGGTTAAAATTACATGTATATTTAACTATGAAAATTATATTCCTTTAATATTTTGACAGTGATATACCTGGTGATGAATTTTTAATTTGAAACCGATCGTATAATACACTTATAATAATACTCCAGGCAACGCATTCATTCATTTATTTATTTTTATTTATATATTTATTTACTATATATACTCTTTTATTTAAAAATATTGAAATCACATATATACTAAAACATCAGAAATCATATTTTAAATAACAAATGGTTTCTGTTATACATACATTTTTAAATAACAAGTTTTATAAATTAATGGATTTGCTATTTTGTAATTTTAATTTTTATTACTGTGCAAATTAGATACCACAAATCACGATATTACACCTATTCGTATATTTCAATAGTAAATATTATTTTATCATTAAATAGTATTTTACATAGAGTTTCATAATAAAATTAAAAAAATTACTTTATAGCTGTGAGTTCTTCTTGAATTTCTTCTTCTGTCACTTCTTCCTCTTCTAATGTATTTCTACATAATTTGGCAGCTTGATTGAGTAAATCTTGGGCTTTTTCTATATCTCCTCTTTCAATTAATACACACGCAATATTATACATAAATTCGTATGTGTTATCTTGTTTAACAGTCGGAATGTCATATTTATTCTAAATTATATAAATATTTTCTTTTTTAGGTTAATTGTCACATTATGGTAAATTCAATGGAAGTGTTTTTGTATTATATCACACTATTTGATCTTCATTTTTTCAATAATATAAATAATATACAAGAATAAGAATGTTATATTGGATAGGCATGCATACCTAAGTCATTTGAAACCTGATAACTCAAATTATTAAATATTTTTATGTTTAACTAGAATTATGAATAAAAATAACCTAGATAGTTTCTCACAGATTTTTTCATAATTTAATATGGTAAAACTTCCATATAACGATCACCGAAGGGACCGGCAATAATGACTGCTATTTAGAGGTGTCTTATAAGGCATAACACTTGACGGTACCAAAAAAAATAGAATTGACTGTCTTTTAGAGGTAACCATTAATGGAAGTTTTACTGTAATAGTTTTTATTTATTATACAATATCGATAATAATATTGCATTTATGCATGGAAATTACTTTTGAATCAAACAATATGAATTAATAAATTATAACAAAATACCAACACACAAGAGATAGGATAAAAAATAAATGCACAAGTGATTGTAGATTAATTTGTTGGATGTGTCATTGGTAAAAAGCTAAATAAATAATAATATAACTTACATCTCCTAATTTAGAAACTTGTGAAATTACAGCCGTTAGATTTGTTTCTCTTTCATTTGTAAAACTATCTTTACTTTGTTTGATGATATCTCGATACATATCCAAACATTCATTGTACCTAAAATTATTAAGTTAAATATAGTAAATTGCACCAAGCTCAAGTTTAATTTACATTTACAGTATACAAAAATTATAATCAAGGAAAAAAATGATCATTTTACAAAAATGGTTTAAACTGTATAAAAAAATGCGATCAGTTATCAATTAATAAAATAAAATCTGTATAACACTATGAAGTTCATATTAAATAAAAAAAAAAAATATATTTTATAGGTTTAAAAAATTCTATTGAAATAATGTGATTTTTGTATAAAAAAAACAATTTATTGTTGTTAGACTAGAGGTAATTATTATAATAATTAAAATATTATATTTTTGTTGTATACTAAACAATGCTGGTGCTGTTTGTGTTAAGTAAAAAATAATATTATAAATTATGACTAATTTATTACCTTTCCAATTTGTACAGAATTTGGGCTTTCAATTCCTTAAAATTGGGTCCAAGATTAGGTTCTTCATTAATCATTTTTAAAGCTTCTTCAGAGCGGTTTAAACGGTACAAACAATACGCTTTTTCGAACATAAACAACCTATTGCAAAATATTAAAGTTAGAGTTAGTAAAACTGAACTATAAAAAAAAGAATATTTACTGGGAAGTTGATTTATTCTTTTGTATAAAGTTATACGCATCTTCAATCTGATTCAAATGAATCAAACTAGCTAGTTTCGATTGAACCAATGATAATTCTTCAGGAAACTGATTGATATCTAGAATTATAATTACATGGCTGATTAATTAATACCAATTTTAATTTTAATAATTATTAGTCACGTTTTTCGACGAGTTTAATGATCCTTTTGTATTCTTCGGCTGAACCTAACTTTTCAATATCCGAAAATACGGAATTTAAAATAGAATTTTTAGACATGATCGACGAGAGCTGTTCTCTACCAAATATTTATTTCAAATAATCATTAATGACGGTGAGATGGTAACTTGTCTTGAAGTTAATTAATAACTTAAAATCCAAATATTTACGTTCACTCAATAAATGAAAGTTACGAAAATATTAAAATTAGATATTGGTACTAAATATCAATAGTGCGATATCATTTTTGATGACGTCTTATCATGTGATTTGATATTATTTTAGTTCGTGGATCGTACGAAATACCAACAGAAAACCATAACCACGGTCGATGTTGTGCGATACGATATACCCGCGAAATTTTAAACTAATTATTATAAATATATTACAATATTTTACATATTACCTATGCAGTAAACAGCACCGCACCGGCGATAATTTAGGGCAGAAAATCAAAAAAGGGTTCTGGTTCCAATGTTTTCAAACTAAAATAAAAATTCGGGACTTGATTTGTAAAAAAAAAAATAATAATTTTACCTACGTTATTTTGTTTTGAAACATTTTAAGACTTTCGCATTTAATGTTATTTTGATTGAAAATGTTACACAATTTTTGCGTTATTTCTAATTAATATTGTGCCTACATTGTATTATGAGGTCTAATATTTCCAATACTGCCCTTTTAAATTTGCTTTCGGTGAACATTATCCAAATAAAAGGAAAAGATGGCTGTAGGGAGTGACGACCTTCATGTGTCTACAATAAAACAAAAATTAAAATAATGGTGACGGGTGCTTGAGTTTATTTTTACACTTTGCAATACCGCTGAAAGTTCATATTGGCGCCACTGTTTAACAGGAAATACAACAAAACTTAAATTGTAGAACTTTGATTAAATTAGTTTATACGCTTCTTACGAAAATAGAAGTGATCATTTAATATATAAAATATATCTTATATATAAAATTATCGTGTCACAATGTTCGTTCCCATACTCCTTCGAGACGGCTTGATCGATTCTCATGAAATTTTATATGCATATTCAGTAGGTCTGAGAATCGGCTACTATCTAAGTTTGTATGCTCTGCGATAAGTGGTTCCGGAGTTAGGGCCTCTTAAGTCAAAGTATACTAGCACGCACGATATTCAACAATTATTATTTTGCTATGCAGAGATAATATACACTCTATGTGGTTATTTTTTATTATTGGTTTCCGTGGCACCCGCGTGTCAATAACAATTGAGAACGGCTGGGCCGATTTGGCTAATTTTGCTAACCTAACCTAACCTATGTACGTGTGTTTTGCACATATTTCAATGCCAACAAAACGCAAAGGGGCTGATTTGAACCGTAATACAAGTAAATCTCGAAGCTTGCGAAATAGAAGATCCGAAAGAACCGAAGAACAAATCCAGCAACAAAATACTGATGCACGTGTCAGAATGGCGCAATTGCGTCAAGAAGAGTCAGAAGACACACGAGCTGAACGCAATGAAGTAATAANACATCGAGCATTTACATCTGATTCATTCCTGCGTCTAGCATTCCATTATGAGCCCGATATTGAATATTATGCTCATTCAAAAGTGGTAATTGGTGCTATGGACAAGGAATGTCCGCATTGTCATGCTCTGAAATTCAAAAATGAGCCAGCTGGGATGTGTTGCGCGTCAGGAAAAGTGCAACTACCTGAAATTAAAACACTTCATCTTAAATTAAATCATCTTCAGTTCATTGCTGATACACATCGTTCATATGACGCTCTCCAATATCCGCTAATATTCTGGAAGGGACAAGACGGATATTGCATAAACATAAAACAACGAGATCCCGTATCAGGTACTTCATTGATTATGAATTTGATCATTAATCATTTAACAAAACAATTAAATTATTGAACGTAATTAATTTAAATTAATTTTTATGAATATATTATTACAGGAGCTGAAACAAACAAGAACGTTAGCTCAAAGGATTATTATGCGTACCGATTAATGATTAGACGCGGCCTGGACAACGTCATTCTACTATGTTGTGAGCTTTGTCAACAATTCATGGTCGACATGTACGCGAAGATTGAGGGCGAAAGACTACGATACTTACGATATAATCAACTAAAGCTGCGTGCGGAAAAGTACATTCATTTGCGAGACGCTATGAACAACAACGCTGACGTCGCCGAAATTGGTAACCATGTCATTTTACCATCATCGTACGTAGGTAGTCCACGTCATATGCAAGAATATATACAGGATGCTCTGACTTTCGTACGCAAATATGGACGACCATGTTTATTTATCACGTTCACATGTAATTCAAAATGGCCAGAGATTGCATCTTTGCTATTGCCTGGCCAAAATGCAATATATCGCCATGACATTACAGCACGTGTGTTCAGACAAAAGTTGAAGTCTTTAATAAGTTTCATTACTAAATTACATGTATTCGGTCCCACACGTTGCTGGCTGTATTCGGTTGAGTGGCAAAAGCGAGGATTACCTCATGCACACATTTTGGTTTGGTTAATCGACAAAATCCGTCCTGAAGAAATCGATAGTATCATTTCTGCGGAAATTCCAGATCCGTCCACTGACCAACTGCTGTTTGATATTGTTACAGCAAACATGATTCATGGCCCATGCGGTACTCTTAATCGTTCATCGCCTTGCATGGCAGATGGAAAATGTACTAAAAATTTCCCTAAAGATTTCACTAACGATACGATCACAAATGTCGACGGATATCCAATATATCGTCGAATAAATTCCAATAATGGCGGACGATCATTTATTAAAAACATCAGCAACACAGACATTGACATTGACAATCGTTGGGTTGTGCCATATTCGCCTCTGCTAAGTAAGACATTCAATGCTCATATTAATGTTGAGTTCTGCAGTTCTGTGAAGAGTATCAAATATATTTTCAAGTATGTCCATAAAGGCAGTAATATGGCTGTGTTTAGAGTGGAAAATACCAATGTGAATGCTCCTCCAGTGAATAAAAACGATGAAATAACGCTCTACCAAATTGGTCGGTACATCAGCTCCAATGAAGCTGCTTGGCGTATCTTTGGTTTTTCTATTCATGAACGGGATCCAGCAGTTGTTCAGTTAGCTGTCCATCTTGAAAACGGTCAGCGTGTATTTTTCACGAACGAGACAGCGATTGATCGTGCTATAAATCCACCAAAAACTACACTCACTGATTTTTTTGAATTGTGTAATCGTGCGGATGATTTTGGTACCTTTGCCCGAACATTACCCTATTCACAAGTACCACGCTATTTCACATGGGCTCAAACAAAAAAATGGATGCCTCGCAAGCAAGGCTCACCAGTTGATGCATGTCCCAATTTATTCAAATCAAACGCCTTGGGGCGATTATTTACAGTCAATCCAAGACACACTGAGTGCTTTTATCTTCGACTGTTGTTGGTTAATNAAATAATAATCTTCAGTTCATTGCTGATACACATCGTTCATATGACGCTCTCCAATATCCGCTAATATTCTGGAAGGGGCAAGACGGATATTGCAAAAACAACGATATCCCGTATCAGGTACTTCATTGATTATGAATTTGATCATTAATCATTTAACAAAACAATTAAATTATTGAACGTAATTAATTTAAATTAATTTTTATGAATATATTATTACAGGAGCTGAAACAAACAAGAACGTTAGCTCAAAGGATTATTATGCGTACCGATTAATGATTAGACGCGGCCTGGACAACGTCATTCTACGATGTCGTGAGCTTTGTCAACAATTCATGGTCGACATGTACGCGAAGATTGAGGGCGAACGACTACGATACTTACGATATAATCAACTAAAGCTGCGTGCGGAAGAGTACATTCATTTGCGAGACGCTATCAACAATAACGCCGACGTCGCCGAAATTGGTAATCATGTCATTTTACCATCATCGTACGTAGGCAGTCCAAAAAATGGGGGCAAAAAATGTAGACGTTTTATTTATTTATTTATTTAGACAATTTAAATCTGAAGATACAAATGTTGTTGCCAGTGAACTTGGTATCATATAAATCTATTGATACAGTTTGCGACGACAGCGAAGCAGTAAATTTTCCCACAGAGTTTTTGAACTCACTGGATTTACCAGGCATGCCACCGCATAATTTACAATTAAAGGTTGGATCTGCGATTATCTTGCTTCGTAATTTGAACCCACCCCGGCTGTGCAACGGTACGCGATTAGTCATTCAAAAATTAATGAAAAACGTGATCGAAGCCAGCATTTTAAATGGCAAGTTCCGAGGTGAAAATATATTAATACCACGGATTCCTATTATACCTACAGATGTGCCAATTCAATTCAAACGTATTCAGTTTCCGATTAGATTGGCATTTGCAATGACAATCAACAAATCCCAAGGTCAAACGATGTCTATTTGTGGCTTAGATTTGAGAACACCATGTTTTTCACACGGACAATTATACGTGGCATGCTCTCGAGTGGGTATACCATCCAGTTTGTTTGTGTTAGCTATAGATGGACTAACAAAAAATATTGTTCACGTATTAATAGCATGTATAGCATTAAGAGATTGATATTTTTAAGGAATAAATTATAATAACTTAAAAATAATGTTTGCCTTTTGTTATTTTTATATTCCCTCATCGTTCACAGCGCTCCATGCCTCTTTCACTAATTTACCACATCCTTAAACACTTACAATAAGTTAGTTATTTTTTTTCTAGACTATAGATTCCCTAGAAATAATTTATATGGCAAAACAACGCTTGCCGGGAAAGCAAGATAATTGGAATCAGCATAATCTGAATAAGAATAATCATCACTTAAATAATAATAATGATCAGCAGCAGCAGTATAATAAGCGTTAAAAAAAAAAAAAAAATCATAATAAAAACCGCGTAATCAGAATAACAAAAACCATCGCTTAAATATTAATAGTAATCTTCAAAAAAAAAAAAACATAATAATAATCAGCGTAATCAGAATGAGAATAATCATCACTTAAATAATAATAACAATAATCATAAACAAAAAAAAACATAATAAGAATAATCATCACTTAAATTATAATAATAATCAGCAAAATAATAAAAATAATCATCAAAAAAATAAAACAAAACATAATCATAATAACCAGCACAATAATAAAAGTCAGCATAATCAGAATAAGGATAATCATCACTTAAATTATAATAATAATAATCAGCACAATAATAATAATAATCATCAACAAAAAAAAAAATAATAAGAATAATCGTCACTTTAATAATGATCAGCAGCAGCATAATAAGCATCAATATAAAAAAACAACATGATAATAAGCATCAGCGTTAACAAAATATCATTATTAATA